ATAATTCACCTGGATATCCGTGTTGGTCAATGTCTTCGAGCATAAGTCGCGGCACATGCCGTACACTTTGCCGGCGGTCGTGCGGGAAACCCCGAGTTCTCGAGATGCTTGCGTCAATGGCCTATTAGATGCCCAGAAATAGACAAGACGCACAACTTTCGTGAGCGAAACGTTGAAGGACTCAAAGAATGAGTCCTTCCGCACACTTCGTTGAGACTTGGTGCACTCGGCCCTATTGCACCTCCATCTCAAACCGTTCAATGTCATCGGCTTGAAGCACGTCTTGCAGTGTACCGATGCCTTAAGGAGGCCGACGTCGATACACCACTTGACGCACTTCACATCGGTTGATGTTGCCTCCATGACGGCGTTGAAGGCAAACTTGCTGACACACGACATGTCATAGCCACTCATGGCAAATTCGAAAATGAGGGGGGGAAATGGACCTGAGTCACTTGTCCAAATTTTCCCGCCCCTGTTTTGGCGCCTAATTATCCGGATTTGTCCGGTTACGTTGTGTTGTGATATTGGATCGGTATAGATGAATTCACCTTATTTAAGATTTTTTTTAAATAAGGGGGGTAGTTAGACAAGAGCCGGAAGTCGTCCATCTGATCCCACTCGCAACAGTTAACAATTACAGGTAGCAAGCATTCAAGTCGCTCTTCGACCACGCAAATTAGAGCTCGTTCCTCAACCGAGCCACTTCGTCAGGTGTTGCAACGTGTACTTGCTTCGGCATCGTTACAAAAGCATGGGGTGCGTGCGAAGCGAGTTTACTCTGACATGCCAATTCCGAATTCTCCATCCCGATCAGCGTACATATGCCATTCCATTGGTCAACCAATTGTCTAACGTTGGTCACAATAGAGGGAACGGATGAACTTCGGTGTACAAAAAGCCCTCGTGCCCAGGGTGCCACTTGGAGCCGTTCCTTTGATGCAATTGTGATGGTGCCTCTCTTACGCACTCGGGCGCAAGGCAGAATTTTTTACCCGGGTCTCGTCCAGAAGGATGTCCAGTGCTGGTGGTGTGGCAATGTAGACGACCCATGACTGGTATCACACAGCAGCGTGTAATTGGATGCGAATTGGAGCCCCAGTTACTTTCTGAGCCTATATATACCTTTGCGCTTGAAGCCATTATGGAGCCCCCCCAACTTCCTCAAAATCCCGCATAGAGGAATCAATCGCATGAAATGTCGCAGTCGGTCGGACTCGCCTCGCTCCCATAGCCACATTCGCATCCCTGTTGAACGTTTTGGACGAAAGGATGGAGGAGGTTGGCGCTGAGACCTGTGAAACCTGTCACTGTTCTCTATTCCGTAACCCAATACATAAATGCATACCGATAGGAACACCACTGTCGGTTGGAGTCCTTGTCCAATGTGCAGATGAAGGCCGTGCGACCGAAGGCAGCACATTCCTAGAACGCCGTCAACTGCATAACATTGCAGGTACCAGCCGCATTCGTGGTATGCATCTTGGACAGTCGCAATGTGTAAAGTACCGGCGCGGTTTCGTTCTATGCACTGTCACTACGCGCTGTTTCATATCCCCATGAGCATCAATGCACTAAGACAGCTCTTCCATTGCTCGGGTGGCCGGAGCTGCAGGGGCCCCCATCTAGCGGAAAGTCAGACCTGGCGCGAGGCCACCAAGCTTGCCACGACAATGTGTCGCATGTCGGTGTCAACATGCTGGTAGTGCTTTTATTGGCTAAAAAGAGTGTCAAAATGTCCAACGACAACGTTTGATTGGCCGAGTGATCTTGAACCCGTCGCAGACTGATTTCAGTTACACCTGACATGAGATCATTTGCCAAGTTCATCAAGAGTTGCCACTAGCGAAATCGGTGGTTTGCCCGCGCTGCAACGATGGAGACGCCTCACCGGGAAAACGAAACCTTTATGACAAGCACATCCTTTGTCATCATGGAGGCGGAGCAAGTCCGCGCAGTTCCGTCGACGATTCGATTGTCGGTTGGCCAGGACAACGTCATCAACTCGGAGAGTTCGACGAGGTTGCCCATAAATTCCCACCGCACGTCGTCGAAGCGTCCGTCAATCCCTCGAACATCGATCGATATTAAATCAACTCCATTCTCCAGCAGTTATAAGCGTTCGCGCGCACGGGGAGAATCCCTCCTCTTTGACGCGCCTTTTCTATCCGACGAAGATGCATCCCAGCTTATATTGCAAGCGAATCGTCCGCCGTGCGAAGAAGGCACGACGCTAGAAGGTACCGGTTACTCTCGTCATGCCCTAATTTGCATGCATCATCATCTCTCCTAGAAACAATGCAGAGCGTCAAGGCACGACAATACTACCAACATCAGTTTGCCAAGATCCAGGAACAGGCCGGCATGAATCCGCGCACTCTTCGATTTTCACCAGTGTACGAGGAAGCGTACGCAACGTACTGTCAAAAGAGCTCTCTCCTGCGCGTCCGATTTTGCTTTCTTCTGGGGATGTGCTCGCTCGGGTTCTTTCTATGGTACGACACGACCCAGCCGTCGTACAAGGCGACGGCCTCCATGCCTTTCTGGACGTTTTCATTCGGCACGGTGTCACGCAAGGCGATCCTGGACGTCCTCAGCATTTGCGGACCCATCACGTTTGGGTCGGGCATGCTCCTCACGTACTTGAAACGGTTCCAGCGTGGTGTGTGGCTCGAGATGCTCACGTTTGCCGTGTTTGGCATTGTCGCCTTGTCGCTCATCGTGCGAAAGCCCGTGGGACGGTTTCGCGGCCCTGTGCTGCCGCTCGTGCTCCTTCTGATCCCAGTATTTGGAATCACAAAGATGCGATTCCAGTGGAGCTGTGTGCTTGGATGGTCGACCTTTGTCTTGTACTTGATCGTCCAGCTCGTGTCCAAGATGTTTCTGGACGCTCAGACGTCCGAGAAGTGGGACTCAGTGTCGGACTTGGTTTATCAAAGCATCAACTACGGCATCAGCATCATTGGCGGCATGGTGTCACACTACCGACAAGTACATTCCCGTACATGTCGCGTGTGACCTAACCATGGTTCCATGCACGTAGGAACTGTTGCGCCGGCGGAACTTCGCGCTGCAGCTCCCTTTCGCTGGACTCATGGAAGATGACTCGGTCGAGCTGAAAGACGACAAGTTCAAAAAGCGCGCGTTGCTGCGCCCGGTCACGATGGGGTTTCGCAACCAAGACGTCGAAGGCTTGTTTTACAAGCACTGGTACCTCATTGATCCGTTTCCGTTCAAAAATCCAAATGAAGCGGGGCTCCATGCTGGCGTCTTCCGCGTCCTCCGATTTCCCATCTACGGTCTCCTCGTCGACCAAGTGATCCTCGGTGTGCAGGACTACAAACTTCTGTGGCTCCCTGGCCACCCCGCGTCACCGTCAAGCCCGTTCACTGCCAGCGAGTCTGCCTGGGCATATTATGCCAGTCTCACTTGTCGATACGCGATCATCGTGCCGTGCTATTTGAGCATCGTTGGGTTGCTCTACTGGATGGGGCGGGCGTTTTGCAACATGTGGCTAGCAAAATCCAACGAAGAAAACATGGTGGAAGCGGCGATCTTGGAGGAGGAGCAAACGAAGCGACCCCTTTCTGACGTCGAGCAAGTGTCAGTGCTCGCGATGAACATTGAGCGGTGGCGGCAGTGGCGCGAAGAGCGATGGACTGCCATGATCACCGACAACGGCGGGTACGTCGATTCGGTTGTCCCACATGCATCAGTGACATCTGAATGGAATCGATTCGTCGTAGGTATGTTCGATACGGTCAATTGTACGCGTCGCTCGTTGTGTCAATGCACGTCGGGTGTATTGCAATGCTCCTTCTGTGGGTCACTCGCACGACGCACAAGAAGCAACACGTCTACTTTATGGGGTTTCTAAACGCCCTCTTGTTTCCCCACCGATCGGGGTTTCGCATCCGATTCATTTACGCGACCGTGACGACCGTGTCTCTGGCCATCATGTTTATGATCGCCTCGGCGTTGGTGTTGGCCTCCGAGACGTCGTCGCCGCTCAAATTTGTCCTGAGTGGGGACAAGGACCTGCGCAACTTGTGGATCGAGTACGTCTCGTACATCGTCGTAGTGCTCCTCTTGGGGATGTTTGTCTCGCGCGAAGAAGAGAGCTTGCGCCGGACCTTCTTTATCCTCAAGAGTTTGCGCACCCTCGAGTTCGAGCAGTGGTTCCACACCGTGCTCAAGATTCAAGGCTGGATGCGCGACAAACTCAAGGCAAAGCTCCGACAGATTCGCGTGCGCCAGTCGGAAGTTGTCGGGCGCCAGGGTGACGACGCAACGAAACACCACCACCCGTCCTTCGGTATGTCGATTGCATGCTTTTCAAACGCATTCATCGTCTCATGTGTTGGTGGTGCGCAGACGTCGTGGCCGACATGTCGCCGTACATGGGCATGGCGTCCAAATACGGAATCTACGCGCAGTCGTTCAATTTCGCCGCCGTCCTCGTCGACCTCATCGTGTCGCTCAGTGGCCATTCCTAAATGGCGGCACACTCTCCATGTTGATCACCTGGCACTGCCAGGCAGGCAAGTCCGTCCTTCGCAATTCGGGACAGGGAGCCCAAGATGCTTCGACTCGTCGTACGTACAGTTGGCTAAAATAGATGTCGATTTGGGGAAATTTACGCAATATGCCAAGTTCGCTCAATGCCGAGCCGTGAGTACGGGTGGTGTTGCCAAGAGATTCAACGCCTGCTAAATATAGCCGAACGCAAGATGGAGTCGACGCAGAACTACATAGAGTCTCATTATTGCACTGCGCGACTCGACTATTTGAGCCCACGACGAACAATGCAATGGACTCTTCTGGCGATGATGGTGGCTGCCCTGGCCATGATGACGGAGGCGGCACCCCCGCGCGTCCGCAACCTTGAAGAATCCCAAGACATTGCCCAGCAAATTCGAGAAAAGAACCAGCGACACTTGGAAGGAAAGGCACGGATTCGCGACGCCCAAGAAGGCCGATTCTGGCGCAACCATTTGTGATAAACACGATTTTTATCGATTTGGGCTATCTAGTACAGGAGAAACAGGAGAAGATGCTCCCGCTCATGCGCTGCATGTTCACGCACTTTGCACAATCGGAGTCGCGCCTGTGACAACGGGTGCCGGGGTGGCAGCGGCACGGCGTTGTCGCTCGCGGTTTTGGTTCACAGACACTTCTTGGTACTTCTTGGGTTCGTTCCACCAGAATCGAACATAGCCTTCTCGCGTCGCAAACAACGTGTGGTCTCGGCCAATGCCGACACCCTTGCCAGGATGGTACTTGGTTCCTCGTTGGCGAATGATGATGTTGCCTGGAACAACAGCTTCGCCACCGAACTTCTTGACACCAAGACGCTTGGAGATAGAGTCGCGACCGTTCTTGGTCGAACCACCAGACTTCTTACTGGCATGTCGAACGAACTGTTGTGCCGGCGCGACGGGCGCCGCCAAGGTCAAGCTCCGGAAGAACGCCAGCGACATGATTGTGTGCGAAGGAAATAACTCCCGCTCCACCCAAGCTCACGTATCCGGATACTGGAAGTATCCGGTTATTCGTTTATCCGGAATTGGCAACGCTGCCGACAGGAGACACGCGCATGGACCGTCGGCTTGCTCAGACTCGATGGACCAAAATTAGTCCCATTCATGGAGGGCGAGACGAAAGGGGAGCAGGAGCAGCATTTCTCATCTGTTCAACACTTGTCGTGGAGTAGTTGCGTCTTGCGCAAAGTTTTAACCACTCTGAGGCTCAACGTATGGTTCAGTCGAAACATTGACAGCTCAGGAAACCCCGACATGGAGACGGAATTTTTGGCCTAGTCCAGCGGAGGTTGAGATACTGGAAGGAATGAGCTCATCATGTTCTGGTTGCCATCGATGCCAGGGCTTTTCAGCTCCCTTGAATTTGTTGGCTCATCTCTTGAAGAGGAGAGGGATGATATGCACAGAAAACCTCGCGGTGATGTCTTGTGTGGTGCTGGAGAGAACACGACCATCATGACATGCAATATATATTTGGGATTATAGGCGAAGGACTCAGGGGGAGCACTTTCACCATCGAACTGAGGATACCCGCTGGTACGGCTTACTCGTTGATAGCCGTCGGGACAATGAGGACGTGCCATTGGTGCAACCAGCAGCAAGCCCTGTCCATGTATCAGCATCGGCCCATCCGTCCATCCTTCAAACGTACCAGAACATCCACAAGCAGACTCCCGTCATAGCGGCAAACAGAATGAAAATCCTAGACGCGCGGGAAGGGGGGGTTAGCTGCCATCAACGAAGGCACTTGCGCGGGAGGAGGCGAACGTACGACGCATTCTCCTTGTCGACTTTGCCGGTGATGCGAGCAATGAATCCAACAACGACGGTCACGATCGTAAGGACGAGGTACGTGATGCTTCCATGCACGAAAGGCTCAGGAAGCGTGGACAGCAGGGACGTCGTCGGCATGGTGATGAGCTGGAAGGCGACTGGCGATATCGGCAAGCGGCGACGAAAAAAACCAACGCAGACTTACGCACCCCCCCAGGCAGTATCCTGAGAACGCATAAACCGAGGTGATATTGCCCAGAATATTTTAGAAATAATCCAACATAAGGACTTAAGGTTGTTCACGCGAGGGATAACCCCATCACAGTCTATTTGGGGAATCATCCGGATAACTGCTGACTTATCCGATCAAGTCTTCAAAATTGTCCGAAATCGAACTTCAACGTGGCAGTGTTCGACGGCAAGACTCGAAAGGGCGCGCTGGACCTCATGCCATCCAACCACAAGGACACCCACGGTTCATTTGCCACCGTCGTGACAGCGAACAGCCTTCCTCGATGGGGAGACATCCCACAGCGGCAGGACAATGACATGCCCCCGATTTCTTCGATGAAGGTTCCTGCCGTGCACTTTCGCTATGACACAGGACTGAATGCCAAAATTGCGCTGTGGAATGGTTCGATCTGGAAGCTAGAAGTCGATGCGATTGTCAACTCGACAAATGAGTCTCTCACGGACGACACCGACGTGAGCGGCGAGGTCCTCAAAGCGGCTGGCAACGAAATTTTCACTGAGATTCGATCTGTCGGGACATGCCGCACGGGTGACGCTGTCGCCACACGAGCATGTCAATTGCCTTCCAAGTGCGCACATGTAACGCCATTGCATTCTAGCTCATTCTATGCCTTGTAGGAAACTCATCCACACGGTCGGGCCACGGTACAACGAGAAGTACAGGATTGCAGCGGAAAACGCACTACACTCGAGTTATCGCAACTGTTTACGTGTGGCCAAAGAAGAGCGAGCCGCAACTGTAGCGTTTCCATGCATTTACCGCAAGAAGAAAAACTACCCGCGGGACGACGCGGTGCACGTCGCGCTTCGAACAATTCGTCGGTTCCTCGAGCACTTTGGCGACGCATTTGACTTGATCGTTCTTTGCGTTGACGACTCGAACGACTTTCGACTGTACCATGAATGCCTCCCCTTGTACTTCCCACGGTCCGTCGGCGAAGAAATTGCGGCCACGGTCGCGTTGGACACGCTCAGCCACATTAACCTGGGGGATGAGCATGGGGAGCCCGTCATTGAAGAACGAAAGATCCGCATCAGTTCGATTCCGTTCACCCAGGACGGTTCCGACAACGATGTCGACAACAGCGACAGCAATCAAAGAAGACACGACGAAGACGGAAGCGACGTCCGGACGATGCCGCTCACAGGTCAGGGTATGTTTCAAGAAGTAAAAATTCATCGCGTACAACCAGGTTTCGACCGCATGGCACCCGACTCAATGGTGACCAAGGCATTTTGTGAAATGAGCCCAAGCCCGGACAGTGAACGCATGGAACTGCTCAAGGCGCGACGACGAAGTAGCACCAACTCGAGGTCCAACCCTGCAAAAGAAGTTGTTACGTACCAGGAATACGTCCACCAAGCGAGGCACGAGGTCGGTCCCGCTCATTGTGCCGAAAAAGCCCTCACGCCCACGTGTTTGCTCAAAGGACTTTCAAGACATTGCGAGATTGGGACTGATTCACCGCGCGGGGGTCGACCACGCCGGAGCTCCCGTGCTCATGGTCGTCGGAAAGAACTTGCCGTCCGAGGCAGTTGACCTCGATCGCGTCCTGCTCTATGTAATTCACGTCATGGACGCTGTCGTCGACAGAAAGTACTCGGTTCGGCCAACAACAGAACACCCGTGGAATGGTTCATTGACATCGAGATACAGGTCGTGTATGCCCATGGTGGCGTGATCGACCAGAACCAGCCCAACTCGACGTGGCTGAATCAGCTCTTCAAAACCTTTAGCGCCAAGTAAGACGTACCATCCCGTCGTGCCTGACTCTCCCCAGGTACCGCGATAACCTCAAGGCGTTCTACATCCTCGAAGCCACGATGTGGCTCAAGATGACCCTCTGGCTCGCCAAGGCGTTTGTCCACAACGCATTCTACGCTAAAGTAGCGTATCTGGACTCCATCAAAGCGTTGGAACAAGTCGCACCGAGTCTATTGCTTCCGCAAGACAAGTAACAGTGTCGGGTGAGTTCAGAGCCAAATTTGGTAATGTGACAAAGCATCGTATTCATGCGAGTTCCGTCCATTCACGATGTCGCACAGTCGACGAGGACGACCGAATGGTTGTCCGAACCCGCAATCAACTAGCAAGCACACAACGTGTTGTGCCCCTTCCCACCGATAGCCAAGCGAATTTCAACTTTACCGTGTCAGACACGCCGTCCACGTCGAGGGTATTCCACGGCAAGATGCCGTTGGCGACGGTGGTCACTGTGACGCCGCCATCGCGCGAGTGGCGCTCGTAGTCGACCTGGACATCCACGTTTCAGGTCTTCCTTTGACTCTGCGTCCACTCAAACCTTGTCCGACGAAGGAGAGCCATTGCCGGCGTAAAAGTCCCAGCTTAATACGGTGTGGTCGTCGCTAGCAGTAAAGACGAACCCTGGCTTGGCGTCGTGCCACTTGACGCTGCGCACTAGACGAACGATCAGGTCCACACACAAGCGTCGAGAGATGGAATGCTGACGCACCTGCTTTTTTGTGACGGCATTCCGTGCGCAGGGCGCCATTGCCAAGGAAACGTCGATCCCACAACGTCAACGACCCGTCCTTCGTGCCGGCGAGAAGCAGTTCCGGTCGAGTCGGATGGGCAGCTAGGCACGTGTATGCGCTTCCCGCTGCCCTACTCACCAGCAGCACTTAGCGATGAAAGGAGAATGCGATAGCTCACCCCGATGTGGACACGGGTTTGTCGTGACTGGCCTTCAAATCCCACAGCTGAAGCGGCTGTCGTGGGTTGGCACTGCCCATGTTTGCGTTGTCAAGTTGGTGGTCCCGATTATCATGGAAATGGCGTACCAGGCAAGGGCAATGTGGGTTTCGATGCCGAGCATTTTTACGTCATGGGTCGCCCATTCATCGAGATCTACATGAAAAATATGACCACATATGGGGTGGGAGCGACATGTACCGAGTACGAGGACGCTGCGAGGGCGATCGAGATTGGCCCACACGACTTGTCCGCTTTCACATGCGGCGACGATCGATGCGGATGGACTGTCGACGTCGATTCCTGCCAAGCTTCCCAATGACAAGTGCTCCCATTGAGGAATCGCCTGTGTAGAAGCAATATTGTGATGAGCAACGAAAAGGGACCGAGAGTGTGACGTACTACAGACTTGAGAGCGAGCGACGCGTCCGACTTGATAATGCTGCTGACGTAGAGACTCCCGTTGGAGCTTCCACTCACAACAAAGTCGTTGTTCGCCAAAGAGAGAAACCCCAACGACGTGACATCCCCAGCATGTTCCAACGAACACAACTCGACGATTTCCGTCGACGCCTCGTTCCTGTGCAATGTGTGAGAAACTTGTCAGGATGGCACTCAATCACCGACGGACCCGAATTCATCGGCGAGATCCATGTGATCCGCCGTTGGCATTTGAGGAAACAGCAGCGAGATCGCGGTGTCCTACAGGGCGATTGTCGAGTTCATGGTTGAAGTCGCAGATCAACACCAACACGTACGGAAGAGTCGTATCCGCCGGCGACAAGCAGTGGAACGGCGCATTCGTCGCCTTCGAGGCAGGCAGCGCCCTTGGCCCCCTGCAGGAACTTGACAGCGCGGACCTTCTGGCCAACGTAGCTCGTGATCTCCTTTCCCATTTTGGCGTGTTGGTGTTCAACCAAGCTCGACATCATGGAGAAATAAAATTAGGGGCAATCATCTTGATATTTGTAAGAAATATTAATTCCCGTTGAAACGTGGAATTCTTGCTTGTGATTGGCCAAGGAATATTGACCATTGCAGAAATCTTCCGGCGGCAAATCAACATGGATCGCGAAATGGACGACGCCTCCAGTGCAGAAGAGCCACTCTTGACAGACGAAGAACGAGGCGCCGATGGCGGTGAGCAACGAATCCCATGGCAGCCACCTCCGACTGAGTACCTGGGCTCCAAAGTCAAGTATTTCCGTCGCCTCCAGAAGGACTGGGTGTCATTGTCACCCCCTGCCAAAGCAACCAAGCCGCCCAGTGTGTACCCTCCGCCCCACGTACTCCCACCTGCAGGTACAGATTGGTCTACCTCGTTGCGATGCGTGGTAAGTACGTGATCGCATCCCTCTGTTAGCGTTTGTACGCGGCGCCAGTGAAGAAAACCTGGCGCCATCGTCGTCGAATCGAGTCTTCCAGAGCTCATGGGCGACGGTGTTCTCAATTTGGAACACCATGATTGGATCCACATTGGTGGCGCTTCCGTATGGTTTCTCATGCAGTGGTAAGTGCTCAGTCTTCCGACATCAGTGCATCACTCCTTTGCAGGCGTGCTGCTTGGCATTGGCATTGTCATTCTCGTCGGGGTCATTTGCTGCTACACATGCAACTTGGTCGTACGATATGGCAAGGTACGTTGCATCTTTCTCAACGTCACGACCAACCTTTTCTCGACAGGACTTTCCAGATTTCGGAGATCTCATGCAATACCACTTCGGCCAGCGAGCGCAAGTGCTGACCCTGAGTGTGTCGGTGTTTGTTCTGCTCGGTGCATGCATCGCGTACCACGTACTGATGAAGCAGTGCGCGTACACAGTGTTCCACGCCGCCTTTGACTGGCTCCATATCCAGGTGCATTGGTCGCCGGCGGCCGCGGCGTTCATCGTGTGCTTGCTCTTCCCACTGACGAACGTCAAAGATTTTTCGACGCTCGTGTTCCTCAATTCGTTTGGGATTCCATTCCTTGTCTTCACCATCTACTTCATCACGTTTCATGGCATTCGCGCGATTGCTACGCACGCTCCCATGGACGCGATCGAGTTTGGCGCCAAGTCGACGTTCGGCGTCCTCGGCGGCATCGTCACTTTGTCCTTCTTCATCCACAATGCCATCCAGCCCATCATCCGCAACAGCAACCCTGCCCATTACACGGTAGCGACTGACTCATGTTTCAATATTTCACTGCTCGTTTTGTAGCGCGACGTCACCGTTGCCTACGTCTTGGTCGGGATCAGCTACACCGCTGTTGGCGTACTCGGATACGTTGGGTTTCCCAGAGGACATCCCTTCCAGCAAAACTTTCTCGACGCGTTTCCAGTGGAGTACGTCGGCCACGACATGAACAACTGGCGGTAATACGTCGTGTGCAGGGACGTGTTTGCCTTTGCCGCGCGCGTGTCGCTGCTTTTCCAACTTGCGACGGTGTACCCACTCTTCTTCCTCATCATTCGAACGCAATTGTTTGGACTGATCTACCGAAACACGTGGCCGAGTGCGTGGCGCGTCGTGCTGCTCAACGTGGCAATCATGACCGCCACCACGCTCTTTGCAGTCTTCTACCCGCACGTCGGCGACATCCTGAGGTTTACTGGCGCTGTCGGTGGGCTCATCCTCATCTTCATTGCCCCTGTCGGCCTGCACTGGAAGCAGCAACGGGCCAAGCGGCTGTGGACGTGTGGATCCATGCTTCTACACGGAGGGATTGTCCTCGTTGGCGTTGTGCTGCTCGCGCTGCAATTTGTCCACTGAGCAAGTTGTCACATAATTGAGATGCGTTGAAAAAATCGTCGTGCAATGCTGATTCACATACCGGCTGAAAATAGATCACGCATGGCATGGCGGAGGCGACGGTCGGACGCAGCACCGATGGAGGCGGTCGACCTGCCTCGGCTGACCAAGAAGCCATCGATGGCCCTCGCCACAGGAATGCATTCGACGAACTCCCAAGCGAGGCAAAGGACCATGCCGTCCGGGGCGTCCAGCTTCTAAAACAAGGTGACTTCCTCGCTGGCATTGAGGCTCTCGAAGCTGCCATCGAGGTACATGACATGCATTGCCTGGGACCAGGCGCAGCTAGCGACCGTCAAGTAGTTCGCCACATCATTCACGCTGACTTTACGGTGGTGTAGGTAGAAGGCGACTGCTGGATCTTGTGGAAACATGTTGCGATTGCCCATTATGACCTGTGGAGGCACGTGGCGTCGGCCAAAGCTACGCTAGCGTCGACGTGGTTTCTCGCCGAGCATAGCGGGGGCGCGGCTGACCCTCTCGAGCGCTTCCTTCGGGTATGCAGAGCGTTCCAAGCGAATGTTGACTAAGTTCGTCTACGCAGACGGCGTACGACGTGTTCGTGGTGGCCATGGAGTACAAGGAAAACAAAAACCACCCGGCGATGCTGCTCAAACTCGCAGTGTTGTATGTGGAGCTCGACGCGTGGCAAGGGGCGCTCGAGCTGTGCACTCTTGTGCTGGAAACCACCAAGTGGTCAAATTTCCACCAGTTCAACGAGGCCGTGTTTCTGTCCGGCGTTGTCGCCCTCGGCCTTCGCCACGCGACTCAGAGCGGCGAGTACTTTGCCTACCTGATCGACAACCCTCCCCACAACCTGCGGTCGTACCAGGTGCTGCTCTTGGCAGGTACCTCGGCTGCCTGCGTGGTGGCATCTGTCATCGCCTGTAGGCATGCAATTCGACAGCCAAACCGACTCGCCTGAAGCCATCGAGCGTTGTCGCGTGCTGTACGTCGAGGCGTACAAGCGTCTCACGACCGGCGTCCGGATCGTGGCGCCGGCGCCGTCGGAAGCGACTGCGATGGAAATCTACCTCACGTCACGAAAAAGCGAAAGCGAACGCATTCAAATGTGGCTCGGAGATGCCAACGTGTGGGAAACGCTGGGGATGGACCTATTCACGCACAACCATCCGTTCCTGGCGGCACGGACATTCGACTACGCGCTCCAACGACAGGGCTGTCGGAGCGTTGAGAACCTTGTGACGGTCGGACGCGTCCACCACCGCCTCAAACGAGTCGAGAAGGCGCAAATGTATTTCGAACAAGCGCTGTCTCTGTCGTACTATGCCCATCCGACCCGATACTGGCTCGGCGTCGTCTCATTTCCGTGGAGCCAGCACTTCAAAAAGGAAGACCGAGGCGCGCGAACGTATCAGCGACTGTATCGCGGCTACCGAGCGCGATGTCGGGTGCTCTTGCTTCGCGTAAGAGTAGAGCTGTCTTCGTGGATGTGCTCACCCATCGTCGTAGCACCGTCGAGCGTGCACGTGGCTAGAAAAAATGCGCTGCGCGAGTTACGCCCTCATCCTTGGCCGCGCTGCCAAGCATCGCGTAGCTGTTCGAAAAGCTGCTGAATTGGAGAGGGAAGCGGCAGCCCGAGCTGACATGCACGTCGAGGACTGGTTTCTCGTCTATTTGAAATGGCACGCCGCGGCCCGGTTGATTCAGTCACTGCTGCCAATCTCGCGGGCCAAGAAGGAGAAGATTACTCGTCGGGCATGGCTACAAAAGCACAAAGCGTTGCTGCGGCGCGTAGTCAGCCACACGAACGATCGCCTTGTGCAAACGTGTTTCAGTGCGATGGTTGAATTTGTCGAGATTGTTCACGACGAACAACTCCATGCAGCTCTTGTGCTTCAACGCGCCGCACGGAAATGGCTCGGACGGCGGCATCTGGCGCGACTTGCGGCCAAAAACTCGGCGCAACAGAAGCTGCTTGTTGTGTTCCTTGGGAAAGCCAAGAAGCGGTGGAAAGCTGACTGCTTCTTCGCATGGCGAACATGCCGCGAGCGCACGATAGCCCTCCGCCGCGCCAGTGCCATTCGCATCCAGTGCGCCTTCCGATCGTACAAAGCCCGTCAAGTTTTGCGGGCCAACATGGCGAGACAAGTTCGTGTCCGGCAGTTCATGGCCCAGTTAGTCATTTCACGGGACGGCCTGTGTCTCCGCAAGTCGTTCCGTGCGATGACGGCGTTTGCCTTCGCTGCTCGGCTGCACAAACACGCGTGCGCCACGCGAATCCAAAAGATCCTTCGGGGGCGACTCGCCCGGAAGCTGGTCGTTCGTGTCCGCAAGCGGCACCAGCACTGCGAGGGCTTGGTCGCAAAAGCCCTTGCACAGCGAGCAGAAAAATTCCTGGCGCAGTTGTGGACGTCGTGGGTGCTATTTGGGCAAGTCGTGCAACTGGAACGGCAACTCGCCGCGATTCGAATCCAGCGCATGGAACGTGGCCGTGCGGCTCGCCGTCGCGTGAAAACCAGGCGAGAATACCTGTTCGTGTACTTTGACCACGACTGCCTTCCCCGCGGCGGTTCGACGCAGCTCCGACTTGCGTTCGTTGGCCTTTGGAAGCACCGACGATATCGCACGGATCGCGAAGACGCCGCCGCCCGAACGATTCAGCGCGCGGTCAAGCGACGTCGCCATCAACTGCAAGCGCAAATTCTCCGAAACAAGCTCAAGCGAAAGATGCAAGTCGCGACGATCTTCCAAAAGACCTTTCATGCCGCCGCGACGGCATTCTTCCATGTGCTCAAAGGACTTTGTACCGACAAGCGCCAAAAGTTGGATGCCGCTGCGCGAACGCTCCAGCGCAACTTGCGTGGGTGGCTAGCTCGACGTGTGATGGCGCGCTTAGCACAGCAGTATCATGCGGCCAAGTCACTGTTGGATCGTGTGATCCACAGAGAATCGCGAGCGGCGATGGCCATGGTGATGCGGCTGTGGAAGGTCCGTTGGGTGATCGACCCTCGAGAGTCGAACCAATGCAATATTGATGCGTAGGCTGGGATCCTCGTGTGCCGGGACGAAAAGAACGCGGCATGCGTGGCAATTCAACGGCGATACCGTGCTCGACGGGCGACGAGGGAAGCCCGATTAAAGATGGACAAGCGGCGGCGGCAGCGACAGCTCATCGAGCAAGGGACCGGCAAGCCGTTGGCAAGATGCTTTCGGACATGGCAGCGTCGAGTCATTGAAGCGGCCACTGCTACGTTCAACGCAAGCTTGTCCGCAAAGTACGCCAAGCACTTGGGTGCGTGGTCGCCGAACGCCTTGACTGGACGTGCCGGCGACTTGGTACGATGACGCAGCTTGAACGTAGCTCCATTGCAACTACGTAGCTGTCCGCGGGGGTTCCGTCCATGCTGTTTTACCATGTTCTCACACGAACTCGATCGTCAGGACTGTGCCAACTGCCCCCGTGGTTCGTTGATCCGTTGGTGTCTTCCGCAGTTACCTCGTTTGGTTGTAGCCATGGATTTGACCGCGCACAACTGCGGCAGCTCCTGGAGCTGGCGTCGTCGGTCATTTCCGATTCCAGGCACGCCACAACGACGGGTGGCCACCCACGTCGAGGCAGCAACGTCGTCGAAACGATCGCTTGGATGCCAGAGTGTCCCGTGCAAAAATTGATCTTGTACAACGAACCATCCATCGACGGAACGCGGCTCGCTGTTTGCCTCGATCAGCCAAAGACGCATCCCCTTGTGTCGGTCGTCCTAGGAGGATCTTTCCTGCCATCGCGCCACATCATGGCTGTCGCCCTCAGCTTGGCTCAGCCTCATTCCAAACTCCAGCAGCTCGTTCTCGAGTCGTGTCGGCTAGGTAGGCAGTGGTAGCAGCTGTCCTGCCTCATGAACTCCCCGTACATGACAACTTGGTTCTAGGAAACACTGGCGCTGCCGTGCTTGCGCTGGGCCTCGCGCACAACAAGAGCGTGTGGAAGCTCGACCTCAGCGGCAATAACATCGGAGACATCGCTTGCCAGGCCTTGGGCGAAATGCTGCTAGCCAACGACACCCTCGAGGTTTGTGCGCAACTCGCCACGACAGATGGACGACGATGCGATGCTCTAATCCTTGGCTAGATTCTATCGTTGAACCAAAACGACGTGTCCGACAACGCGGTGCTAGGGTACTTGGAGCCTGTGCTGCTCAGTCTCCCCGCGGCATCTGCGGTCGTGTCGATTCAGTTGCGTGGGAACGGCAAGTTGACATCACGAGGCCTGGACGCGCTGCAAAGTGCCGCTGCGTTCGTGAACCAGAACGCCATGCGGCCGAGTTCCAAGCCACTGGCCATCGACGGTTGAAGGGGCTTTGCGCGTGGTGGAGTCGCGGCGGTGCTTCTCGCGGCGTGTTTGTGTCGGCGAGACGGACCAAACGAGATGGTTCATCACAACCGATTAACTTAACGTTCGACACTGCGTTCGATCTCCGTTCGATCGACAATTTGGCCCCCTTCATTGCGACGTCATGCGTTTGGATAATGCGACGGAAATCTTCAGAGACACGGTGAAGCCAGGCAGCACCGCGCCGTCCAATTCCCGCACCGCGCGGTCGACATCTGCTTGATTTTTCAGCGCGACAAATCCAAATCCACGGGGCGTGATGCGGATGTAGTCGTACGAGAAGTCGGCAAAGAGGCGCGCCAGGTCCGATCGCGTCGCGTCGCTCGGTAGATTACCCACGTACACATCAAACTGATTGCGGCTGTCGCTTTGCCTGCACCCACAACGCATCAGTGAGCGAAGAAGCACGGAAGGACAGCGCAGACTTGGACAGAATCTGCGCTGTGGCTCGAGACCTCAGGAGCACGAGACATACCGTGGTGCATTGCCAAAGGACGTAGGAGGACCGTTGGATCGAGATGGAGGCGCCATGTTGTTGTGCGGGGGGTATGACCCACCCATGGCACTGTGTGTTGGAGCGGCAGCCATATCGGTGTGGCCCCACCATACGTTGTGAATGTGCACAACTTCGGGGTTTCCGTACTCGTCCTTGACGGGGACTTGGAGGAGGAGGTTGTCACCTTCCCGGAGTGGAATCCGGTGCTTGAACTCTTCCACAAAGACTTCGTCGAGAAAGAGAAGGAAACCGGTGGGCGTGATCGTAATCCGGAGCATGAACCCGCACGGCACAGCTGAACCAAACACGAGGGGACATCGGTGGACGATCTGCGGCGAGCCCCATCGGCGGTCCACATAACTGTTCAGAAGGATCTGCCCACCGCGCATCTTTCGGGGATTCATGTGGCAAACGACGGTGCCGTCGGGTGTTGCGATGTTTAGGACAAACCGACATGAGTGGGTGGGGATGAGCCCATTCACGACCAGCGTGTTGTTCGTGCGGAAAACGACAGCGGGGAGCGTCACACTGAGAGGTTCTTCCTTTTCGGAGGACCATTCTTCCGTCCGCAGGAAGCTCTCGGGCGGGAGTTGGATGCCGCGGCCGTTTGCGAGCCTCATTTCACCAGTCACAGTGTTCACAGACGACGTTCCGTGGGATGTCGACGATGGATGCGTGTCGGATGAATGCAATCGCGGTCGCTTAACTGTTGTCGTGGGAGTAGCTGGGGATGCACCAGGTTTCAATAGGTCGGCGAGTGGATTCGCTCGTTTGTTGGGTGCGACCTGTTTTACGGTCGACTTCGACAAGGGGTTCGACGACTGTTGCTTGGCCTTCGCGGCCATCACAGCTTTCACGCGATCGATCGCAGAGAGGGACGACATCGAATTGCTGCTTCCACCCGTTGAAGACGTGCTGGACGTTCGTGTGAGTGCCGCTGGTGCATGTGAATATCCTTGGGTGTGCTGCTTCTTGTCATGTGACGTGGACGACGAGACAACGTCACTGGACTTGTTGATCTGGTGGTGCATCTTAGCAATCTCTTGGTAGAGTTGGTGCAATTGGATCTCTTGATGCGTGAGGAACAGGCCGTCGTGCGCTTGGAGTTGCTGGGTAGTCGCTTCGCCGCTGTCGTCGCCGCCCATAATCCGTCGTGAGTGGAAATGAGGTTTCAAAGTTCGTACTTGTAGACCCCATACAAATACGAAATATAACTGTAGTCGACGGTCTCCATACAAACACCAAGTAAGTACTTATCTGTAGTGTATAGATTCCAAGGACAACGCACAAATTGCGCTGCCAACACCCCAGAATTCGATGCAGCTGACGGTGGGCTACGAAGACACATTCATTCAAGTCGAAGTCGATGCAGAGGAGCCAGTAGAGAACATCAAGGCTCTTATTGAAGCGCAGGTACCTTGCTGGTCCTTTGATGCAGGATCCGACAGTCTCATGTTGGAAACGTAGCTTGGCATTCCCTTGAGCTCGCAGGTACTCGTGCTCAACGGGCGGCCGATCAACCCGAACGGCACGGTGAGGACCTGCTTGAATTCAGTATGTGCGAACTGAACAATGGACGCAGGTGACTCAAGCTGGCATCCAAAACCATGATCTTGTACTGTGCACAGCACTGCAACCACCACGCCTCGCAACTGCGGCTCCCTCGCCGTTTTCACGTGCACCTGCGTCTATTCAAGCTCGCGCTGGCATGTTTATGCATGACATCCCGGTACTCTCGCACTTTGATTATGCCGTCTCATTCGATGTTGACTCCAGCCCAACTGTACGGCGGAACTGCTCATCGACATCATGCGGCTGAATCCACAACTACTTCGCCAGGTTTGACGCTTTGTGTCTTGCTTCGCCATCTCGACAGAGCATTGTTCTAGATCGAAGAGGGAAATCCTTCGTTGGCCCAGTCACTTAAATCGAACGATGTTGCGGTAAAACTCGCAAACTTCCGTGTCCGTTGTCAGCGACATCCTCGTTAGGGCGTTCGCATGGCGCTGATGAAACAACACATGGAAATTGCAGCGAGAAAGTACAAAGAAGAGCAGGAAGCGCTCGAGTTGGAGCGGAATCCATTCTCCGAAGAGGCGCAGGCCAAGATCGAGGAAGCCATTCGGCTTGGCAACGTCCAGCAGAACATGGAGATTGCCATGGAGGAGATGCCCGAAGCGTTCGGGCGAGTACACATGCTGTACATTCCTACGATGGTCAACAATACCCCCGTCAAGGCATTCGTGGACTCTGGCGCGCAGTCGACGATCATGAGCTCGGTAATGCCATGCATTCGCATGAGCTCGTCCACAGCTTATCCACAACGAAATTCTAGAATTGCGCCGAGCGATGCGGCATCATGCGACTCGTCGACCGCCGATACGCTGGCCAGGTATTCTCCCACCGTGTTCAACGGAACTAGAGGCATGACAAGTTGCCGGCAGGCCGTCGGCGTCGGGACGGCCAAGATTATCGGGCGCGTGCACATGGCACCACTCAAGATCGGCAACGTGTTTTACAATTGTAGCTTCACGATTCTAGACCAGCAGGTACGCTCGATTCAACTCGCATCACCTGATTCACGCGACCTCCGCGATGATGCAGGGCGTAGACTTTTTGTTTGGATTGGATATGCTCAAGCGCCACCAGGTCCAACTCGATCCGTCGGAGCTGCCTTTGCTCATCGACAAGTATTTGTAGTGTTCGATCGATTTGCATCGAAACGCGCTCGTGCTGCGTGATGGAGCAGGCGACCACGAAGTGCCCTTCCTCCCCGAACATGTACTGCCCCATGGATGCATTCGGTTGTCATCAACGCGAGGCGACAGGAAATTCCCGTGTCGGAGCAAAGTTCGCTCCCGCCGCCATCTGAAGCACCCGCCACGAATGCAACTCCTCCGGCCGCACCCACTGCCGCGTCCACTTCCCCGACGGCGCTTCCCCAGAGTTCTGCTTCCGGAGGGGGGCTTACGCCAGACCAGTCGGCCAAAGTCCAGCAATTGGTCGACATGGGCTTTCCAAACGTTCAGGTGGGTCGGAAAATCAGGAGCTTCATCCTGGGTACCCACTGACAGGGACGGGATGGCGTAGGCGGTGCAAGTCCTGGCGTCATGCAACTGGGATGTCAACATTGCCGCGGGGCTGTTGTTTGAATCGTAAACGATTGGAACAAAGTCGCCTTTCGAATGTCGACAAGCACCTCTACGTTAGTCTTCGTGGAAGGCCTTGACGAGGGCCTCTACGTCCCGAAACGGGCAAAACACCGAGTCGGTGTGCGTGCCAAAGAAGATATTGTCTTCGTCAAACGTGGCGGCGACAAACCATTCGTCCACATGGATCTTGGATTGCCACAGTTCAAACACAATCATGGACCCGTACGACGGCATGAGGTGTTGAACGCCAGGCTTGTGCAGCTGCAACGCCACGAGCAGGGCCGTCAGGGTGTCGTCATGACCCGAAAGGACGGTCAGTTTGTGCGAACTGGCGCCCTACATGCGCAAGCATGACGACATACGAAGGATGTGTGGAGGAGAGAGCGCGCACTTGCTTGGCCGTGAGCAGGTACCCCATGACTTCTTGAACGCCGCCACCGAAAGCTTCCTTCAAAAAGGGCTTGTTGCCGAGCGTAGCATGCCATTCCCAGGCATTGTGCTCGAGCGCCTTCTCGAGCACGTCGTCGGTGATTCCGTCGGGGAAAGGAAACGCGTGGGCCTTGCGGCATACGAGAATTTCGCGCACTTCATAGTGCACACGATCATGAGGAGATGAAGAATGTACCGACTACGTACGGAACGACCACTTGACGTCTTCGCCGTCTTCGAGGCCGGCAGATTCTTGTACCAACCGCTCGAGGGCTTCGATGTCTTTTACAGGGGACTCGTGGCGCCGACTCTTGAGTTTGGTGCTCATGTTGAAATAATCCATTTGCTTCCCCATGGAGAGGCGGCAGTTCTCGTCCAAATGGATGAAAATGTCGTTGGAATCCAAATGCTCGGGAAACATGCCGTACAATACCGACTGCGCCGACCGAATCGTGCGAGGGACATTCGTCGAGCGCACAAACAAGTCGGCCGGGGTCGCGTCGGCCAAAAAGGTATCGTACTTTGCCCGCATCGCTTTTCCGTGCGCAATCATCTGCTCCGACCCGAGCTGCGTCAAGTACCCGTTCGGCCAACCTCCGCCAATGATGTGTGCGTTCGTGGGAGGTGGATCGTTCCGCGTCAAGCCCGCCGGCTTGGCCATCTTGTCAAGAATAGATTCGTGGTCCGAAGTCACGAGGCGCTCGGCCCAGAACGCTTTCTCCCTCTCGTCCATGACGATATTCTTGCCTAATCGCGGCAGCACAGGTGATCTGTCGCCATGGCGAAACACCAGCATGACATGGCGTAACTGGAGGTCGTCGGTCGACATCGTGGTCAGGTTGGCAAGAAAGCGTAACTGCGACAATCTCACGTTTTCTTGAATTGTCTGCCGATTTGACACAAATCTCTTGGGTATTTGGCGGAATATTTGGTCGAACTGTGAATATTTGGATCGAATAATTGATAGATTGACATTGGAAAAGTTGACTAGATTATGTCATTTGATTGGTCAAATTTGTAGTGTGGACGTGACTGGATTGGCCTCACCATGAAGGAACGTCGGGAACGGAAACGGGTGCCATGGGCGGCGGTCTCAAGTTCCTCAACCTCAAGGGATGGCATCCGTCGAACAAGCAGAACCAGAAGAAGATTTGGATCGCGGAGCAAAAGCACAAGGCTAAAGAAGAGTCCGAGAAGGATGCTGCACGAGAAGTGCACAAGGACAACGAACTGCTCCGGTTTCAACAGGTAGAAACTCGCACTGGTCTCGAATAGAGCCCTCCATCCTGCGTCGGTGATACTAGATAGCCGCAACAAAAGGAGACGCCGATGCCGAAAGACGAATTCACTCTCAGAAAGTATCGTTTCTTTATCAACCGCCGCCTGGCCTCAAGAAAGTCGACGACAAGCACGGTGACGACGGCGAGCTGGAGAACGAAGACGACGCCGTCAAAGCGTTCCGCCTCAAAATGGAAAAGAGAAATGCCGGTCGGGACCACCAGTCCTACCAACGCCCTCTTGAAAAGCTGACCGGGCGGCGCGCGAACGACCCTGTGACGATCAAAGACCAAGTTGGTACGACGACGTCGCGGTGCGCTACCGTGTCCTGACCGGTGGACTAGAACGTTTCCCCATGCTGAAAGACGCCCCTGTCGAGGGAGAGTATACCCAGAACATCAAAGTCAACTTTCAGCCCGTGGGCATGAAGCTGCGCAACGTCCGGTGCGCACGGTGTCAAGTGTGGGGCCACCAAAGCGGCGACCGAGAGTGCGAAATGCGAGATCAGAACCCCAATGGTGCTTGCCATCACTTCACATCATGTTCGTCCTCACGATGTGGACCAGACGCATTTCGCCAAAACATCGAAGACCCCATGTCATATATCAACCAGGCACGCGATATTCGCCATATCGTCGTGTTCATGGATGCGTAGATACGAAAGGGCGACTTGTCGTTGAAACAGACCGCGCTTCCCCTGGAAATGGTACGATCGTATCACTCGACAAAATGACGCCAAACGCATAGTGACGTGTCAGCAATCCCGCGATGCCGGAGAGTACGACATGCTTCCGTCCGAGGAAGGTATGTCATCGTGACAGATTCATGCACTGGCAGGCGCGACACGTGACTAGACGAGTCGGACGACCCCGAGCGCAAGTTCCTCGCGTCGCTGTCGACGAAGGAAAAGAAGAAATTGCTCAAGAAGCTCAAGCGCGAGGCGAAGGAGTACGTCTGCGTGCCAAGTCGATTCGTTGTCACGGGAACCGTAGGGCCGCCCCAAAGACATCCAAGAAACGGAAGCACGACGACGACAACGACAAAAAGTCGTCCAAGAAGAGCCGGAAACGCGACAGGCATGACGATTAGTGCGCCTTGATTAATGCACGACACACACGAATCGATTCGAATGGACGGGTCGCGCGAGCAAGTTCAGCGGGTCGACCGTCGCCTTGGTGCTTCCAAACGGATTCTCCGAGATGTCCAGGCGTGGTCCACCCGCGCCGCGTACACCCTCAATCGCGCAGATGTCTCGATGCAAATCTTCTTCGCAGAACGACGTGAGGAGAAGCGGTTTCTTCGAGTCTAGCATTCGTATGAGCGTTGGCTGCCACAGCGATTGCAGCGCGGGATGGCCGAGGCCAGGGTTGAAGAGCACAAATGCATCGGGGGAAGGCAAATTCAGGTCATGGAAAAGGCCATTGTGGAATGACAAAGTAAAGGACGATGGAGCATGCGGCTTGCTCGGAAGCACGGGTACATGGTTCCCAATCAGTGAGATGTCGAGGCGCCAAGGGCTCAGCATCGACCAGAGATGGCGTGGCATGGTCGCTTCGGCACGAGCGCCGAGAATATAAACGCGATGGGCCTTTTCCATGGACGCGACATCAGGAAGCAGTGCTGTTCGTGAGATGTGGAATGAGGTTGGTGGAACAAGTGGGTAATCGAGAGGTTGTGTACCAGGTAGAAAGTGGCGAAGTGTCATGACGAACGAGAAGGTAGCGGAAACCAACCGTGTGACGGCAGGATCGTCACGTAGACTTGAAGACGCACCGGCATCGGCAAGCAGATCGCTCCAGGAGGCCGTGGATGTCGACAGGGATAGCGCTTCGACTGAAGGGCTTACACGTGAGGAGAGCTTCATGGGTTGCAAACGTACGGGTGCGAAAGAGATGACGGACGCTTGGAGACCTTGCGCACTCCAAGTCGTGTCTAAGCGAGAGAAGGAGGTCGTGCGTGTCGGAGTGATCGGTAGCTAATTTCGTTTCGCAAGCAGGCGAGCATGTCAGAACATGGCCAAGTTTCATTTGCCCGCATATGGGACATGGAAAATTCCATGCATTCAATGGGGCTGCATTGCCGAAGCATCTTCGTTGTACCATGGAGACACTGCTCCATCGAAGATGCGGCGGCACGGCCATGTGCCACGCCGTTCGAATTGCCATCCCAACCGATAAAGCTGAGGTAATTTTTTTCGCGTTGAATTGAGCATTCTGAAATCAAGTCAATTTTATGGTACGAATGAATTTTTGTGGCACCGATAAACCACCAGAATGGAGATTGCGAGCGAGGATGTTATCCGACTTATGCAGCAGTTCCTGCGTGAACACAAGCTCTTCGACACACTGCACACGTTGCAGCAAGAGTCTCAAGTGACGCTGCAAGCGGTGGACTCTGTGGATGCCTTGGCTCGTGACATCGCGTTGGGCAAATGGGACCAAGTACTCACGCAAACGCAGCACCTCCACTTGTCCACGTCCTTCATGATTGACTTGTATGAACAAATTGTGTTGGAGCTGACGGAAGCCGACGAGGGCTCTGTTGCACTGGAACTCCTCCGACAAGCACCGCCACTGCTGGCCCTCCAAGAGCGCGACATTACACGTTATGGCCACCTAGAGCGCATCACGCGACTGCCGTCGTTTGACGCGCGTTTCGCATACAGCGGCATTCCTAAGGAGAAACGCCGCGAAGAGCTCGCCAAGAAGGTGCACAAGTACGTCACGTCCGTGCCGCCGTCGCGTTTGCTCACCTTGCTCGGCCAAGCGCTCAAGTATCAGGAGCTCACGGGGGTGTTGCCGGGCGAGCTCGACTTGTTTCAGAACGCACCAAAGCGGCTCCAAGTCGACCGGACGGAAGAAAGCATCTCGAAAGGAAGCGGGAAAATCAAGTTTGGCAAGGCATCCACGCCGCAAACAGCCCAATTCTCCGTGGACGGACGCATGCTCGTGTCTGGCACGAAGGACGGGTTCGTCGAAGCTTGGGACTTTGACAAGTGCGTGTTGAGAAAGGACCTGGAGTACCAAGCTCGGGTGAGTCGTCTTGGCCGTCTCGCATGGAATCGTCACTGCGAGTATGCGAGTAGGACGAGTTTATGATGCACGAGGACAGCGTGACGGCTCAAGCGTTCAGCCGCGACGGAGAGCTCCTAGCCACCGCGACAGCAGAAGGCAAAATTAAAGTGTGGAAGCTGTCGACGGGGCAATGCCTGCGCCGGTTTGAACACGCACACAGCCAAAGCATTCACAGCATCTGCTTTTCGAAAGATGGCTCGCAGCTCCTCACGGCGTCGTTCGACCAGTTGGTTCGGTACGCAGCGACCATGCGGCACGCGATCGCAGTGCGAATCATCGACTTGGCGTAGACTGCACGGCCTCAAGTCTGGCCAAATGCTCAAGGAGTTTCATGGCCACGACAATTACGTCAACTTTGCCACATTCAGCCCTGACATGACGCGAGTGCTGTCCACGTCGGCCGATGGCACAATCAAGGTGGGCTGTCGCAGTAACTTGATCCATGCTTTGGCTTGTCGGGTTTTACATGCTTTGTGTGCGATGTGTGTTGATGCATGTGGTGTTTTTTTGCTTTTGAATAATGCATGGCGGTGGTTGGCGCGTCGTTGCTTTCATGGGAAACTGCTCGACTCGGTTGACGCTGTCGTCCCGTCTAGATTTGGGACGTCAAGAGCGCCGAGTGCCTCAGCACGCTGCGCCCTCCCCACGCCTCCCCAGGGGTTGAGATGGACGTGCTGGGCGCCGTTCAATTGCCGCACAAACCGACGCAGTTGGTGCTCGTGACCCGATCCAAAGCGATGTATCTCGTTTCGTGGCAAGGCGAGTTCACCACCACCACGTACACGGACCCATATACAGATCTTGAACCAAAGGGCGACTTTGTGGCAGCTGTGACAAGTCCCCAGGGCAAATTCCTCTACGCCCTCACCGACAAGGGCTTCGTGCTGTGCTTCAAGACGGACTCGGGGGTCCTCGACCACGCGATGCAAGTTTGCTCAGGCACTGTCCATGGAATCGCCCATCACCCACACCGCAACGTACTCGCCACATACGGCAGCGACGGCTACGTTCGCATTTGGAAAGCTTAAGGAACCTGGTGCGTTGGGGTGTATCGATTGAATGCAAACAAATTGGCAACCAAAGGCTGATGCCGAGTCAGTTGGAAATGACGACAAGGGGATTCGACGGTTGCTGGGTCGCTAAAAATTGCCATGGAATGAAGAGTCGACTCATTTGGACGCAATGCACCTGGTACAGTGAGGGGCGAAACTTGGGAAGGATGCTCTTGGGGTTGAGAAGGTGCTCGATTGACGGACAATGGAGAAGGCTAAAAAGGAGATATAGAGACTGTAAGCGAATGGAGGACTGAGTTGTTACGTGTGGCGATGCATTGTCGAGAGGAAGCCCGGCAACGCTCGGAGCCCTAAGATCAGACTGTGCGTCGTCATTGGTGCCTACGAAGTTTTGGGTCACAGTGGCTTGCAAGAAGCGTGAAGCAATATACTTTGGCGGCGTGGGGGGTCGATGACCGGCCGTTTGGATTCTTGCAGTGCAGTGATTATGCTGTAGAGGAGTGGCACTTGGGCATACCGAGGGTCTTCAGTGACTACAAGGCAATCGTGTATTAGATGGCATGAACAACGACATTTTTCGTTCTTACTGTTCAGCTCGTGCGCTAAGAAACGTCGGTGAAATGGTTTCTCCACTGGCTGGCCAGACTCGGGCACAAAAACAGACAAAGCATGACGATACCCGTTGTATTCCATGTACTCTCGAATGAGCTCATTGATGATCAAGTTCTCGTTCGATAGCTTTGCCTTGGGCGCGCCCTTGCCATGGGTTCCCCACTCAGAAGACGATGACAAAAGTACAAAACCTACCTCGTCAAGTGCTTGAAAGATCTCTGCACGAATACGCGCTCGAATCTGCCCCATGGATCCCCGCGCTTCGAGTGTGTCCTTCAAAGCTATACAGGATGCATTAGTTCGATGTCGTTGGCATTGCTTCATCCTCGAACCGTCCTTCAGGTCGGACAACGACAGAGTTCCGTCCATGTTCAACACTGCCGCCTGAAAAATCACGATCTTTTCGGTTATCCGGAGTTGTCCATTTATCCGGTTACACAAATCTAAACAAAATATTGCGTGGAGTGCAACTCGATGCAGAGCGTCCGTGTCTTCTTCACGTACACGGCCTGCATGGCGTCGCCCGAGGAAGCGACGTCCCATGGCAGATCCAATTCCAGGAAGTACATGCCAGGAACTACGAATCGCAGTGCTCGCCCAGATACGTCAAGTTGCATATTTTGCGAAGTTTCCATGCTTGGCGTTGAGATGGTGATGCGCATGTCGGTCTTGGCAGCGTTGGATACGATGGTGTATTCAGGTGTGGCAATATCGTGGCTGCCTTGATTATCGTCAGCATCGCCCACAACACATTCCTTGATGGCGCTCGTGACTGTAGCCAGATCAACTGAGGGCGGTGTGCCAGTCGAACCTGGGCAAGGCAATGTTCGGGAGTTCGCACCATGTAGTTGTTGGAGAAGCTTGCTTCTCGCAGCTTGGTCCTTCGAGAGAACCATGCCTTTGAAGAAGTGCCGGCCAAGGCGATCCTGAAAGTGCAAGTCCAAAGGTTCATCCAACCGTGAATTGAGACCAGCTAAATCGCCGTGATTGAGGTGATGCCTGCGTGCCAGATCGCCCCCTTGGACGACATACAAAAAGCTGTTGGCTCGAGACCACGCCGTGTCTTTTTTGTTTTCTTCATGGAGATGCGAGGCGGCAGAGAACGGGTTCTCCTTTGGCAGAAGCACAAAATTCGCTCCGACAAGTCGCGACTGGATGGCAAATTCGCCATTCAAATCTACCAAATTCAATCATGACCCACACACTTTCACGATCGCGGTGACGTACCTGCGTAGTCGTTAGCACAGGTAAACACTGTCGGGATGTTCGAGTCTGCAATGGCCATCAAGTCGGGGAGCCAGCTCCAGAGCAAATCGAACCGATTCGACTCAATAAAGTTGCCAAACCCAGTGTTATACCCCACCATCACTGCGTTATGTGGTGTCAAGGTCGAGGAATGGGTGGCTAGGAACGACCCAGCCGTGGCTTGGACGAAGCGGACTTCAAGAAATGTAGTTGTGGACGAAGAAGCGTGGAACCCTCGATGCGGGACCACTTCAGGACCGACGAACCACAGCGTCATGCGCAGCTCTACGCGTGTTGTTAGCGGACTCCATCGCAAGGATCGGCTGAAACCAGCGATCGATTTACCTGGAAAGAACGCGGTAATCTCGTTCCAATACTTGGTAAGATCAAAGATTCGCTGCTCGGCTTTCACAGTTGCTCCAATCACAACAACGTGCCGGTCTTGACCACCGCCAGTGTCCATGAGGTGCAAGGCCTTGGCGGCGTAGACAAACGTCATGGGGAACGACAGAGCGTCGAGGAAGGAGGGGTCCTGGGCGGCCATGGGCACGATGTTGTGGGTGCCATGGCACTGCGACAGGTACCCTTGCCACCCCCGTTCGAGCGGGTCCGTTGGGATAGTAGCACCAGGATGTCGCGGAGGCAACGGTGGAAATGCTTTGCGGTCGGTCCATCGAAACGTGCCACTGTAGAGACCTATCCACGTTCGTGAGATTCGATGTGGGCGACGTCTGTTCGTTCGCACCGTCGCCGCGCTGATCTAACTGAATATCGCAAGCAGTAGATGTCGGATGCGGCATCGTGACGCTTCGCTTGGCTTGTTTTTTTCCCATGCTGTTGAAACGTGCAATATTGCTGCACCGCCTCGACGCAACTTGTTCGATTTCGACGGGGGGGGGGACGAATGGAAGAATTGTCGTCGCGGCCGTTCACTGCGTTGGATGTTGACCGTGCGCAATGGTCACGAAGGTCGTTCGCCCGGGGATTGACACGGTGACAAGGCATGCATGATTTTGTTCGTTATCCAAACCTTTTGCGCCGACCCCCCAACGCAGACGAAGAGGATGCACCGACGACGCAACGGCATCAGAGCACTTCGTTCTCGTCGCTGAGCAAGGCAGGCACAGATACTGGGACAGCACTTCGGGAGAAGTTGGTGCCTCTGAGGCGGAGATGGCGGAAGCCGCTGCAGTGACTCGAGGAAGTGTGGTCCAATCGGTTACATGGTTTCAGCAGTTACACTTGGCATCGACAGGCGCCGTGGACTGAACTGAGGGCCAGTGGGCCGCGCGTGCATGTTCTATCGCTCGAGGGAGGATGTCGACTCCATTCAGCCAGCGAAAAACGCAGATCGCACCGACCGCCGACTTGCACCCCGAACCTGACCATCCATCCAGACCAAGCCACGTCGCCGCGTCGGAACGAATGCCGAGATAATGGCGGGCAGTGGCGTGGTACGGTGGCGAAAACTTTGTCCTTGAGACGTTGTGTTCGACGTTGGTGCGCATTGCGTAAACGTGGTTGCCATGGCTGCGAGCGAGCTATAGGAATCATCCATGGTACGCGTTGTAACGTTATCAGCGTTTTCGCGAAACAAATGTCGTCCGTCGACGTGATGGTGCCTTCGGCATTTGTCCACTCCGTCCATCGTAAAATGGACATGTCGGACTGACGATTCTCGGTCGCATCCAACAACGACCACGTATGCGCTATGCTACCACTGCTCCATGCCTCGATGTGGTGGCTAGCAGGCATGGCGTCAGCACGCCGTCGCCGTCGCATAGACTTGCCCCATAGGATATCTCTTGCATTTTTGTATGCGCAAGACGGCGATCTCTGCCCGACAGCGGCCATTTGGATCGTACAGCTGGGGATCCACCCCGATTTGTAATCAGTGGGGGGAATCTGGTTTGACGAGCAAACAGCGACGGATTCCACAGTCATGCGGCCCAAAGCCCACAATTCAACCCACCGTCTCCTCCGTGAGCATGCCCAGAGGCGCCCCCATCTCCATCTCTCCGCCACTCATGCCAGACGGCAGCAAGAGTCGCAACGTGGCGTTGGGCCATCCACCTGTTCGCGTTCGTTACGTCGGTTGAGGGTGTGTTTTTATTCAAGTACGATACAAATGCCAAATGCAACGTGTGAAATAATTTCAAACCCAGAAACTTCGATTTTTGACCAATCATATCGTCGCAGGAAAAGAGCGAGCTATTTTTATGCGGTTCTTCGGGAGGGACTTCGACGCGGCGTATAGTAATGGCCGGACCATTCCGGCGGCCGGAGCATTTCCCATCGAGGTGAGTAACCCGATCCATCCCCCGGCGACGGCGACGACGGATGCACCCCGACTGTGCGAATCCTCTCCACACCGACTTGAGAGACTCAGTATACTTGTCGACCCGGAGCCTGCCCCGCGACAGCTCCATGCACCGATCGCTTCCACGGGCCAACTCTGCGCGTGCTTCCTTGTCTTCAAACGCCGGACCAGGTCTCGCCAACTACTCCAAGCTGAGTTTCTCCATGTCTTACAAGAACCGTCAGTCCACAGTCTACGTCGACGATCCTCATAACGCTGCACGAGACAACAACAGTAGCTTTATCGGCGGAGGACGCGAATCCCAGCTCCTCGACGACAAGAGCCGGATGACGACCATGAGCGCCGCTAGCGCTGCGAGCACGTATTGCAGCAGCCGCGACAGCAGCACAAGCGTGATGAACCAACAGCAATCATCCAACATAGCACCTCTCCCGCGACCGCTGGAAAAGCAAACGTCGTTTGCGAGTTCTCCCATCAACACGATTCAAGAGGATAGCGATGTGTCCGAGGTCGAGATCGCCGCCATGCAGGCGAAGCGCGCTCTTCGACGCATGTGCTTGTCTCTTGTGACCCTCAACAAGAGCGGCAAGGACGACGAGTTGATGGACAACGATGAAGATGATGACGATGAAGACGATGGCGACTACGAAGAACTCAATAGCGCGGCGAGTTGCGCAAACAGTTTGACTTACCCCTTGCGTTACAGTGACGAGAACGAAGACGACCACGTCCTGCTGCCAAACTTCGGCAGGAAGGCCCAAAATCCAAAGAAGAAGCCCCGCCTCGACAGTGACCTTATCACAATCTCCCGCGCGGACTTGCAGCAACTGCAGTCGCGTTTGCAAGCCCTCGAACACAAACTTGCTGACCAAGCTACCAAGCAAGCCGACTTGGAGGCGCACATCGAGCGCGAAGTCGGGAAGCGGACGAAACATGTGGAAAGCGAGTATGAAGCCAAAGTCGAGGAACTCACGATGGCGCGAGACTTTGAAGTGGACCAAGAGATTCAGCGGCGGTTGTCCGAGTTCTCGGCAGCGTCGACCCAGGACAAAATCAGGCGGTCCAAGGCAAAACCCATGCGCAAAGCGCTCTTGCGGGCGTCGACGTCCATGTCGGACATGTTCCGCGGCGGTGGTGGCAGTACCACCGCGCCGTCCGATTTGGACCAGTTCCGAGAGTTCTTGCAGTTAAACTCGAAGCGGATGAGCGATCGGCTTAGCCGGTCGACGCTGTTCCGCGACACGTTCCATGGGCGAGACCCCAGCTTGATGACGTCCGACTTCGACGTTGACACAGACGACGATAACAACCACGGCGAAGCACTCGTCGACACGATCCAAAAGCTACGTGCGGTTGTGGCAGACCAAGGGAACCAACTGGAGCAAGCGAAATATTTAATTAGCGTTGCCGCTATCAAGATGACGGTGACCGAAGATGTTGTCAAAGACGCGTGGGAAGAGATGGGCAAGATGGACATGCGGTTAGAGCGCCAGGCGCAAGAACTGGCCGACCTCCGGCGGTACTCAACCTACAGCCAAGGCCACAACAATAGCAGTAGCTTTGCCTCGTCCACGAGCCTCAGTGTGAGTAGTGCACCCACGTTGCGGGCGTCGGGGCGGCAAACACAGCGAAGTAGTTAGGGTAATCGGAATGTACTTGCTACAGCACCCCTCGTCGGCCCTTTCGTCGTCTCAAGCGGACAGTGACAGCAGGGACTCGTTCACTCGAATGCGAAGGATGGCGGTGCCAAAGCCGTCATTGTCCTGGTTGCCAACCATCGGGCAACCGGGATATCGCCATCCCCTTCATCTATGCATGTCGACCGCCCCTAGATGAATCGACTAACCACAGTGGCAACAAACTCCAGTGCATGTTGATCTAGCATACTGGATGTCGTGCTGGAGACGCTTACGGACTCAAAATGCACACGGGGCACTTGGCGTGGTTGAGCAACCACTTGTCAATGCACCACGAATGATACGTGTGGAAGCACGGGAGGACGCGAATCTCTTGGGCGTCGGAGAAGTCACTCAGGCAAATGGCGCACCTGCAGCACATGATTCAATCAAAGTGGAGAGAGATGTCGGTGTTACCGTTTGGTACCGTGGTCTGCCGATGCGTCTACGGGCGAGGTATACGTGAACGATGGTAGCTCGACAATGGTCGATGCGAGCATTCGGCCGTGCTTCCCCGACTACGCCGTCTTGCTCAATTGGCACGACGGAACGGACAACTCCTACCTCGGCATATTGGGACTCCAAGCGCCGCACATTTCGAAGAAGTGATAAAAAGCGCTATGCATTTAGTATTCAAGCACTGTGACTTTGAAGTGCCAAGAATACCAAGTTGGTCGATGAATGTGGTTGGAGTACGGGACTTCAACATACGCGTGAGAGATGCCGTCGTACGACTGCGTCATACCTCGTTGCCTTCGACGGATCGAATCGCATGAGCTTCAAAGCAAGGCTTTCTTGAAGGTCAGTATCGCAAGACGCCACCGAGATCAATCCAGGCGCCAATGGCTGAATCTTGGAGTCGTCCGAAACGATTTCGTCCATTGTCACCGTCGGTTCCACGGGCACTGTGCGGTCACGTGCCGTCGATGTCGTGTGCTTCATCACATTCGGCAATGCAATCTTGGGCGTGAGTTCCACAGCGAGGTTCTTCTTGACACACCGCACAAAGTCGTTGGTGTCGTCATCGCTGTGCCCAAGCTCTTCAGCCAAAGCTTTTGCTGTTTCCGTGTCTTCGCTCCAGTACGAGGCCGCGCGCTTGTCCCACTTTGACTAGTCACCAATGCCATTAGCGCAACCTATCGCGACGACCGGCGCCGTACGTTGCCATTCTGCCCCGCCACGCATTGGCTCAACTGTTCTTGGACCCACTTCATGCCCGATTGAATTTCTCAATGCTCAAATTCAACTTGGTGGACTCTTTTGTGGTGTAAAATCCACCAATCGGATTGGCCAATTTCCAATCTGATGGTCATCGTGGACCAATCACGTTGCTGGATTGCATCAAATTAGGGAGGGATCGCGATCGATATCCGGATAGTATCCGGTAAGATCACCGCGTTCAAGATGTCTTGGCAATATTTGTATCCTAATTCATCATCGCCAACAACGGAGGAGGCAGTAGTATGACGCGTTCCCCAGCCGAGACACAGCGACTCCTTCCCCGCTCCACAACACTAGCCGCCCCACAGGTCCAAACCACCGTTGGACATCGAACGCACGCTCATGGAATGATCGCGATGACCACTTGCCTCGTTGTCGTTTGCCTCGTCGGTGGCGTTCAGTGGGGGGCTGCCTCGGCGTTTGCCAGCATCGCAACACTGTCCCATGATTCCGCGCCCACCGGCGCTACTACGAAACTTGACGTGTACGATCACGTGTCATTTCCATTGGACTGCTCGTTCCACCAGTACACTCTGTCGGCGGACGACGATGGTCTGGCGTACGTATCAGGGGATGGTCGTTCCTACCGAAGCGATCACACTAACTTGTTTGGCCGAGGCGTCACGGGAAAGATCGTATCTGTGGATGCAAACGCGTTTTTGATTCGAAGTAATGGCGAATGCTGCCGCTTCATGGACTCGGGCGACGAAATTTTGCTGCGGCCGACCTCGTTTTACAACTACCGCGCCGTCGGGAATGCCGCGTTCGATACGGCCATGGCGACTTTGTGGTAATGTCCTTCGTGCACTGAGGCATGTCATGTGCACAGCGTGTGCTTTTAGGGTCGACCCCGAGCAGGCGAGCATGTTCTGGCTCAACTCTGACGGCCTGCCCTTGAGGTGGGACTACATCCCGAAATCCCCCACAGGCCGACGCATCGCGGCTGGGAAAATGATGTCCATGGTCTTTACAAACTTTTCGTTGGGTCCCCAGGACAGAACCCTCTTTGACGTGCCTGCCATCTGCACCACGTCCCAGCGCTGTCGCTTCGATTAATACCACCCCCACCCCCACTAGTTGGTTGTTGTCGAGGACGCCAAAGGACAACAAAGTGCATGCGAGCCATGGATATTTCTACGGGATCGCTGCATATCTTAAAAAGGGCCCGCCTTCAGCGTTCGATCGTTCACGTTCTCATGTCGACGACAGGCTCTTGTACGTCACGACTCCGGTGTGCAGCTTGAGCGCGTCACCGTGGCGAATCGGTGAACCTGACGGTGTGGAAAACACGTACGGCAGCGTAAAACAAAACAAGCTATCGGGAGCGAGGTGGTCCATTTGGCTGGACAACACCACGTCTTGGTCTTCCGTCTAGAACGGCAGCTTTACAACACTATCAGAGCCGGCACGTACTTTCACGACAACTTTCAACGAAACCACGCCGTGGGGATCGCATGTCGGAGGAGGCGGGATTGCAGCGTAGACACGGCGCAACTGGGCAAATGCTGACTGAGGCTTGTGGGGACCAGACTTAGGCCCAGAGCAGTGGAAGCACTGAACGTAGATGGTCATCTCACAACCAGGCCAGACCTACCACAATGTTATCATCAAGAGAGCCGAAGAACCCTACCGCGTCGTCGTTGTTTCCGGAGACGACCACAGTCGAGAGGGGCTGGGAATGTTGTGGCGGTGGGAAGAAAAATCGATGGCCTGCTGCACATTCGTATTCGAGACCCACGTTGGCAATGAGCAAGTGAGGGCCGCAGTCGACGGACTGGGCGACGTCAGGCGGCTGTTTCGTATGGGGTTTTCGAAGGGAGTGCCGTCGACGTCGAGGAGCTGTTGCTTGGGGCACCCCAACGACGCTCTCGGAAGGGGCCGAGCGTAGCCATGGCGACAGCAAACTGAGCTTCGAGATAAAGCCAGGGGTCATGACAAATCCCTGAAACGGATCGTACGCCTCAAACGTGCCGAGGCGCACAAGGACGGGCAAGTCGCGTTGGCTCTAGTGTTGGATAAAGGGTCACAGCCAATACGTCGTTCTTGTACCTGGAGCGATGGATCTCGCTGGGCGCAGCATGGCATGGTCCACAAGTCCCGCCGATTCGCCTACACGACCGTGATGTCCCAATGAAAACAAAATTCCGTCGTACGTCAATGAAAAAGGGGTCGGGAATGCGGGTGACGGATGCACCACACACACAAGCGACGTTCAAGCAACATCCACTGTTGTGGCGGACGCCGTCCGGGTCATGAAAGAGCAGAGCGCACGGTCGATTCTGCCCGCGACAACAAATCATGAGAAGGTACTGAACCTCCACGAGAAAGAAACCCACCGAAACACTGATGGCATCACAAAGCCGCCGACTTTGATGCCAAATCGTGCTGCAAGCGTCGATGATATCTTGGGTGTATTTCTGCAAAACAGGATGACATGGAGCGCCAGAGACGTGCTGCATGGGGACGTACTTGGACGAATGGGTTGGATTTGCCGACGTTGCGGTGGAAGGCGGCGACTGTGCGCTGCACTCTGCTGTCGTGGACGTGACGGTTGATCTTTTCGGGTTTCTCTGCCTTGTACCGCTTGACAGCCGCGGTGCTTTCCTAAGCATCAACGACAGGTAGCACGCTTCGTGAAAAAGGTATACGCCGGTACCCGAATGCATTGGTCTTGGGCAAACGTCCCAACCGTGTCCACCGCTTGCATCAACGTGAGATGGCTATCAGAATAAGAATCACCGTGGATGTACAAGTCGTCCATTGGGAGGACATTTAGTGGCGCGGCATCGGGCGAGCAAAATATCGAGTTGTCTGTCACGACGAATGCGGCGAGAGCTTTGAAATGTTCGATCCACTGATCGAGAGGGAGAAGGTCTTTCCTCACGGCTACACACAACTTCAGTTTTGCGTCACAAAGCGGCGGAAAGTCAAGTTTCCGCTGGTAAAACACGCAAAAGATGTACCGTCGTGGGCAAAGAGGTCGATGCACTTCGACGCGAACTGAATAGCATGTGGCATGGCAATAGAGTCTTCGTCGTCAAGTGGCTTGAGCACATGCTTCAAGTCCATGGCTGGCGCGGAAGCTGCGATGTCGATGCTATTTAGAACGGCAGCCATCCGACCGAGAAGGCAGCAGTCGTCTGTGGCGAGCTTCCTGGGAACGGCCATTACTTCGTGCGTAGGGTCCAGGACAAACAGGCGCCGCTCCTTATTGGTGTTGTTGGCAGCGACTGAGTCTTTGGCGCGAACTGTCGCGATTGTGCCGCCGCGAAGGGGCTTGAGGATGGCATGGAGTCGAGTTTCGATGGCTTTGCAGAATGTTGTCGTTTGCGATCGCGACAGTTTCCGCCCACCATCCACGGGAAAAACAAACGTCGCGAGGGGCACACAACGACCTGGAGCGAAATGCGACGAAGAAAGGATGGAGGATGCCTTGCTCGCATGCTTGGAAGATGGCTTTTGCTTGAGCAAGTGGAGGAGTTGGTGCTTCGCATTCGAGAGCGATCGAAAGGTCTGTGTTTGGGAAGTGCTCACTCGCGCGTGATCGTGAACAATAAAGAGAACGTGGGAACTAGAGAACATGAGCAATTGCATCTGCAATTGATCGCGGAGGGAGTGGACTGACGCATCGTGAACTTCATTCGCCGAGACTGACGATGGAGGCGCCGACCTCCGATAGCAGAGGCCGAGGAGGAGAATCATCTTCTTCTCGATATCATAGAACATTCGGATGTTGATGGACGGCCCTTCGACAGTTGTGAATGCCTGTCGCCCGAGAAGGCGGTTGGCAAAGTGGGTCACCGCACTGGGACTGTCGCCAATGACACCCACAACAACAGCAGGATGTGCAAAGGACGTTAGCATGGACGTCAAAGCTTGGGACTGCTTGGAATCATCGGGAGGCACAAGCGGAAGCTCGGTATTGAGCACGACATCCAGTGGAAGTGGCGGCAACGGAGGCGGCGGTGGCAGTGGCGGTTGGGTTGCCGCCATGCTGCTCATGTGTTGAGATCGCACCGGCATCCGGAAATCCGTATTATGCCTTGTATCCGGATAAAGATTGGCGTCAAATCGTGTGGTCAGCCAAAATGTAGTCCGGCCAAACACGTTTTATAGTAAAACGTGATTGGAACTTATATATGAATCTGCAGACAAAAAATGCCAAATTTAATTATCCAAGGTGATATACATTTGAAAGTTGCGAAGGGGATTATAATTATGGAATTGCTTTGTCGAATACCAAAATTGTATTTATTTTGAATCGAAAAATGAAACCCCTGAAAATATTTTCGGCCTCGCCACTTCCAAGACCCGTTTGGCTGTGATGGGGGACAGCAGCAGAGGCGGCGGTCGCAAGCACAGCAACCAGAACCTCCGACCGACAAGGGGTGGAGGCGGTCATCACATACCGAATGCAGCGCCAAATGCAGGCATCAAGAGCGGCATGACCGTCGAGGTATGCCTTGATCTGTGCGACAGACAACGATCAATGACAAACGTGCGGCCAGGACTTGAAACGCTTGACGCAAAAGCGAATGCAAGAATCTGCTATTGCAGCGGCGGCGGCAGTTGCTGCGAATGTATCCGTTCATGCAGGAGAAGTCTTGACGCCCAAAGCACGACCTACCATCAGCGTCCCGCTCGGAACTCCGCAGCACGCGGTACCTGCGCCATGCGCTGTGTTTACTCCAAAGACGGGCATGTCTGTGCAGGTGCGTTTGCATGCACCTGCCTGCTCACGCCGTAACAAAAGTCCATCTTCAGGAGCTGAAACAGTTGACGACACTGCGCTTGGCGTCGCAACTCACGCCGACTCACCAACAGCAGCAACAACAGCTTCCACTGACTCCAACGGCTGCATCGAATGGGATCAATACTCACTCGAATGATTACAAGTCCATGCTTCAGCAATACTACTCGCGAGTGAACACACCGACGTCGTCGCCAGGAAATACTCCAAAGCGACTGGGTGGTCGGTCCTTCACCACCGACCACCAGACAAGTCAGCAGCAGCAGGCATCGCCAAATATTCACTTGCCGAATCCCGGGCAGGCCACGACGCGAGCGGCGGCCGTTAGTGCAGATTCCCGTCAACGCACGCAGTCCATCGACAACCGTCGACCGGGCTACACGCCAGATTTCCACCAAGTACAGCAGGTGGAACCTCAGTCGTTTTCTCCGCGGCATATGAACAACAGCCAGCGCCATCCCTACGATGCCATTCCGGACCCGCCACCGCCATTGTCTGGCTATTCGACATTGGTTTGTCTCGATCGAGGTCGCCATTCGTTGACGAGTTAGAATGATAGGGCCGACAGGCTGTCCATTTCGAAGCCGACTCGTTCCCGCCTCCGCCTCCAGGCGACGACCTGGGCTCCTTTGGCGTCCCCACGGCACTTCCCTCGTGGTCCCCTCCCCCGATGCGGACGAAATCCCTGCAGGACTCACGTCCGACGCTCTCTTTGTACCATCACCAGCCGGGATTCTATCCCCCGCCGGCCGCGCCTGCATCGGACGACTACGACCAGTCGGGTCCAAACGGCGCGTTCCCGCCACCTCCTCCCGGCCTCACTCGCCGTCCATCCATGACGGTGCCGTGGCAGGTGGCCGAGTCGGTTTTGCACACTCCCCAGCAGCCGACGGGGCGGAAACAAATTGTGTCTGTGCCTGAAACGCCATTCCATCAGTTTGCCCAGGCGTACCCCCAAACGAAGGGCGGTCTCCCGAACGGCGCTCCGAGTCCCCCGCGCATGCCGCTTCATCGCGGAACGTCGGGAACGTCGGCTGCGGCGGCGGCAGCCGCTGCAGAACTGAATGCCACTCCGCTAGTCCGCCAATCCAGCAAGGACCCGAGCAGTGCCGTTGCACAGCCTCAAGTGACTCGCCGTGGCAGTTTTGGCAATGCAGCGCAAATGTACCGCTTCCGCCGACGCAGCAAAAGTCGACTGGACGTCGCACGGGATTTAGCCCTGTTGGAATTGAACGGCGAAGACGGCCGGTACTTGTCGGCGGAGGAGCGGGACTTGATGTTGCAGCAGCAAGGTGGCGAGGACGGGTATGGGCCAGAGCGCTTCTCGGCATCGGACCTTGGTACGAACAACCAGCAAACGAACCTCTCATGGAGACTGTGTGTAGAGGACCTGAAAGCGTCGGATGATTTTGTGCCCTATTTCAACCACCGAGGCGGTCCAAAGCTGTCGATTCCACCGCCTCCCCCACCGATGGATGACGACTGCGACAGCGACGAAGCGGGGCTCCCCATGATGAGTCCAAACGGTGCCAAGCTTCGGAAAGTTGCCCAACTGGCCCGGAGTGGCAGTCTGAGCAGCGAGGACAAGACCCGGGTCAAAGATGAAATCATTCAGAACTCACTGGTACATTCATGTCTTTTGGTCAATCCAGATTGCTTACATGCAAACGTCGTAGGGCATGATGAGTTTACTCCCAGACGACTTGACCTCGGCTCCCCCCGGCTTTGCGCCGCAGGGGGGGGGATGGCAGAAGCCGAAAAAGTCGCCGAGTCGACCGCCCGGCATAGTCCGCGGTCATCCCCGTGCCATGTCGACGGACAGTTCGGCAAATCCTGTGAGTTTAGAAGATCGCCTGGCGTTGGCGGCCCAGCGTGTCGCCGAGTGTGTGGCCAAGGCGGACATGGTCGAGTTCCAAAAGGCGATGGATGTCCTTGACAAGCTGCGCCACGAAGCCAACCAGTTAATGCAGCAATAAGTAGATAGATCCGTTCAACCACGGTGGGGGGCCGTCGATGTAGATGAAATGTAATACTTGTGGCCCGTCGATGGCCTCCCCACATCATCCGAAATATTCATCCAATACACTACGAATTCCACGGCGAGTCTTTCATGCGTTGATCTCTGTGCAGTCGAGGCATAGTCGTCCATTGACAGCCGCTAGACACGGACAGTCCACGACTTGGAGGGCGATGGGCATGGCATTGGCGCCAAGAATTCTGAGCCGAAGGAGATGCATGTGGCCGGAGGTGACTGAGGACACTCTCCAGTATCCAACGCTCAGGCGGCTGCCTTGCTGGTTCGTCTGGGCCACGAGACACTCCTTCGACGCAGAGAATTCGTCGCACTTCTGTGGTGGACTCGCTGCCAGGGCCCCGTTGTCACGGCTATAGCGGAACAGCCAAGGTCGATCTCGACAAGTACCAGCATCTATCGTTCGATTCGAAGGTTGCGCCGGTCGTGCTGCTGCGCGGGGTGCGGAGGGAGGGTGATCTCGAGGCTCAAACCGCATTGAAAACCATGCGACAAACGATTAACTTAAACTGGGACGATCGATGTGCTGAGGGTCGTTAGCGCACGGGGACGGCGTGGCCGCTGCCGGGCTGGTTGATTCGACGCGGTTTTTCCTTGACGTTGTGTGTTCGCAGCAACTGGCGGAGGGCGTGCAATTCGTCCTTGTAGCTGAAGATGGACGACGCTTCGTCCCAGCAATGCTTGTTCCAGTTAAGGACGACCGTTGCCCATTCCTCTTGGGTCTCGGGGGTCGACGCGGCAAAGAGGAGGCGTTGGTCGTGCTCGAGCTCGGGTGGAAACAATTTGCTCATCGCTTGCTTCTTCGCTTCCAACGTTCGCTTGCGGCTCGAAATGACAAATCGGTTCGGGAGCGACGACAAGTCGTTGCGAATGAGGCTCGCGTTCACTTTGTTCCCCGAGAGTTGGAGCTCGCCGAGGAGGACGCCGCCCTTGCCGTTGTAGTATTGCAACGTGCCTTCTTCGAGGATGCAGTACACGATGCACCCGTACTCGTCGTCGATTTTGATCAGGTACCCTTCGATGCTGCCGCCGTTCGACATTGTATATCGTGGTCGACTGGACAGAGAGACTGCGAGCGACCTGCGGGCGCGGGTGAGGAACGCACAATGACCGCTGTGGGCCACCCCACCGGGTTGTTGGTTCGCTACCACTTGGAACGGACCACGGCGGAAGCCACCAATCAACGACGGCGAATCCTCCACGGGGCCAGCGATTGGTCCGTTCGGATAAGGGAGGATTCAACGGAAGGCCACGGGAACGTTCGAAACAAGTGACTCGGGGATAAACCCAACAGTAGATCGGGGACATAGGTGCGCTTTATTTAGGGTATGGAACATAGTCATTTGAATGAAGTATGCTGGCTTTTTTGTTTAGGGAGTTTCAGCTTTCGCCTCCACATACCTTGGTCGTTGGAAGACGATGAAGGCCGAACGTGTTCGGGGAAGCCAACCAAAGCGGTGGTGGGGTTTGACGGGTGTAGCCAGCGAGGGCGAGGGCAGCAAAGGCAGGAGCGGCAAGCTCTAGGGTGTATGAGTGGTGGATAGTTCACGCGGGGCTGCATGATCTACCATCCACGTTGCTGCGATCATGGATGTGGACTTCTGACCCCCCCCCGGAGAAAAGCGTCCGTGACATCATGTGTGTTCCTGTGGTTTCGCGTGGTTGCATGTACAAGTGCCTCACTCCAAGTAGTTTGAAGGCGCAGTGTTCAAACGAGGGAGTTTCGTGTGGCATGTCGACGGAATGTGATCTTCATTTCAATGGATGGGTCGGGTGCGAATTGCGGACAGAATATCACCATGGAAGGAATCGTCGCACGCCATCGTTGGTTGAGAAGGACCCACGATGCGTTTGCTCAAGCACCTCGGTTGCGCAGTCTTACTGTGCTCGTGGAGGAGACGGCGTCGGTTCAAAGTTGAAGTTGCCACTTGCGAGATTCTCCAACCTATGCCAAGGGTTCTTCTTACATGGACACTAGGCGTTCGAACTCAGCCTGACACTGGAAATCTTGTCGAGAATGCCAGCCCAAAGCCGTGGATCCGCAGCCACGCATGCTCCTGCTGGCCACGCCGCAAAGTGAGCGACAGGCCATCGCGCCCAACATAAGGGTTTTGTCCCGCTGATCCATTCATCCGGTGACATATTCGGAATGCGTCAAAATAGCTGGACAGGAAATGCTGTCGTCGGCTTCTCACGTGACGACGACAGTCCACATGCATGAGGAAGGACTGCGCCTTGTCGTGCCGCCGCGCACGCCATCGCGGAAACTCCCCGTGCGGGAAGGTCATTTCGGTGTCAAGTGCATCCTCGTTGGCTTAAGCGTGGTCGCCGTCGTTGTAGTGTGCTTTGCAGTGCGGTGCTTTCCACTTCCGTCGTCGCCCGAACTACCGTCCCATCGCATCCTGACGGCAAACCCCATCATCGGCATCGTCTCTCAACCGTTGAGGCTGTGTCCTGAAAGTGAATGCATCGCGTCGTCGTACATCAAGTGGGTCGAAAGCGCGGGAGCTCGCGCCGTGCGCATTCCGTCCAACGCGACCGACGACGATGTTGCTCGAATCCTGAGTTCTGTCAATGGCGTGCTGTTTCCAGGGAATGGGATCGACCCCAGTCGCGTTGCATCCTTCATTTACAACCACGCGGTGGCATTGAACCAGAATGGCACCCATTTTCCCATCTGGGGCACAGGCCTCGGCATGGAGTGGCTCGTGCAGCTGGAGTTACGAAGCACATGCATCTTGGACGCCGTCAACGCCAATAACATGAGCTCCACGCTCGGCTTCACGCGCGCAGCAACCACGAGCAACCTGTTTGGGTTTAGCGCGATCTTTGCCGTCATGGGGACCCAATCTATCGCTGCCTACTTTCACTCGGTTGGGATTTTAGCCGACCGCTTTGACGAGACACCAGCGCTCACTTCGTTCTTTCGCGTAAGTGGATGTCGCTTCTGGAGCGGATTTGTCATGGCGTGCGTAGCTCCTCGCGACTTCCGAGGACCGACACGGCCAAGTGTACGTGGCTGCGATCGAAGCGATCGAGTTTCCATTCTATGGCGTCCAGTTCCACCCGGAAATGAACGCGTACGAGTTTGACGAGGATCCATCGACAAACTCGATCGATCACTCATACAACGCCATCTTGACGTCGCAAGCGCTCGCCCACTTCTTTGTGAGCGAAGCCCGGCGAAACAACCATCGATTCCGATCCCCACAGGCCGAATTCGCCGCCTTGCTTGACAGCAGCGAGTCTTCCGACCTAGCCATGCCCACGTCTGACGAGATCCTACTCTTCAACTCGACCTTGTAAGCACCATCTGAGCGGTAATGCTTAGCTCAGAAACGCTGTCTTCGTCCACCTGCACTCGAATTCGAGTGCCCCAGTCAAGGACATGCTATCGACGACGACCTCCAGCATCATGGCCAAACTTGCGTGCACTTTCAATCCAGTATTGTGTTGCTAGGCTGTGGAGGTCGCCACATAATTATTGGGTAAGACGTATCGCGTGGAACCGCGATGGGACTGCCCCTTTCGGGCATAGCAATCGCGGCCTGAGATCGAACTCGTAGATGCAGCCGCGGAACCGTAACGACTGGTTGGGGGTGGACGACATGGCGTCGATGTGGTTCCCTCCATCGGCCATCCAACGGGGGGTAGCAAAAACTAGCCCTGTGCCGACGACGAAAGAACTAGAAATTGGGGCTCCGTGGGCCGCACGTTGGGTTGGGGCTCCGTGGGCCGCACGTTGGGTTGGGTCACGCACCTCCCACAGAGAGCACACGCCCGGGAGACCCACAGACAGGCCTACCAGCAAGCAATTCTTCCCTTCGTCACCGTCCCTACGTCATGCCTCGTTTGCCATGGCGAAGTGAAGAGTGCCACGTACCAGCGGTGCGCACGATCGGCCAGGCGAGGACGTTTGCCAGATCGCATGACGAACACCGAGCGCGTGACCGACTCCACAACAACCACGCAACCGAGACGACGACACTGCTTTTGATCGCGTACGATGCCGTGAATTGCCCAGGAAACATCGTCGCAATGTCGTTCATGACGAATAGAATCCAGCTAACTCCGTTTTGAACACGTTTTTCGACTGTCCACGGCACACGGGCGCCTGAAAGCACTTTGACTGACGTCGCCGTGACCACTTCGAGTTTGGCGAAGTACATCGTCGCCATGCTCCGGACAAACAAGAGGGGCGCGACCGGCCCACGCGATGCCAGCCACCAGATTCAGCTCAACATGTTGAGTCCTTCCACGTTGAACCTTGACTCGTACACGATTGCCAGCAACGACACGACCGTGATGAAAAACGCGATGAAAACGCACACCGGTCGTTTGTACTTGGCCAAGTGTGGCTCTCTCACCAGAACGAGCTGATGGACGACTTGAGTGCCCTTGTCCCCAAGACGATCTCAATCGTGTACGACTCGACGACGCCGATGGTTTTGTAATGTTGCGACGCTATGCGTCACTGGCCCGCATCAATCCTGCATGCAAGCGTTGTCGAAGGGAATGTGTGTGCTACCAGAGTTAGCTACGACCACAATGCCCCGTCCTTCGTCTGTTTTGTGGCAAAACGCCACGGCGAGGCACTCCCCCAACAATGCCGCAGCTACGGTCGCCATCGAGTGTACCAAACTACACCCGATGGCGACCATTTCGGCGAGCGCCTCATGTACGAATGATGGCAAGTTGACAACGACCGTGGCTTGGGCAACAGCGACCTCAACATCACGGTGAGTTGAACGACGGCGACCCAGTTGCTGCCCAACTCGAGGCCATGCTTGCAGACCAAGTGGAATGTCGTGTGCTGCGCCTACGCGGCCATCGCGTACAACGAGGTAGCGGTGTCCAATTGCATCGAGACGCGAGGTTGAGCTTTGGGCGCTGCGGTGAACGACAAAAATGCTAAAGGGATGAGGCATCCGCATGGGGCAAATGGGATCCCAGTGGAATCCCCCCCTGTACATCGTCGCGCTCTCGCGTTGCATCCGATGGGCCAGCACCGTTAAAGTTTTTGGAACCGAGAGCGGACTGAAGTGACGCGCTTGCTTCGGAATCCATGATTTGGACCACGACATCATGGATGGCACGACGGAGTTAAACTACGGAGGCTGGAACGATGCACAGATTGATACAGTGCCACACAGTTCCAACACTTCGCGCCAAAGTTGCCCCGCGCAGGACTGCATCAAGCCGAACGAGTCGTCGTCGTATGAAATGCCCTCTTGTCGCGGACCAACGTGGCTCACACGACCGATCCAAACGTCATAGGACAGTCATGGCCGTTCCATGGCCTTCACTTCCTGACGGCAGTGGTCCACACCGCAACCGCGCAGGAGGACGGGCGCAGTACGCTTGATTGCCCACCATTGCGATTTAACAAATGCGCTGGACACGGACATGGTTTCATTGAAGCCGTAATCGACCACAGCTGAAGAATTGAGATGGGAAGAATATGGGGCCGCCGCGCCACCTCGTCGCAGACGGCGTGCGTGAACGGGCAACCATGTGGGCCGAGATTATGAAGTCACGCTTTCGATGCTGTAGGCATCTCCAGCGCGATTGCAACGGTCAGCGTAAATGCTGGACCAGTCCCCCGAGTTGTGCAGCCCACGTCGCATGGTCTGCGCTGCGCAATACTGTTCCCAATATGTACGGCTGCATTTCCAGTGCATCTCGCTTGGCAATGCGCTTGTCGACCTGCGTGGGTGCAACATCCCACGTCCGAGCCAAGTCTAATGAACACAAATGGATGCTCATGCACTCGGCCGATCGCATGCGCGTCAACAGCAAAATCGGTGAATTTGAAGTGGTCTTTGAGAAAGCCCTTGCAAGGAGGTCGAAGGACGGTCACACTGGTTGCTAGTAACGCATCGTTGAGTCAACAGAGTGTTGACCACAACTGCCACCACAAAGCATTGAAGAGGGTGCCAGACAACAACTCGAGGTAGTCAACGATCATGACCAGTGCACGAAGCGAAAACCTAAGCGCGCTCAAGCTTTCAGGACCAGTCCTTGCATCGAATGCGCCGTCGCTGCTCGTCTCGTCGTAGGCGAGGCACCCAGACTGTCCGTCGCCACCGTGGTGCCACATGCTAGCGCAGCCTGCTCTGCATTGTCTTGAGCATCGACGACTTGCTTGGATGGTTTTCATTTTCGTCGTTTCTGGCGCATGAAGTCATGTAACTGATTTCGTTGAGCTAGACAGTTACGCGTCGGGGCTGAGCCGTTTCATGAGATACTCAAGTATTCACACGAATTTCCCAATATTCACCACTCGTTTTCATACTATTTTTCAACGGTTTTTGCGGGATTTCGACGCAATTTGGTCATTTTTTAGCTTTGGTGATGCCCACATACCATCATGGATGCGCCACCCACCGACAACGATGACACGATTGCGGATGACACAACCGCAGGCACGGAAGCTGGGCCACAAAACACCCCGAGCCAGTGGCAGAAGCACTACGTAGGGCTTGATCAACCCCTTCAACCGGCGAGTCCTCCACGGGCATTGCCGCTGTGCACGTATGACGAGGACGAGACCCAGATCCAATTTTGCTCCAACGTCATTTCGCAGGAGGTGGGGTCACCAATGCACCATTCCAAGAAAAGTACAGTCGCCGCACGCTATACATTTGTATTCAACGATGTGTACAACGTAGATGTGATGCAGCTGGCTGAGGTGGAGCTTCCTTTGAACAAGTTCGACTACGAATTGGGCGATGGCGAGAGCTCGAACGAGTCCGAAGATTTATGGGCTGGCGGAGATGCCACACTGGAGCAACAGCAACAAACCTCTGAAACCTCTCTCCATACACAGCGCGCCGATGCAACATCGATGGCCGATCCTCTCGCTGATGCTCCCGAGGACCCGGCTGCGACGGACACCGGGAATGTGGACACGGAGGTAGAAGACAACGAAGGCGATGACGAACTTGCCACTCGTGCATCATCACGCGCTGTCACCACGCCGGCGGATCCCGAAGCCTTTTACGATGATCTGTTCCAGCGGACCATGCCAGCTTCGACATTCTCGTCGCCACGGAAACGTCGACGCCACAGCGCAACACCAGTTGATCTTGGCCTCAAAAAAGCACCCACAACCTCACCCATTCATCGAAGTTCATCTCAAAACAAGGACAATCTCCCATTGCAATGCCCCGCTTCCATCCTTTCCGACGGAGCCTCAACTGCCCCTTCTGAAACCGCACGAGTTAACACACCGCGAACTTTGCCTGAGACGGAGGCCATCGCTTCGAACAAGGGCGACTGTGCATCATCCAATGCCACTCTGTCCCCGTCAGTACCACAACGCCGTCATATTCCACAACATGAGCGTGATTCGGCTTCGGACGAGAATCGGCCTCCCACCTCTGGGCGAGGTCGCCGTGCCAACACGAAAGCTCGAGCTGCCACAGTGAAATCGCCCGCACCATGTCCATCTCCTATTATCAACACAGACGCCGCCGCTGAGTGTATAAGCAGCGGTTCGACCAAGGCGCAGCTTATTCGCATCGTGCTGACTGGGCTAGATCCTGCGCCCCTCATGCGAAAGGTAGCCGTCATCACATTCCCTATGACCAAAATGCCGCTGTCATTCTCACGATCAATCGTTCAGATTGAAGCCATTCAAGGCGCTGTGTTTGAGGAAGACGTGTCGCTTGGCACGCACTTGGTGGCCCCCACAAATGAACTCAAGCGAACGGTCAAGATGCTGTGCGGCATTTCAACTTGCCAACATATCGTGGGCGAGAAGTGGCTGACTGCGTCTGCGAAACAGGGTCGACCCGTGCCTGAGGCTCCGTACTGCCTTCACGACCCTGCCAAGGAAGCCCAGTGGGCATTCGATTTGAAATCCACCATGTACCACCGCCACGATCGACACCTGTTGTTCCGAGGCAGGGTATTTTACATTGTGCCGCACAAGACAATTTTGCCGGCGCCGTCGGACCTGACGAAGATCATTGAGTGCGCTGGCGGCGAGGTACACATTGCCTCGTACGATCGACATGAATTTATATGTGGTTGGTGATGCAGGTGCTGCCCACCGGCTCGAGTTCCACGGCTCACGACGACGGCGTGATAGTGATTGCTTCCGCCGAAGCGCTGGCGGTCAAATCGATTCGAAAGAAACTTGGCAAGCTGATCGACGCACCCATGCACACTCCCGAGTTGATACTGTCGGGGGTTCTGCAGCAGTCGCTGGACCTGACGAAGCATCGCGTTGGCATTCAGCACTCCATGGCAGTGTCCAAACGCAAACGTTAGCGGTGTTTTACTCGCTTCGCATTCATCGACGACGTGGCCGCTGTTTCGAGCGGTCCGCTTGCATGAATCAAGTATTGCGCTGCGTGGAACGTGCGGTGGATGCGTCTACGATAGAGACATGTGATATTCCCAACCAGCAACTTGATGGACAATACGATGACAAATACACAACACATACATGAAATCGTTCCATGATGATGCGCCAATGCCACCCTTCTCGGAGGACGACTTTCCTGGGGTCTGGGTCGTACTGACTGTCTCTTCAGCGGATCCTGAGGATGACTGGAGAGAGGCTGTCCCCTTGACCTCGACCGAGGCGCTTTTGCCAAGTTCTGATAGGTCTGCAGCGTGCATGGACGCAGCTGTAGTCGGAACAGGAGGTGTGGTGGTCCTTAATGGTTGCTCTGGGGGTTGAGATATTGCTGAGCGTTCGACAACAAGGCATTTGAGTCGACTGTCGATGTCGTCGGGAAGGAAGATGAGCCAATATTGAGGCGAAAGAGATGCCACTCCCGCCTACCATGCCTGCAGTGACGACTCGGCTCACTTGCTAATGGATGGGTACTCTGTTTCGGCTGAAAAGGTAGTGACGGAATTGGGCAAACCCAGTCGCATGTTCGGCAGACGCGTCGGTGGTTGACGCGATGTAGAACTCTGGAATCTGCAAGGCACAAGCATGAGACATTGAGAAATCGACACTGGCTAGCTTACCTCTGCCACCGACTCTGCAACGATCCCTTGAAGCTCGGCTAAGCTCACGCGCTTGGTCACCTGAATGTCGCCCGACCTGCAAGGTCACGCTCATCCATAAACACCCTGCGTTCGCGACAAAACGTACTCAAGCTGCGGGACAAAGTCATAGTTCCGTCGGTGGAATAAATCACGCGGATCACTTTCGACCATACAGCGGAAGACCCACTTGCCCTTGCGCACGCAAAATTGGATCGGTGCCGCGGGAGACGCGGGCATGGTGGTCATCGGTTCAAATGGTGAAATGAGGTGAACAAGGAGAAATCCATATTTGAAGAATAAAACAGGATTCCGCGGATTTTTTAAATCTCGAGCGCTTTGGCGGCAATCCTCCGAACGCACACGATGTCGTCTACGACCGACCCAACGGATCAAGTATCAGCCTCACAGCACATTGACGCTTTCATGCGCAATGAAGCATCGGTCGTTCACGGCTTGGAGCTTGCATGCAGCCGGGCATATCGTGAAGAATCGCTTACATACCGTGCATTGTCCAGTCCCAAGGCATTCCCAGCAGGAGTGTACTTGGCATGTTGGTCCTTCTTCCCACTTCTGCTCGAAACACATCGATCCCTTCTGCGAAGGATACGTGTCGTGCTCGATGAACACCCCATCCAACCGCAACAACGCGTCATATCGATCCTCATCGAGTCTGTTAACCATGTCGCTGCCGTCCACGAAGCATATGCCATTCAATTCCAAGCTGCAACCCAAGCAACAAAGCAACACACGGTTCAGCCTGACGTTTTAGAATTGTTGAATCGCCCGTTGACTGCCCTGGATGCGTACAAACGATGTCTGCATGCCCTGCACGCCACGGACATCCCTGCATCCTTAACGGCAATCGCGCTCTTGGATGGTGGAGCGAAGGAAGCATTTGAATCCATGAGATTGCGTCATTCGGAGCAGTTAGACATTGAGACCAAGGTTCGTCATGTCGACTGGACAAGGCGCGTTCTCGTCGACGTGACGGAATCCGTTCAATTTGCCGATGAGACCGACAAGTTCGTGGAATCCAAAGCGTTTCTCTTTGATGGCGTGCTGGTGGCGCAGAGTGCTTCCGATGGCTCCATCTTGGTGGTCCTGGAGGATACGTCTCCCATCACAATCGTGCCGTTCGATGTCTCGACGAAGACCGTGGTGGTGCTGGGATCCGTCTCGACTTGCCACGCAACCTTTTCGTCGCAAGAAGCCTGCGCTGCGTGGCTATCTGCCCTGGACAAATGTTTTGAAACCCGTCGGCAGTCGACGTTATCGTTTGATTTGCATGCGTTGTTTGCGTCCATGCAGCAGTTTCCAAAGTCTTGGCTCGTGGCCGACACCGAAACGGCCAACCATGATTTGGTCGCGTCGGCTGCCATGTGGCTGGTCGATCCCAGGCACTCGATGATTCCGCGGCTTCACCAAATGTACCTGATGAAGGACATGGTCCTCTACGGCCGCATCCACACCCTCTCCGAATGCCGCTTCGTCGGGTACATCCTTGGGGAGCACATTCATATCCACGATCCTCCGTTGGCCGATCAGCATTGCCAACTCAACCGTCCTTTTGAGGTAGAAGTCGCCCAGGAAGATGGCGACGCACTGCGATTGCTTGTCGCGCCAGTGGATATGACCGTTCGCATGGACTGGATTGCTCACTTTCACCGTCTCCGAGATAGCCTAGTCGTCCCAACCTCCGACGAAAGCGAAGACTTGTTTGCCGCTTCCCCGTCCATCGCTACCTCCCACACCACGATGGCGACATCGTCAGAACAGTTGAAAACGCTCTCGTCCAGTGCTTCCGTGGACAAGGAGGGCAGCAGCGACTCGATCGCTGTACCGACGTCCAAGCCCCTTCCTGCGGCCCGCATGCTTCAACTCAACAACTTGGTGGGGTCACCGGCCACATCCGAGACAGAAATTGACAGCGGCGATGACGTGGCTCGAGCTGCCGACAGCTTGGACTCGATGTTGTGCGCGAAAAATACAAACATGCAGTCGTTTACACGGATCCAGTCCCCACAAATCCTTGACAAGCAAGATGAACCCGCCCCGTTGGACGACACATTTTGCGCCGAAACTCCCGACGCCAAAGACGATGAGCGGGAACGCCCGCATGTCCTGCCTACTTCCGGCAGACGGACTACAGGTGATGACCATTCCCCGCCCTCCAAGCGTGCCATCAAATTTATCAGCGAATCTGTCGACGATACCGTTCGATCAACTGTTTCACGCATTCCATCCACGCAAGACATGGAAAGTGGCACGATTCAATTCCTCACAACTACTCGGCAACTTTCAACGCCAGTGACTGAAGTACCAGCATCACCCGAGGCGAAATCGACCAAGCGGGGACGACCGATGAAGAAGCGAAAGAGTGCAACCCCGACGGCGGCCGCCAACGCTGTCGCTGAGCCCAACCACTCCACCCCAAAAGCCCCATCCACGAAATCCAAGTCAACCTCGAAACCTCTGGTCGACTTGCCACCGTCCACTCAAGAAATGGAGGGGGGTGCGATTCAATTTCTCCGGGATGTTCCATTTTCGTGTGCGGCAGAACCACAGCGCAGTGCCGCGACGGCTATCTCGCGAATTCGCATTGCGCTGACAGGGTTTTCAACACCCAACAACCTCCTTGCCAAGGTAGTTTGTTGACGGTCCAGCCGTGGCTGTCTGTTTTTGACGAAGTGGCTAGATCTCGAGTATTCAGCAGGCAGAGTACGAAGACGATGTGACCCACGCAACCCACGTCATTGCTCCATCTGGCGTCCTCAAGCGCACAGTGAAGATCTTGTGTGGCATATCATGCTGCTCGCACATCCTGGACGAAAAATGGCTCCACGAGTCGGCAAAATTGGGCCACGCCGCGCCGGAAGAATCGTTTTGTCTATCCGATCCTGTCAAGGAGCAGCTGTGGGGCTGCTCGCTCCATGCCACCATGTACAACTACACTCTGGCCCAACGCCAATCCCTCTTACGAGGACGAGCGTTCTACGTTACACGTCACAAGACTGTCCTGCCGCCGCCAGAAGATTTGGAGCGTATCATTGCCTGCGCAGGGGGCGAGGTACCTTGAAGCGCTATCCTACGAATCTCGATTCACGTGTGGACATTCGTGCAGGTACATGGGATGTCCGAGATTGGCCCCAACACATTGGTCATTACGTCCGTGGATGCTGCGGCGGCGGCGACGGTTCAAAAGGTCCTAAAACGAGTGGATCCGACGCAGTGCTACACGCCGGAATTGCTCTTGCGGTGCATCTTAACACAGTCGCTGGCTCTGACGGAATACCACGTCGCGCTGCCTGACAAGCATGACAAGAAACCCAGAGGTTCCAGGAAAAAGAATTAATTTAACTTGCGTGGTTGTTGCTGCTCCGTCAAATGTGCTTGAAGAGCTCACGTCGACGGCAGGGAAGGAAGCACGGGGGGTGTTCGTGGAAATGGTGGATGAATGGTCAACATCCTCACAGCCTTGCTTGAAGAGGGCTTGGTGCGATCGTCCATGACTGCAGGACATCAAACTCAAGATGCTGCTCCTATGCGACAGAATTACTCATGAGATCACTGGTCGACGCGGGGACAGCATGCGAACCAAAGCAATTCCATGGTCGTCTGCAAACGAGAGCTGCTTCTTCGTGAGAGGTCGCGCGACCACTTGCGTGGACTGGTCATGCCCTTCGCAAGAATCAATGGACGGCTTTTGCTGACGTAGGATTGACTTTGCCCCGCGGGCCGGGAGCATTTCGTCGGGGCGGCGGCGGCGGCGGCGTGATGGTGTCGCTGGGTTGATCGCTTTTCCGCCTACGTGGGACGGACTGTCTTTTTGGGAGGTTTCGAAATATTAAAACGAAAAAATTCGGAGTTTGTCGAATATTTGCAAAAAATTAACATTTCCGCAACTTCGGAAAATCGCTCCGTGAATGTTTGTCATTGTGCGTGACCAAATGCAAACTCGGGGTTGAGCGGGTTTTCCTCCGACTCGCGCCGCGACCGCCGCCTCTCTGCCTTGAGAAGAAGTTTGCGGCGTTTGATGTTTCTTCGAATGCAGTAGAACGACACCATGAACAGGATGCACGCGATCGTCATGAACGCGACAAACGACGCCGTGTACCGTTGAAACTCCGTCGGCTCGTATATCTGCAAGTGGCACGATTGGAACCGCCCCTGGTTATCTTCAAGTCCTTGAAAGCCACTGGAGCAGTGCTTCGTCCCAAAGATGAATCCCGCAGGGATCGCACGCCCAAACACGTCGGACCACGGCTTCAAGCAAAACTCGCCCGTCTTCTTGCACTCATCTACATCGTAGCGCACCCGGCACAGACACGTGCATAGGTATGGCAAAGTGCAGTTGCCTTGGCCCATTTCAGCCCCGTTGTACACTTCTTTGCCCCACCGCCCCCCTTGCGTGCCGCACGGATCGTTCTCAAACGCGACGACCTACAAATAAGTCACGTTCCGGCAAGGAGTGGCGGCACGCCAACCTTGTTTTCGTCGACGGTAAACAGTTGCGCTCGAATCTCAGGCGTCACTTTGACCTTGCACACGGGCTCGGTGCAGTCGTACCCTGTCCAGCCGTCTGCGCATTGACACAGGTCCGGTGCCACACACATGCCACCGTTGGCGCATCGATAGCACCCTTCGTGGCCCACTCGAGCTTGGCCATAGCACTGGGCATCGTAGAACCCTTGAACGCAGATGGCTACACACGAACGCAGTGCAGTGGCATGCGACTCGTATGCGAGCGGCACGCACCCATGGAACAACTCGACCCGGCCCACCCTGTGTTGCCGCGAGGAGCAAGGGGGTACTTTTGGTGCAGCACCGACTTGGTCTGGATGCACTCGCATGTGTCCTTGGAGACGCAAATTCCGTTGTGCTGACATCCCGTGACATCGCCCGTAGGCGTCGTGTACCGGCAGAGAGGGATTTGGCAGTCAAAACCGGTGTACCCGTCGGCGCAGCTACACACGTCGGGCTCGATGCACGATCCGTGATTGTAGCACTCGTACACGCCTTCGCCTGGGTCCGCCCCGGGGTGATTGGTCCGTACGAGTCGGTGGGAAAATTCGCCCTGCCTCCACTGGAGCACCCTGCACAGCGCCGACGCGGACTGCCGCCCCGTCGTGGCTGTGTCGTTGTACGCGTCCCAGTTGCTCTGTTTCTCCGCCAACGTGCCGGCAAACACTGGGTTGGGAAATGGAATGCCCGGCGCGCACCCGGATTGAAATGACGTGCCGTCGTTTGATGTGACCTCGATGTCGTACTGCGGACACCGCAAGTGGACGCACGGCAGCTTGTGCAAGGCTCCTACAGTGCGCGCCATGAGATCTGTTGCGGCGTTGAATGCTGTCCATCGCGGGCTACACACGGACTGGCTCCGAATCCAGGTCGAGCGCACCGACGTACCCCGCATGGCCACAAAGGACGGTGTGTCTCGGATCGAGTTGAGCACGAACCGCTTGGCTTGGGTGCATATGGGTGTGTTGCAGTCGTACCCCGTCCACCTACACCCGCACGAGTCGTGAGGGCGACGGTCCAGGGCGGGTTTGGAATACCCTGTGAGCTGCGGCGACCCATCCGGGAGGTGAAAGATCGGTGTGCCGCCATTGTGACGCCCATCTCGCCACACACTCGGCCACGTTGTGCACTCGCACGTGTCCTACACATGCCCTCACGTCGGCGACTCGACCGCACACGACGTCGTACCGGCGCGACGCAGCGACCTCCGTTTCGGCAGTCCTGGGCGCAAATCGCGACGGAGCACACGTCCCCCGTCCATCCCAAGTCGCACGTGCATCGGTTGGGAAGCGTACACACCCCGTGGATGCAACGCGACTCGCAGATCGGAATCGAACAGTCGTAGCCAGTCCAGCCTGCCGCACACACGCACTCGTCTGGCGCGACGCACGTGCCATTGTTGAAGCAGCCGCGTCGGACTGTGTCTACGCACCCTTCGTACGACAAGACCCGCGTCGCATTGACGGCCGAGTACTGAACAATCGGACGAAACGTCGCGTCCGGGTCTACAGACACGATCGGCGATGCCGAGGACGGGCACGTTCGGGCAAACTGGACTAAGCACGTGCCCTTTTGCCACTGGGTTGGCGCCTTGTACGACCAAGTGCCTGCTCGGCGATAGCCGTCTTGCGTATCGTCCCAAATCGGCGGCGATTTCGTGTACAGCGGCGGCCAGTACATGGTGTCGTTCATGTAGTGCGAAAAGTAGTTTGCAAAATCCCAGTAGAACGCCGGGGACTCGACAGTCGCGGGTTTTTCAAACTGCGTCAGGCTCCGCGACGAGCATGCGTACCCGCCTTGAGCGACAGACCCCTCGGACAGGAACCGCGCGTTGCCTTGGGGCACCGTCTCGACAGTGTAGTGGTCCCAAAACAATGTCTCCACCGTGTGGGGGTACACCGGATTCCCGTTCGACGTCGGGTGGTTTGCGTGTTTGCTCTCGACAGGCTCGGCGGAAACGAACGTCGGTTGCGTCGGCGTGTAGTACCCTACAATTCTATGAACGTCCGGCGCATGCGCGCTGTGTACCTTGGGTGCAGATAGGTGTGCGGCAATCAAACCCACTCCACCCTTGCGCGCACACGCAAATGTCTGGCGCCGTGCAGTTGCCCTGGTTCGCACACACGTACACTCCCTGCGTGACTCGCCGGCGTTCGACATGTGCGAGGATGCGATCGACGGTCGCCACGTACGGTGGCGTGTTGTACGGTCCCGCCACCAGGACAGGAGCTCCAGGATACGTCAGGTTGGCGCGATTCTGGCCGTACGGCGTTGCGGCGGAGTACCGCATGAACCGAGTCCGATCCGCTAACTCGACAGCATACGAGTACGCACTCAACGCGGTCGGTCGAAGTTCGATCAACGAACACTGCGGCTCCAGCAACACGGACGGTCGATGAGCGCAGTCAAACCCAACAGTCGACTGGCACCACTTGTCGAACTCGCACGGAGCGAACTCGTCCCACGAAAACGGACGGAACAAGCCGTACTCGTACCCGCTAGGGTGAGCGACAAACTTGCCTTGGGTGCAGATCGGGATGGCGCAATCGTGGCCGCTCCAACCTGCCGGGCACAAGCACGTGTTGGGAGCCGAGCACACGCCACCGTTGACGCAGGTCTGTTGGCACACCGGGGTGCGGCAGTCTGGCCCTTGCCACTCCCGTGTGCACGTGCACGTGTTGGGACCGGTGCAATTGCCAAAGTTGCCGCACGTCTGGCTGCACACTGGTGTCGTGCAGTTGGCGTCAAACCAGCCGGACGCGCACACACACGTGTCTGGAAACCCACATCGACCGTGGACGCAGGTTTGGACGCAAATGGGGACGTCGCATGCCGGAAATCCTTTGTAGCCTGGGATGCATGCGCACGTGTTGGGTGCGACGCAGAGCTGACGCCCAGTGCACAGTCCCGCAGTACACACAGGTGTCGTGCAATCGTCGCCGCGCCACCCTGTCGCACACGCGCACGTTTCAGCACTGACGCACTGGCCGCCATTTTCGCAAATCTTGGAGCACACCGCTGTCAGGCCGCGAATGCGATGGTTCGACGTGTCTGCGATGTACACGAGGTTCGTGCGAGATGGACTCCCATACACGTCGATGCCAGTCGGCCCTTGGAATTTCGCCAGCAGCGGCGGAGCGGCGTCTCGAAATCCTCGAGGAGACTCGAGCAGAGACACAGGGGCTCCAGCGATAGTCTACATACAATCCATCATCGTGACACTACCTCGATGTGCTGTCGCAGCGGTAGGGAATGTACCTGCACAAAGCGTTGGGTACGGGGGGTGATAGCTAGCGAGAACATTCGGGCCGCCCTTTGTTCGTTCGGTATAGTTGTCGACGTAATGCCGTTGGCTACAGACCCAACACGGATCGCCGACGAGTCGTACAGCGTGTTGGGCTCCAAAGTTAGCGTGAGCAGGGCCGACTGGGCCGCCGTCATCAGCCCTGCATGAATCGCCGCATAACAGATCATGGACGCGTCCGAGTACATGGTCGTGCCAAACACTTGAGCGGTCGGGCTGTTGCAAAGCGCGGGGCATTCCACTGCGATTGTTGTGCCCGCGTCAACGTCTTGTCGTACAAATTGAATCGGCTGCCCTGTTGAATCGTACTTGGGAACGCTTTTCACGCTACAAGGACGATGGACATCCATGATCAAGTGGCCGCACAAGCGCCAAAGCGCACCCCGTGACGAGGGCATCGATAGGTGGAGACCCCATGCACGACTGGACTTTACGTCCCAATACGGTCTTGCCACCTTCAGGGGTCGACTCGTTCCGTCGAACGGCGTTGTAGTAAATGTTGGCTGCATCCCATGCGATCGGTTGGGCGTCAGGAAGTTGGGACTGCAATCGCAACTTACCCATTGCAGGCGACACTTTTTGATCCAGCGCGCCCAACGGCGGGTCGTACGAGCCGCATCCTGATGGGCTGAGCACTTCAAATAGCCGAGTTGTGCAGGCAATTCGCTCGACCTGGTTCGCGACAATGTTAAATCGTGTTTGGACAAGCTACGGCAGGCGACCGTACCGCCAACGCCGATGGAGTCACCGTTCGAATATGGGACGAGATCGAGCTGGTCGTGAACAACCGTTCGTCGGATGCCATCGCGACTCCAGTGACGTGGAACGACGCTTCGTTGGCCTTTCCATCTGTCTCGCCAGCGACAAACGGCCCTGCGCCTGCAACTGTGACGACCCGGTCGGACGATGGCACGCCCTGCACTGTCGCAGTGTCGTAGATCACCCTTCGTACGCGATGATCGTCCGCAACGAACAACGTGTTGGGTGGCCCGAGCGTGACGTCGGTGGGATTGCTGAATTGGGCGAACGTGAGGTTTCCGTCGCGAAATCCCCTCACCCCAAGCACGCACGGGGGGGCGCACCCAAAGATTGGGTTTGGCTGGGGCACGACATTCCCGGCCAGCGTCGTCGTCATGCCGTCCAACCTGGTGAAACCAGCCACTTGTGACCATCAAAAGTGTGCGGTGCTGTCGGGTGTACGAACCCAATGCGTCGAATCACATGGTTGCCCGTGTCTGCAACAAAGACCACGCCTTGGGGCGTCACAGCTATGCCCATGGGACTGTCAAACGTAGAGTTGTTGGGGCTCCCGTCGGCCAGTCCTGGTTGCGGGGGAGCAACGGCCTACACCGCCCCAATGGACAACTCACGTCATTCTGCATTTGGGCAAGTTCGTCACCTGGGCTAACGTTGCGGTCTCGGTGCCATTCCCGCACCGGCCTCCCAAGCAAGACACTCGTTGCGTTTGCAAGTTGATCTCGCGAATGCGATGGTTGCCCGTGTCGGCAACGAATATCTTGACAACAGCGCCATTCGACTCCAGCACCGCAATGCCCGTGGGAAACGAAAAGCGAGCAGATCCCACGGCTCCATCCCGAGTTCCACGCTCGCCGTCGCCGGCAATCGTGATCACGTCTTGACTTGCGCGACGGACCTACCCCGAGCAGTCTCGTCAGGCGTTGAATGGAATCGAACGAGCGTGTTGTACCATGCGGATACGATGGTTGGAAGTGTCGGCCACATAAACATTCATCTGGCTGTCCACAGCAACTCCTCTTGGAGACGAGAACTTTGCGGTCGCGACGGGCCCGTCCTTCTCCATCATCGCATGAATGTGGTAAACTTGCGACTTGTCACGGAGATAATGTCATACCTGAAAACCATGCTGACCAGAACCTGCGACGGTCGACACCTGGCCTTGGGCCTTGGACGGTTGACTGGAACATGACCAAACGTCGGTCGCGTTGTCTACGTCTGCCTGCCGTCCGAGTGGTCCTGCGTGGTATCCCCAGCACCGCGTCGTGCATGAAGCGTAGCTTGCGGCATGTGGGGTAATGCAATCGGCACCAGTGAGCAGGACGCAGACATGGCTGATGTTGGGGTGGCCATAGTCGTAGCGATGGGTGGGGACATCGATCGACACAACAAAAGGACTGTCCGTGACGGTGGGAATGTTGACGGGCAGGGCTGCCCAGTCCACGCCTTGAATCTGAAACGAATTGTCTTGGCACATGTGGCACTTGCTTTGGACGCCATAAGTCGAGCACTCGTGGCGCATGTCTTGAGTATTAGTGTTGACGCGACCGGCGAATTCCACGGTTTGCGCCGAGTCTTTCTGGTACGCAAAGGGCCACACTGGCGACACAACGCTGTCGCACCACGGCTGTGTCGTCCACGCGCGGTGGACACGCATGGATGTCGCAATGCCGCATGCTGCTACCAGCAGCGTGTGCCGCATATCGATCGTCAACTGGATCCAAATATGGTGACCCTTGAGGTCTCGACGGAGTATCCGGATAACAGGTGCGCAACCGAATTACAACTCCCGTTCGCTTTTCGGCGACAAAGGACGAGCGAGCGATGGAAGTCACGATCGTGTAAGACAATGCGGGTGGATAGCTTAGAGCTGACAGATGTACTTGTACAGGAACATGGTGGGAAGCGGCCGTCTCGGCAACAAGATTGTGCTGCAGGATGTCGTGAACAAGACAAATAAGCGCGCTGAAATGAGGAAGAATTGCCTCTTGCTCAAGTTGACCAACCCGAAATCGTCGGCCATGTTGTTTCCGTCAGGAAAGGTACAGTCTTCCTCGCATGACACGGATGCCCACGCGATGGAGGTTGTGTGCACGGGTCAGTCTACTGAAGAAGGGCTCAAGGCAGCAGCCCAGAAAGTGGCGCAGTTGCTCAAGCACATTGACTTCCACGTGTCGTTGAGCGACTTTCAGTTGGAAAACGTCATTGGTCGCGCGGATGCAGGTTTTCGCATCCTCGTTGAAGAGCTCGCGTTGCGCTATCCTGACGTCACCACAGTACATTCATCCTCACGATGTAGACACCACTCAACGAGAACTCGTGGTAGTACGAGCCCGAATTGTACCCAGCCTTGGTCTTCCGCATGTCCAAGCCCAAAGTTCACATCCTCATTTTCGCCAGGTACACATTTTCCCCCATTACGTCCTGGGACTTATCCGTCGCATGTTGGTCTGCAGCGGAAAAATCGTCTTCACAGGGTCTAAGGAGAGTCGGCACCTTCGCGAAGCCTGCGACAACATCTCGACGGTAAACCACGTCTTCAATGGACGCGCGATGACGGACGGGTCGTCCACAGATATTGAATGAGTTTCGCGATATGAAGCCTCAAGTAGAAGACGCTGCCAGCGCCTCGTCAAGCTAGCACCTTCATCCCCAAGGCGGCAAATCCTAGCTCAAATATCCCATCACCACGAATTGCCTGGATCGACGAAGCGGCTGGGTCGAATTTCGACTCGCAGCCAACTCTTCCTCGGTTGAATGCAAATGTGAATACGATTGTGAGGCAGGGTTGCTCACCCGACGTCACCTTTGCCCTCGCAAGTTCATCATGGTGGCATGCAATCTATCTAGCTGGAGTCAAAGGACGAGTGGTGTCCGTCAGCCGATTCGACGGAGCACCATCCGTTGCATCGAATGCGTCGAATTTTATCTCACGTTCAAATGCGACACTCAACTACGTCCTGGGGCTGCGGCACGTGGCTTTATGGGTCGGCCAGTCCTTCTTTTGGCACGCTTGCGAGCAATACGCCTTTGCATTGCACCTCGCGCATTTCTTCCACTTGCCTTCGACGCCGCAACTGCCACACACCGTCAGCGTGGATGCAGTCGGTGGCGATAGCGTTGCAAAGGATGCCACCGCCGCTTGGTCCGCCAAATTGAGTTCCCAAATGTCCCCGTACACAATGTCGTTGCGCATGGTCTCGTACCCGCCGTACAATATGGCGCGCTTCCGCTGTGGGTCCAGCGTCAACGTGCACGCAGCGCGGGAGCTCGGCCACGGCATCGCCATCGATGATGCGTTGAACTTGGCCCACGACACACTGTTGTCGGCGTAGTGGGTCAGGCGGTAGCCGTCGCCATAGTACTTGGACCCGACTGGCAACTCGGCGTAGCCTCCAAACTGGTACATCGTGTTCTCGATCACAATGGCATGACTTTCGCTGCGAGGGCCGGGGTAGATGGGTGGGAAGGCGCTGGAGGCAGCATGCGTCGACGGCCCAATCGGTGGCGGTGATCCCATCCAAGAATGCGACGCCAAGTCGAACGTGTACAGCTTGTTCTGGTACTCGTAAAAGTCGGCTGTGTCCGCCTTGCCTCCAAACACGTAAAGCTTGGCGTTATGGATCCAGGCAGTGTGGAGAGACAGCGACGGCGGCGGGGCGTACTCGGTCATGCGCTGGGGCAGGACGGACCATTTTTTCGTCTTGAAGTTGAACACGTCGATGTGGCTCGATGTGGTGGACGGCGCCGTGACGCCGCCGTACAAGATCATGAGGTGCTTGTGCAGACTGGCCGTATGTTCATTCCGGGGGGCCGGTTCGTTCGGCAGCCGCCACCGCTTCCACACGAACGTGTCCAAGTTGAGCTGGTAAAACGCCCCGTGCGAGTCGTGCTGCCCGTCATCCTTCAGCGGACTCCCGCCAAAGACGTACATGGACCGGTCGTACACAACGGCGCTGTGGCCGGCAAGGCACGGGGGTACGTCGCCAGTCCCGACAATGTCTTTCCAGCTCTGAGACTTGAACTCGTACAAGTGGACGTTGGTGTCGTTGTCCTCGTTGCCAAAGATTGTCGTCGATCGGCCACCAAACACGACGAGGCTCGTCCCGTCGGGATGGAGCACCGTCGAGTGAAAAAAACGCGTGAGGTGGGTACCGCTCGTGCCCATGATGCGCCACTGCCCATCCACGGTGCACGCCGCGAGTTTCTTTTGAATCTTTTGGCCTTCGTCAGCCAAATACGTCTTGGGCGGGACGTCGCACCACGATCTCCCTGCTTTAGCACTCCCATGCTTCTGGGCTTCGATCGCAAGGACGTGCCAATCGTCGAACGAGCTGTCGTACAGGTGCAGCGCCGCGTACGCGCGCGCTCGGGCATGCAAACACCGCGCCACGTACGTGTTGGAGCATTGGGACACCATGAAAGGGATCACGTGGTTACAATCTTCTACTGTCTTGTCGTACCACTCGAGTTTGAGCGCAGCCTGCGCGCGGTTCGAGTACAAGTTGTCGCCATTGAGCACCAGTTGCGGATCCATTTGGTGGTGCGGGGCTAACGACGCCCGAAAGCGCTGGTACTCGTCCAGGACCAACGTGTAGTGAGCATAGGCTTCCAGATACTGCCCTTTTTGATAAAATGCATTGGCAAAGGCTTTCTTCGTCATAATGTCACGCATCCGAGCGAGCGCTGCCACTTCCATGCTGTCGTTGTCCGAGTGGGGACGGGACACAATGCCGTCGTCGTCGTCGTGCTCCATGGACGAGGAAGGCGTCGCCGACCCTGGGGACGCTTCCTTCTTCTTCTTCTTCTTTTTCTTCTTCGCCTTACCATCAGGTTGCTTCTGGGCGAGCTCCACACCGACGGCTTGCAATTCACTCAGCGCCGACACATCGTTCACCGCTGGAAATTGGACAAACACGTGGCGCTGGTGAGGCGGTAGCGACCCATGGACGACAAGGTTGTCTGGAATAGGCAGCTTCATCTGGAGTGCGTAAAACTTGCGATAATCGCCCACGGGTGAGTGCGGCACGGCTTGAAGCAGCTGATCGTTCAGGAGCGTGACAACTGCCCACATGGCCACTTGCAGATAGGTGATTTCTTCCAGCGTCGCCGACACTTGACGGACATCCAAGTCGGTGGTGCCGGACTTGCGTTTGATGGAAATACGCGTGAACAGTGGAAGCACGGGCTGGGTGACGGGGTCGGGATTTGCCGGGTCGGGGAGGGCAAGCGGTCGACCGAGCCGCGCCTGGGCGTCAATGTAGTCCAAGTCCTTCCACGATCTGCAGCCCTGGCCAGGAGGCTGAAACTCGGCCTTCACGACAGAATAGCACCCTTTCGTGTTCATGTGCATCGTACTAACGGACCAGTTTTCGTTTTGCACATCGTCCCACTGGGTATGCACCATCACGGCAACGTCGCAGCACCCCGTGCCACCGAGGATTTGGACAAACCGGAAGGGCGACCCGGTCACTTCCACACGAAGAACGTGGTTGATGCGCATGTGCAACCACGGTGTGGCGGCCCAAAAGCGACTGGAGGTGTCAAAGATGGAGTGCAAGATGGCATCGGTCACACCAGGGATGGCTTCCATACCTGCACACACACATGGCCGCGCCGCATACCCGTCAAACGCGACATTCACTTCGGTATTGTCGCATAAGGCGCAGCGTGAAGGGATGTTGGTCGCGAATTGGTCAGCGATTTCGGCAAATGCGAGGGGGATTTCCGAGTCTGGTCGACCGACAATTGTGAGGTTGAGGCTGCCGGCGGCAGCACCCAGCCCTTCGCAAAGAAGAGCTTCGTACTTCAGTGGACAGAAGACGCGGGAATTCGGAGCCAAGGACGACTGAAGGACTGCAAAATCGGACGCAACCACTGGACCCGAGTGGATGATCGGTTCGACTTTCAGAATGATCGAGATCGGTGACAGGACGAGAAGCAGCGTGGGCGTTTGGTGCCGCGGTTGCTACATGAAGCAGGTCATTCGAGTCGGCACAAGTCAAGGCTCGTTCAGCCAACTTACGTGATACTCATCCACGGACGACACCCACTGACGAAGCCGCACCTATTGAGATCCACACACGTACATCATCAGCGGTTATTGCATGTAGCTCGCTACTTTACGTACAACGTTGACCCAGCAGTCGTAATCTGCCTCGAAGAGATGCGATTCCGGCGGCCTGGACAACGGGATTCGGCGTTTCCTCGACATGGGGTTGACCGCCGCGTTGCCTCCAGCCAGATCCGTTCGATGATCGTATTTTCAAGTGGTGCCAACAACATCGCGAACTTTATTTATTTTTGTAGTTTTATACGGATACGGATAAAATGCCATTTTCACGTGCTACTTGACCGCCGAGGTGGTCCGCATGAGTGCCTCCACCAGTCCTGCCAAGACATCCCGGTCTTCCATGGACGTGGTAATGTACTCGTGTGACGCGGACTTGCCTGCAGCGATAGATAAGCACAAGTTGTCGTCAATGTTCGGCCATGAGTGCTTCTTGCTGAACCCTCCCTTGCCCTTCGTGACTCCTGTAATGGACGCAATGGCCAAGCGCGAGAAACCCATGGACTTGAGCTTTCCATCCCAATCATGCACGTTCAGGCTCTTTTGGTCCTTGTCCACAACTAGCACTTGTGGTTTCAACTTGCCGAGCCACGTGAACTAGACGAATGTTAACGATTCGATTGTGAAAATTCGTCATTCCAGCAGTGTCAGCCGCATACCGTTCGGACTTGGTACTCCCGAGTCAGCCGCGACGGCGACGACGGTTGTTCTTCCGCACTTGCATTCGACGAAAGTGAGCTCACGCGCTGAGGGAGGTAATGTATCATGAGCAATCGTCGGTGGGAGTTTGGCTCAAACTTACTCGCACCATAGGCGGCTTGTCGGACATGTCACTTTTCCGACGCTGCAGCAGCATCTCAACTTGGTCGTCGGACAAATTGATTTGCTTTTGCAATGTTTCGAGTGAATTCTGTCGTGGGAATGGCGTCGTCGGGGGAAATGCTTTTGGAGTCGACGGCGGGGAGATGGCCTTGTCAGAAGGCGGTGAAAAGCAGAGAATCTTGGCGACTTTCCCCATGTCTTTGAGAATCGCTGAGATTTCCATGAGGGACTTCGAGCGGACGTCGACGCCATCGATTCCGACAAGACTACTGCCAATTGCGACGCCCCCGTGCTTCTGGACGTCGCCCACACCTCCAGATGCTGCTGTCTCAAGCTGGACAAAACCTTGTACGACAGCGGCGTCGGGAGTACCGCTGTCGAATTGCAGCCCCAGTGGGCCCGGCGACGTAGGCACCATCACAAATGATGCTGGCCACACGAACCCTTTGTTGGACAAAGTAGTAAACGACAGAATTTTTCGATGGCCAGACAACGCACGCAAGAGCTCGGTGGATTTCGCAAGGGACAATGCTGTCACATCAAAGCCGTCAATGGCAACCAGGATCGACCCAGGACCAATCACGCCCATTGCCTCGACAGCGCTGCCAGGAGTGACCGCTTGAACGATTGTGCTTGTTGCAATCGCGCTGTTCAGAGCTACACCGATGGGACCGGGAGGAACGGAAACGTCCACGAAGGGTTGCGTCACGGCGTGTACAACCCCTCCACGAACAAACGTGAGCTGCTTAGGAATGTCCGTGAGTTTCTTAAGCAAATCGATGGTTTGGTGCAAGGCGAGGCTCGAGACATTCATCTGGTTGATCGCGACGAGGATGCTGCCAGAGTCGACGACACCGCTGCGTTCGAGTGCGCCGGGGGCGCCGTCGACAGGGCGGAAGGCGGTCAAGACGGTGCTGCTGGTTATGTTTCCGTCAAAGTCCACGCCAAGGGAGCCCGGTGGAACCTCGACTGTTACGCGTAATGCCTTAGCACGCATCTTGGCCAAATCCGCCGACGTGACAAACACGATTGTCTTTGGGACCAAAGCTAACTTCCCGAGAAGCTCAAGTACAGCATGGCGTGAAAAGGACGAGGCATCGATGCCGTTGACACTTGCGACGCATCGTCCTGGAAGCTTGTCGTGGTGCGGTTGGTAGTACGGCCTTTGGGCGTCGGCTGGGGTAGCAAACCCGGTCAGGCGAAGATAATTCAACTCGCCGGTATCCACATTCAGACCGAGCTGGGCGTCAGCGATCGTGACTTCGATTTTGGACAACGGGTCAGGCATGGACGCTTGGTGAATTGGAGAAGGCTGCATTGTTGGTCGAACCGACAACGAAGGTTGATGAACTGGTGTGCCTCCATCAGACATTTTGTTGACGCGAAAGCACATGACTCGCTTGGGGAACGGCGCCTTGTTCCACACGGCAAGACCAGCAGCGGCGTCGAGGGTCGTGATATCCACGTCATTCACAGCTGCAACGACGTCGCCGACCAAGAGGCCGTTCACGGAGGAGGCCGTCGCCACTGTCAAACCGTCCAATTCGAGTCCATCTCCCTCTGATATATCAACTTGAACCAACGCAGAGCACGTGGCCGGGGCCATGCGGTAAAATTCGATCGTTTTCGTTTGGTCCTTGAGTTGGGCTAGCAACGCAACGACGGCCTCACGCGGCATCGTGGACACTTCGTGTTTGTTGATGCGAATGAGTCGACACCCACGATGCACGACATGGGCGAGTCCTTTCAAAGGACTTGTGTCGAGGACTTCGTCGACAAAGGCACAGTGGCGAATTGCCTGATGGAGGTGTAATCCTAGTGGACCCGGGGCAATTTCGACTTGGACAACCTTCCCGACGTCGTAGTGGCCACGGACAAGCGTTGGCGGTGTGCGTGAAAACGTCAGGTCCCGAGGGCTATCGTTGGAGGCAATGAGGAGTCGAATCACCTGGTATGCCATCAGGACAGACCGCATCGACGCGAGCTGTCATGTACCTCAGCGAGGGATTTGTGCTCCAAGGCTTGGCCATTCAAGCAAACGAGGCGGTCACCAGGCTTGATCACGGCTTGATACGGATGCATCGTTCCACAGGCGGTCTCATAATGACCGACACACGCACCCCCGCCAGGGGATTCCACGAGCCCCACGCCCAGCTTGCCGGGAGCTACCTGTATGCGCATGAATTGGCGCCCGAGCGAGTCAACCGAAGCTGCCATGGTAGCAGCTCCAATGTGGTTGTGCACAAGAATGGTAAATTTAGCACCTCGTTCAAACTCGGCGAATTGAAACTGAGCAATGGATGTGATGGGCATTCCACACATGCATGGGTCACAAAGCAGCCGCCAAAGAGGATGGACGAGAACGCTCCATCGACTGTCGTAAGTGCCATGCCGTTTGTCCCATGACTTTCAAGTTTTGCGATCAATGCGGTCAGAAGCTGCATTTACAAAAAGCCACCAAACGGTCGAAACCCAAGGAGGTCAAGCGAACAACGGTCAAACAATGTGGGATTACACCCGAGTCGTCGTCGACTCAAGCATGGTTTTGGGGCAGTCAAGCACTTCCAAGCATCAGTCTCACGGGGCAAACAACCAAACCACATCGCGAGGCCGAGCCCAACGAAAACCAGAGAGAAGAAGATCAAGTCGTCAGCCACCTGACTCAACCGCAACGACGCCAGTCGCACATACGTCCCCGCGACGTGGCATCGCTGCCTCTACTCACTCGTTCCCCGCGCATCGAAAATGCAAAAGGGTCGACCCCCAATGCAATATTGCCCACACCTCGAATCAACCTAGTGTGGGGACCGACGCTGGAGAAAGCTATCGCGGAGCTCAAGGCGAAAGACGCCATGCTCGCGGCCGACATCGTCGCCAACACTCAAATCCTTGCCCACGTCGAAGCTCAAGCCCAAGCCCACGCGTTTCAAAACGACGACGTGTTCAAATTTGCTTGTCAAACGAAGCGGGAACTCGAACGCGCGATCGGTCGAGACAAGGCAGCACTCCAGAGAGTGCGCGACCACTTGAGTCAGCTCGCTCAAACTGATTACGCTGTCACAACCACGAAACATCAGATCGAGCGCATTGCTGCGGATGAAGCGCAAGGTCGCTTACGTCGAGCATCCGCGGCATGCCGCATTTCGCTGTGGTTTCGCCGCCACCGCCAGCGCCGGTTTGCACAGACTCAACTCCGCATCAAAGTCTGCAGGGGATATATTCGATATCGCTACGTGAAGCGCCCCCACGACGTGTTTCCCGGCCAGTTTTTCTACGTGTACGATCGCAAAGTCAAAGCAACGCAGCCGCAGTTGGAATTTGTTGGCGATTCCAGTACTGGTGTATATCGTTTGCCATTCCACGTCTTTTCGAGTCCCCACCCACCTGAGCGCCTAGTCGCAGCGGCCACACGCATCCAGGGATGGTACCGCCGACTGAAGACGAAATGGCGCTGTGTGCTTGTTGAGGTCCAGCGAGTGGTGGTGAACAAACAGCAGGCTGCGGCATCCCAGCGAAATGCTGCGGCAACGAAGCTTCAGGCGTTGTGTCGCTCCCGCCAGGCCAAGCGGCGACTGCAGTTGCTCGTGGCGACTTCATTTGAAAAGTGCGTGGACCCGACGACGAACATGGTGTTTTTCTACAACGCAAAGACTCAAACGAGCCAGTGGACCCCGCCAAGGCTGTGGAAGTACGCCGGGTCGTGCAGCACGCCGAAGATGACCCCCCCACTGAATCGACTTGGTAACCTGGACGCCCCGCGTCGACTGGAGGCGGCTGCAGTGAAGATCCAAAGCTTGTTTCGAAAGAAAGCCGCCACGAACAAGCTCAAGTTGCTAGTTGCCCAGTCGTATCAAAAGGTCTTCGATCCAGAAACCAACCAATGCTACTACTACAACACCAAAACCAACTCAAGTCAGTGGGTCAAGCCCACACTGCTCGGGTCGGGCGACATTCCAGTGGCGCTGAGCTCCACCACTCCAACCCCCCGACAGACATACAAGAAGTTGAAGGACGGCAGCTGCACCCTTGCCAGACTCCCAACAAGTCGACGGATGGAAGTTGCTGCTGTCACAATTCAAGGGCTGTATCGAACTCGCAACGCGCGCCGTCGCCTGCACGTTCTGATCGCCCAGACGTACCAAAAAGTGTTCGACGCAGACACGAACATGTGCTACTACTACAACGCCAAGACGGGAGAGAGCCACTGGACCAAACCGAGGCTGCTGGGCGATGCTGACATTCCCAATCCAGTGCGTGCAGCCTTGACGGTGAGGGGCGGCCCTGCGACCAACCCCAGCCCCCCAACGGATTATTCAGCCTTGCCTACGTCTCGCCGAGTCGACGTCGCCGCGATGAAAATCCAGTCTCTCTATCGCGTTCGCAATGCCCGCCGCCACCTTCGTCACGTCCTTGCCCAAACGTACCAAAAGGTCTTGGATGCCGACTCGCAACAGTATTATTACTACAACTCCAAGACAGGCCAGAGTCAATGGACCAAGCCGGTGCTCTTGGGCACCAGCGATCTCGCAGACCAGTTCCCGCGTTTACGTCGTCGCAAAGAGGGCGATGCCAAGGCATTTCTGACGGGTCTCAATACTCCGCGGCAACGGGAAGCTGCGGCCACCAAGCTTCAAGGGATATATCGTGTGCGGCTCGCGCGACGGCGACTTGCGACTTTGATTGCCTCAACGTACCAAAAGTTCGTCGACGCGGACTCGCAGACATGTTATTACTACAACTTGAAAACGGGAGAGAGCTCGTGGGTCAAGCCAGCGTTGCTTCGGTTCGACGAAATGGCACCGCAGACGTGAGCGCGGTGGCACTCTGGTAGCAGTGTCGAAGCAGAGCTAGCACAGCCCTGACACAGGACATCGCGTTGGACGAGAGCGACAGAGGAAGGAGGAGACTGCAAACAGTCACTCGAGCACAAGGAGCACAAGAATTACGATGTCTAATATCCAACGACGTGTGGTGGTGTGGTTTAATTTGTTCACATGGAGGCGTGCGAACCTTAACGCGACACCCAGTACGAACGGCGGCGGATGAAGTTGTAGTCGGGCAATTCGTGGATCGGACCCACGGCGGCCAACGCGTGTTCCTTGTCGTTGATGACATCGTCGGCAACCTTGCGGACAGCGGCGGCGTCGACGGCGTCAATGCGCGCAAAGATTTCGGCCGGAGTCAAGCGGCGACCGTACACCAACAATTGGCGGCCAATGTCTTCCGCGACGGCAGACGACCCGTCCAATTGCATGAGGATCGACGCCTTCAACTGGGTCTTGGCGCGTTCGACTTCGTCGTCCGACGTCTTGTGGACCAAGCGGACCAGCGATTCCATCACGTACCACGTCAAGTCGTTCAACTTGTACTTGTCGGCGACAGCGTACACGCCGAAGATACCAGTGTCTTGGTACGACGTGTTGAAGGTCATGAACGAATGAGCCAACTCTTGCTCGGCCACGACTTGACTCAGCTTGGACGACGCGTTCAAGCCAGCGCTCGACGTGCGATCCCAGCTGCCCAACAAAGTTTGCATGACCAACAACGGGAACGAGTTCTCCGACGTCCAGCCGTACGATTCGAAACCAATCGCGACGTGGGCCAAAGGCAGGTCGTCGTCCTATCGTTGATACATGAGAGATCTTAGCAACGGCAGACGGATTCGATATGAACACGTACGCGAATTCGGATGTCCGAACCGACAAACTTGACGGGTCCGAACTCAGGCACGGGCACACGGGGTTCCGTGGGCAAGTTGCCGAAGGAATGCTGAGCCAAGTCGACCAATTGCTGGTGGTCGACGGCGCCGGCACCGGCAATCACCATTCGGGGAGCGGTGTAGTGGGTGGCGATGTAGTCTTGGAGGTCGCCCTTGGTCAAGCTGCGAACGTTGGCTTCAGAGCCCAAGATGGTACGGCCCAAGCCGTTGCCGAGGAACGCGGTCTCATGCAAACGGTCAAAAATGACTTCTTCTTGCTGCTTGTTCACTTCTTCCATTTCACGCAAGATGACATCACGTTCGCGTTCGATGGCAGCTTCGTCGAGCTTCGAGTTTTGCAAGATGTCCGACAGGATATCCAACGCTTGGGGGACGTCCTTCTTGAACACCTTGGCGTAGTACACGGTTTGTTCGCGCGACGTGTACGCGTTCAAGTGGCCACCCATGTTTTCGATTTCTACTTCCAATTGTTGCTGGGTGCGCTTGGCCGTGCCCTTGAAGGCCATGTGTTCCAAGAAGTGCGCGGCCCCGTTGTTTGCTTCCGTTTCGTAGCGGGAGCCGGCACCGATCCAGACACCGACGGTGGCCGTTTCGCCATGGCCACCTTCTGACGCGACGCGGAGGCCGTTGGCCAACGTCGTCACTTCCGTTGCGGGCGCATTCAAGACATACGCAGGAAATGAGGAAGGAGCGGCCTTGGAAGCATAGCTTCGCGACAATCGTTGAATGCTCTTCGACAACATGGGGATGGCGGCGAAGGAATTGACTGTCCCCAAAACGAAATGCTGTCTGGGATGAGCGCCGAAGTGCTTCATTAGTGGTGGGGAAAGTGCCCTCGTCTCATTGGCTATATCAGAGACATTTTGTCCAATTGAATGCGATTATAATCCCCTTGTATCCGTATCCGGTTAAACTCAGCCAATCCGATGTTGTGGTTTGTGCTGCTTTTTTACCAATCACGACGTGTCGAATCTGAAACCGATCTTTCGACGACGACGCGACACTCGCTGACAGAACCGCCACCATCATGCCGATCTCGTACGCGATGATTGCCCGCGACCTGGCCGTGCTTTGTGAATACACAGACGAACCGACAGACGCTGAGCCGGCCAAGTTTGCACATGCGGTCCTGCGTGACGTCTTCGACAAGGCTCACCCGACAGAGACTCGAAATGTGTTCACTATGGGCAAACGCGTGTACTACTACTACGTGTTTGACGGTCTCACGTACATTTGCATGTGCGACGAAACGTTTCAACGCGAAGCCGCGTACGCGATGCTGGAAGAGACCAAGAACGACTTCTTGTCGCGCGGCGGGCACAGGAGCAAGTCCCCCAAGGACTTTGTGCCTCAGCTGCACGCAATCATGATCAAGTATGAACATGTCAAGATTCGAACCAAGATTGACGTGGTAAGGTCATGGCATCTCAAACACCACACGGTGGATTGCGGCAAGAATTCACAAGTGCCTTGCTAGGTCACGGATCAAGTGAAGGAAGTAAAGAACAAGATGGCCGACAGTCTGCATCGGGTACGGTGCTTGAATTCTGCATTCCATGGCCTTCATGGCGAATCTCACCAGCTTACATCCATGGCATAGCTTCTCGAGCGCGGCGTCAAGATGAACGAACTCGTGAGCAAGACCGAAAAGCTCCACCACGATGCGCTCGTGTTCCAACAATCCTCGACCAAGCTCAAGAACGTCCTGTGGTGGAAAAACGTCAAGTACCAGCTCATCGCGCTCCTCCTATTCTTCATGCTGATGTGGCTTGGCGCGAGCTGGATATGCGGGTGGGATATGAGCTCATGCAGCAGTGGTAGCAGGACCCGCAACGTCCCGATGATCCGAGACATCTCGCACTCGGTGTCAGACTCCGTCGAGTCAGCGCAGCACGAAATAGAGAGTACTGTCGACAAGGCCAAGGGCGCAGCCTCTGATGCCCTCCATCGGTAATTCAACGTGTAGCTGATTGTTGTTCAATGCAATTCAATGGGTAACGGGCATTCATTTTACGCGCGATTAAGTCTTTCGCAGCCAACTGGAAGTTTAGCGCTTAAATGTCGCCCGAGTCAGCCGTCTGGGCACCGACGTCCTTGAGCAGGGCATCGGTCTCTGCGGCCGTGAGCAAGCGGTGGACCAGCTTCCCCTGTTCGTTACGGGTCAACGTGGAAAACTCGAGCTTTTCTGCGGTGGGCGTCGTCGTGTCCATGGTTTTGGCCATGACCTTTACCGAGAACTTGAGCGCTTCCTCGACTGTCATACCTTCCTGGTAGTCCGACTTCAGCAAGTTCTTGGCCGCGCGGTTGTTGGCGCCGATCGCCGTCGCCTTCCACCCACCGTAGTTACCGCTCGGGTCACTGTGATACAATTGAAAGCCAAAGTGGCGATCCCACCCCGCATACAAGAACGACACACCAAACGGACGTTGGCCACCAAATTGGGTATAGGCTTGCTTGTAGTTGCAAATCGTTTGCACCAGTTGCTCACACGGTTGGTGCTCCTGGTACGATAATTGGTATCGTTGGGCCGACAATCGCGCGTAGTTGACAAGGATGTTGGCGTCCGATGTCAGACCTATTCATATGAGATGATGCATAGTCTCACCCCGGGTCACAGTGGGTACCTGCGACGGCGCAAATGATGTGATCGTCCAGCTTCATAGTCTTTTCGCTATTTTTGACGGGGGCAAGAAGCTTGGACACGGTCTTCTTTTCAGCTAAGCAGATGGAATGGTGTTATGATGCAGATCTTTCTGTCCGTCGACCACCACACGCACCTGCAATCACGATACCGTCCTTTGCAAGGATTCCGACAGCAGAGCCGGCGTTGTTGATGGCTTCCATGGCATACTCGACTTGGAAAAGGCGGCCTTCGGGGGAAAAGGTCGTTGTGCGACCGTCGTATCGTCGGGACATGGTCCTTCTTCTTCCCTTTGGAACTCTGCGGCTCAAAATGGATACGCCAAAAAGTACGAGGAAGTCTCCTAAAGGGGGGAGTTCCTGATTCAAAATATCCGAATTTAAAGTTGAATTTCGGAAGATCTCAACCGGTTTTATCCGGACAGGCCAGGCGCTTGTTCGTAATGCAAGATGAGGTGGAGGCGCTGACGAGTATGCTGGACGGCATGAGGAAGTGGTCGAACTTGTAGAAGGATATTGCAATAACGCTCGAAGAGGCACACAAGCTGGGGGGACTGCAGCGTCGGGACATGCAAGGTTTAGAACCAGGCTGACACAATTCTCATCATGACGGTGTGGGTCCGCAGAGGTCACCGAGAACGTGATTTTCGCAAGACGCCGACTGCGCCTCGTCAGGTGTGTTTGGAATGAGATTCCCAGGGTCTGAATCAACATCTGGACTGCGACAACGCGCGCAGCGTTGAGGCCGTCACGTCCGACACTTGAAACTCCATCCATGTTGAACCATTCGATGAGTCGTATCGCCATGCATCAAACGAAACCACCTCGACCGCGCAGCCAAGTTTCTGGACAAGATGTATGTCGAAAGCCTGGACGGCGACAAGGGAACTTTATTGTCTTGATCCTTTCCACGTGAGGGTAGTCTCATTCGCTTGTACTGAGGCAGGTCGAATTCAACGCTGACAGGATGAAATACGAGATTGACCGACTCCCACTACAGCTATCACTGGGCCTCGTGAAAAAGGAAAAGATGCTCGTGAATCGATTCGCGACCACGACCAGAACGTGGTCTTCACGAGTGGTTGGCGACGAAAACGATCGCATGCCGTCAATCTTTAGCTTCTGGAGCGACATTGTACGAGAGCCATGTCGTGTGGTACTCCGACCGATTCCTATCGCTCGAGGAAAAGCTGCCACACTGGAGGACGCACTCCATCCACGACGCCCAATTTGAGGAGATGGACCAGTTCTTGGCTCACTACAGTTTGAAACCTATCGTGGTGTATTCACGGTGGACGTTGGAAGCATCGTGTGTTTTCGTATTTGAACTAGCAATTGAGTGTGCGTCAAGCAGGTATCCCTTAGTTTGTGCGCGCATCGTGGGTATCGATCATCGTGCCATCACGGCAGGCGTTTGCATTTCAACGACAGCACATTGCAACTCAAAACGTAGCCATTCCTCTTAAAGTTCCTCGTGCGTCATGCACGGAATATGCAACGGAAATTAGCACGAGGATCAAGCTGCCTTGGGCTTTTTCACCTGTGCGTTTGTCTGTTCGGCCATTCTCTCGAGAAATTTGACGTTTGTGTGGTGCACTGTGTCGAGCACGCCCAAGACACTACGTCGTTGATGACGACGACGTGAGTGGATGACGATCTGAGAGGAATAGATCGCAGACAATTGAGTGAATGCATACCCAAAGTTCTCGTTGAACGTTTCGTGGTGAAAGTCGTGGGCTCTTGGACACGCCATAAAGGGAAAGTCGTACCCCGAGTGGGTTTGCACCGTGTTGATGAGCGCGACGCAAAACCACGCCGTTGTTGTCGTCACGTGGGACCCCATCAGCACTGGCCCTGCAGCAATGCTGACGTAAGCACCATGGAAAAGTCGAGTTTGGGCGGTACCGGCCATGAGTGGAAACACGTTCGCGACGGCCATTTCGACGGGCGTGCAGTAGACCGCAGCGACGCCGATCGGAGCAGTGAACTCGTGATGTTTCTTATGATACGTCGCATACAATGCCCGCGTGTGCTACTGTCACTGTTCATGCGAAGGAATGCGGTGGGCGATGGGTGCATCACGTACGAACATTCGATGCGAGTAGTAGAACAAGAACTCCTCCACCACGAGAAACGAGCAAAATTCAAAGACGACAGACCCCCTGCCATCATGTGCTGTGTCAGAGTAATACCGATAGATGCTGGGTGTACCATGAAGGAAGCAGTCCGTGCGGCACCACTCCGCGCCACGGCAGCACAACCTTGAACATGACAATCGACATGGGGAGGGCCACTGCCAGCAGGTTGACCAGCGCAACTTTGACAGCGCTCCACGTCATGCTGCTCGAAGCGTACTTGTCCTATGTGGATGCTGATATGACCTATCCAAGTGCCCATGTCCGTACGGGTTGCACTTTGAACTGTGTGGCCCATGCTACAGCGACTCGGACGTTTTAATGGTCTCATCTCGAGACAAGTGACGTACCAGGTTTCGTGTAGTCAATCACCATCATGAGGGCCGAGTGTGTCCAGAACACGACAAAGGACAGTCCCAATGACGACGGGTAGATTGCTTCTGGCCCATGGCGTTCGACATACCTTTGAAACCACGTCGACGCTACACAACGGACGCGACATCACAGGAGAAGCGTTAGTTACAGCATGCATACCATACGCAGCTCGAACAGCCATGGTAACACCAGTGGCCCACAATGGCATGAACACAGCGTCCATCGTCTCCCGCCGCTTCATCACGATGGGGGCTCCAGAGGCAAGATCTATCGAGAAGACCAACTTCGGCCGTTTCCAACGATTTGATTGGCCAGTTTGTTCTTCAAGTTGGCAAAAAGCGAGGGAGCGCCGGCATCCGCACGCTCAACATCATCGCTTCTAGATCTGCCACTAGATTCAACGCACTCGACGGCCATTAGGCTTTCTTGGGGATGTTTTCCCGCTCTGCTTTCGCTGCCGCTTCCAAACGCGCGACAAACTTTGTGTTGGTGTGGTGCACTGCATCCAGAACGCCAAGCACTCTACTTCACACTGTCATCAAAAAGCCCGCCATCCCCCCTCGACGACCAACCCAAAGTTCTCCGTAAACGTCTCATGATGGTGCTCATGTGCGACTGGGCACGCCACCATAAGTGGAAAGTCATACCCAGAGTGGGTTTGCACTGTGTTGATGAGGGCCACGCAAAACCAAGCCGTGGTCGTCGTGACATGCGACCCCATCAACAAGGGCCCTACCATCAAGGCGAATGCTGACGTGGCGACTGCCTACATGCTTACCAGCTATCACGGGCAGCACGTTGACCACTGCCATCTCAACGGGTGTGCAGTAGATAGCAGCGACGCCGATGGGTGCAGTAAACTCGTGGTGCTTCTTGTGATACGCAGCGTACATTACCTTGGTGTGCTACAAGAGGCATCTCCTCAATAGGGTCAAGAGTGCTCGGCCAGTTGAACATACCATCAAGCGATGCGCGTAGTAGAATAAGACTTCTTCCACGATCAGAAAACAGGAAAAGTCCACGAGAACCGAGAGCCTGCGCGCATGGAAGCGTCAATGCCAAGTGAAAGCGTAGTGTACCATGTTGGCAGCGGCCCGTGTGACGCTGTTCCTCTCCACGGCAGGCCAATTTTCACCAAAACGAGTGCCATGGGCAGGGCGATCCCCACTAAGTTGAGCAGCGCCACACTCACCGCCTTTTTCATCATGTCCGCTGTGGCAAACTTGTCCTACCACAAGGGCATGCTGAGCAGGGCACACAAGGAAAAGGTGTGCCGTACGTGCTGCACTTTGTACTTTTGAGCCCACGCTACCACAACACGAGGTTCAACGAGAAACCATCGTGATTGACACGTATTACTGGGTTTTGAGCAGTCGATCGCCATCAGGATGATGCAGTGACTCCAAAACACGACAAAGCACAGCGCCAGTGCCAACGAGTCGACACCATTTCGTCCGTGGACGGCAACCACATTTTCACGCAACCAGACTGACTCTACACAAGGCAGGTCATACCAATGAGATTTCTCCAAGCACCAACCGTAGGCAGCTCGAACTGTCATGGACACCACTACGATCAACAAGGGCACCAACCAAGCGTCCTTCAGCCACCGCTGCATTTTGGATTTTGCAGTCCCGATGTCGGGTTGGAGCACCAACTGTGGCATATCCTCGTGCCGCGATGGCACCGTTAACGTAAAGACCCCTTCTAACGGTGCTATTGCATTGCGTGCGTCGATGATGCGGCGGTTTGGAAAACCGTTTCAGTCCGCAAAAGACGTTTCATTTCCGGTTAATTACGAGACGGGGGTCACCACATCGAAAACGCGAGTAAGCCCTCGTGCTGCCCGACTGCACCCCGCCGCATCGCTATAGCTGCACAAACTCATGGATCCCGCGGCGTCGTTGTACCAAGCCGCTGTTTGTGTCGTGCACTCTGACCTCAGTTCTTTGCGGACGATGGATTGCACACTATTTCAGGTCCCCAAAAATAGTGTGATGTCGATGGTTGGCCATTTTTATTGGTTGGTTGGAGTGCTTCCGCTCGGTGGGTGCCAATCACACAACATTGTTTCAGTTGGTGGAAACCACCGACCGCCGCCGCTCGTCCCCCGTCGTTAGGGAAACCACTGCGTCAACATGCCTCAACATGAGCATATGGAAATGCACAAGAAGCGCCATGGTGTGCGGTACGATCACCATGAGCGTGCGCGCAAGAAGGAAGCGCGCGAAGTCCATCGCCGTTCCGCGTTTGCCCAAAAGGTCCACGGGTTGCGTGCCAAGTTGTACAACCAGAAGAGGTTCAAGGAAAAGGCGGCGATGAAGAAGACGCTCGCGATGCATAATGAACGTACCAACAAGCACGCGAACGACGACAACATCCCCGACGGCGCAGTCCCGTCGTACTTGTTAGATCGTGAAGGAGTCAGTCGTGCCAAAGTTCTCAGCAACACAGTCAAGCAAAAACGAAAGGAAAAGGCGGGCAAATGGGACGTCCCCATCCCGAAAGTCAAGCCGATTGCAGATGACGAAATGTTTAAAGTGCTGCGATCCGGGAAGCGCCGCAACAAGGCCTGGAAGCGCATGATCACCAAGGCAACGTTCGTCGGTGAAAACTTTACGCGCAAGCCGCCAAAGTACGAACGATTCATTCGACCAGCCGCCATGCGCTTCAAGAAGGCACATGTGACCCACCCCGAGCTCAAGACGACGTTCCAGCTCGACATTTTGGGCGTCAAGAAGAACCCGTCGTCGCCGCTCTACACGCAGCTGGGGGTGATGACCAAGGGGACGATCATCGAAGTCAACGTGAGCGAGCTCGGGCTTGTCACAACCACAGGCAAAGTCGTGTGGGGTAAATTTGCACAGGTCACGAACAACCCTGAAAACGACGGGTGCATCAACGCCGTCCTCCTCGTCTAAACCTTGCTAAACCCATTCTATATATATTCCCTTTGGATGTGTGTCAGCCCACCACCGAGTATGGCGCCACACGCGCGATGTTTCATGCCAGAGCACCGACATTTTTCAATTCACATCGCTTCGTTCATGAAGGTTATGGCACGTGAATCGCCCCAAGCCAGACAAGGGCACATGTTTGGCATCACTTTGGTGGGCAGCAGTGTCGGCCGTCTGCCATGCCGAGCTCCGCAGCCCGAGGCGCGACGACATCCAAGTTCGAGCAATGGACGACATCGACGATAAAGCCCAACCAACTCATTCCTGCGACTGTACCCTCCGCCGCCCCCGGTGGCGTCGTCAACAATGCGAGTGGCTGAACACGTTGTACAGCGACATTCCTTACTTCTTTTCGTACTTTTGCAGCAACCCAACATAAGCCAACCCGCTGTCTGCGCACGCGGCCAAGAGAGAGTACTTGCCGCCTTCCTTGACGAGCTTGTTCGAGCCTGTGTTCACCAAGCGGCTGCCCGTGGCGCCGAAGGGATGGCCTAGGGCCAAAGACCCGCCCCACGTGTTGAGTTTGTCGTGGTTCACGCGACCGACAGCTCCACTACCCCGCAACCGTACGATTCAGGTCAAGGCGTTTCCACCACCACCAGCAGCATCGTCAGCGTACCTCCATCCAAATTCGTGCTTGCAAAAGTCTTCGTCGGCCAACGCTTTCAAGTTGGCCAGCACCTGACCGGCAAACGCTTCGTGGATGTCAAAGTGGTCGATGTCGTCCAACTTGAGGTTGTTCTTCTGGAGGATTTGGGCAATGCCGTAAGCCGGGCCAAGCAACAACGATTCAAACGGGTCGACGCCGACAAATACAGAATCCAACAAGACACTCTTTGGCGTGTACCCCAGTTCGAGCGCCTTGGACTCGGACATGAGCAACGTGGCGGCACTGCCGTCGGTTAAAAATGACGAGTTTGCAGCAGTGTGCGTGCCATGGGGCTTGACGAATGCAGGCTTCAGCGACGACACCTACATCACACACGATTGGATTCCAATTTACACATGAAGCGCGATCGAGACGACGTCGCTCACCTTTTCGTAGTTGCTGTCGGGGTTGATGCCGTTTTCGAGGGTAGTGCCCATGTATGGAACGATTTCACCGTCGTACTTGCCCTCGGCATGTGCTTTCGCGGCATTTTGGTGGCTCTTGATCGAGAATTCATCCATTTCTTTACGCGTGACGCCAAAGCGCGCCGATAGACGATCCGACGAGTTGCCCATGACCTCGTTCGTGTGAAAGTTTTTAATTGCGGGGGCTTCGGGCGCCAAGTCGCTGAGCTTTAATCCCGACAAGAGCTTCAAAATCCCAGCAGGGCCTGCCTTGAGCGCCTTTGCAGAGTTGATCAAACGCTTGCGAATGGGACGGGAAAAGCGAATGGGAACATCCGAGAAGGTTTCCACCCCACCCGCCAACACAATCTCGGCGTTCCCAGCCAGAATCTTCTCCGCGCCTGTCGCGATTGCTTGACTCGACGAAATGCACGCTTGGGTGACAGTATGAGCAGGAATGTTCTTCGGGATGCCAGCACCGAGGGCAGCTTCACGTGCAATGTTGCTCGTGCGCACTTCTTGGATGACGGTACCGCACAAAACATAGTCGATCTTGGCAGGGTCGATTGCAGTCTTGACCAAGAGGCCCTTGATGGCATCTCGCATCAAGTCATACGCCATCAAGTCGTTGTAGACAGTGCCGGACTTGTGGAAAGGAAGGCGAATACCGTCCACGACGACAACGCGTCGGGAGCTGAAGCTGCGGCGACCGATGGCGCGATGCATGGCAGAAGGAATTGTGTGGTGCTTCCCCCGCGATCTTTTCTCGGGCAAAACCCTGTTTCGTCAACTTGAACTGCAGAGAGCAATATTATTCACTTTCACTTGATCTTTCTATGCAATTGAAAAAAATGTCGTTGACTCAACTCCCATCCGTTGGGCAAAACAAAACATCCGTCGACACCTCGACGAACGAGCGCGTCGACCCAGCGCCGCCGCGAGTTGAGATCCTCCAGGCGGGCTAAATCCGATGCACACATGCAAGAGTACTCTTTCGCTGAGCGCGGCCACTTCCATCGAAAGAGGCAATGATGCTCGCAGGAGGGCGTCGATCGTTGGACTTGAAAAAAATAGCACTATCCTCACGCTGTCTACGTGGCTATTGTTCGTTTGTTTGTTCGTGTGTTCGCTGACTCTTTACACGGCGGCGGACCCGACGAATCCCTCCAAGGCGTCGATGGTCTTGGGGACACGGCTGGTCAGAATCTCGATCCCCGTTTCAGTGATCTATCCACAGCATGAGCTGTTCCTCTCAAGGCATTTGCATCGAGTTGCAAGTGACGTACCAACACGTCGTCTTCGATTCGAATGCCAATTCCTCGAAACTCGGCAGGCACCCTCGTATCGTGCTTGGGCAAGTAAATCCCTGGCTCCACCGTCACGACCATGCCTGGCCGCAACGCCGACGATCGGGAAAACCGCGGGGTGTCGTGGACGTCCATGCCAAGGTAGTGGCTCAAGTGCGTCGGGTTGTAGCTTCGGAAGAGGTGGTTGAACTCGGTCGAGTTGAGACTGACAGTCGCTGGAATGATGCCGCAGTCTTTCATGCCCTGCCCGAGCAAGCCCACCGAATAATGGTGCAGTTCGTCCAGCGTCAACGTGGATTTGCGCTCCATGGCGAGCTTGAGTCGCTACGACCACGAGGAATCATGCTCAACTCGGGGAATCGACCGCCTCGTACCTCCAAACAACGCAGTTGCACGTCCAAGATGAGACTGTACAATGTGGCTTGGGGAGTCGTGAAGCGGCCATCGATGGGCCACGTTCGCGTGATGTCGCTCACGTAGTTGCCTGTAATTTCACAGCCCGAGTCCATGAGGACGAGTTCGTGTGGCTTCAACATGCTTCTCTTTGACAGATAGTGGATAACCGACCCGTTCGCGCCGGCCCCCACCACACACGGAAACGAATTGCGAGGTGCGCCTCGTGCGCGGCACTTGGCCTCGAAATGACCCGCGAGCGCAAGTTCCAGCTGCCCTGGAGCGCACGATGCCATGACCGAGCAAAACGCATCGACTCCAATGTCCGCAGCCTCCTTCATTTTGGCCACTTCAGCAGGAGACTTTATTACTCGCAGTGAGTCCAGGAGTGCGTCGGCCATCTGAAATTGGTGCGTCTGTGCAATTGTACGTGACGCTTGGAGGAATCGCTGGGGATACCGTCCTTGGACGGGGGCAGTCAAGCAGATTTGCGTGTCCGGCGCGGCCATCGACAGCAACTTCCCTTCGAATTCGTCTACAGTGAAAGCTGCGTCCGCGAGAAATTTTGTCGTAGCCAGCTCAACGTCGGTGCGAGGGCCGTCCCACTGCTCGCTAAAACACAACGACAGCAGATGAGATGGCAGAGGGATGGGTGCATGTGTGTCCAACCTGTGGGCATCCCGGGGACGTACGAACAAAATGTACTCGGAGGTCGAGTCGGCATTCTTCTTGAGCACTGCGACAGCGTCAGGTTCGTCGAGGCCCGTGAGGTACAAAAAGTGGGAGTCTTGTCGGAAATCGTACGGGATGTCGTGGGACGAGTACTTTTCCTCGGAAGCGTTGAGCTAATGGTGGTGGGCCAACATGAAGCAGAGGACGCGACGAGCGTGCAGTATACGTACGACGAGTATCGAGTTAGGGGGCAGGAGGTCCACAGCTTGCTCTCGTCGTTGCTGGAACTCGGCCGCTTGAATTCCCGGAACCAGTTCGTTCTCTTTGAGTTCAAACGGGTTATGCGGTACCAAATGGTGCAGCGCGCGTGATACAGAATGAGAGCACGGCGACAAAGCGCGGTGCGCGAGGAAGCGAACGCTGCCGCCTGTCAACCGATGCATGAGGGCCACGACCGCCAAGTGAGCATGCCACACCTTCCACGACAGAGTATCCGATTTCAAAGGGTTTTGAATAAATTATAACAGTATTTCCTCGTTTAGGGCATTTGAACAGTACGTTTTACCTTAAACCTATCGTTGCACAGCACGACACACATTCGCAACCTGTTTGAAAGGCAAAGATATTTAAGCTTGAGCTCAGTATGGCGGTCAACTCTGTTGTCAACATTGAGTTGCAAAGCTAGTCCACGCGAGCTCTTCTCGTCACCGACCTGGCACAGGTCCGACACTAGTCGCACTCTCATGCACAAGCACAGGCCCAGACGAAGCGTCAGCGCTCATGAGCAGTCACCGGCAGCAGACGTACAACCTACGCCGTCCCTCATGCACACAGCCTCGCAGTCTTCTCGAACGGCCAAGACGTTGGTGGCCCACGCGAGGGCACTTGCTCGGCAAGACAGCGATGAGCGAGAGCGATTCCAGAGTACAGATGCAGGTCTTGGAAACGCCAGCCTTGTGGGGCCTGCGGCAGAACAACATGGCATCCTTGACCTGGTCGTCGACGAAATGTGCTCGACAGAGGCCACATACGTCAAGAACCTCGTGACGCTCGTCGAATCGTTCGTCAAGCCATTGCAGGAGGCGAAACACCCCATGATGACCAACTCAGCCGTGGCCGTAAGTTGTCGATCGTTGACAGTTGTGTCGGGCTCACGAGTCCCCGCAGGTCTTCTTCAACACGCTGCAAGAGCTCGTGAAGCTCAACTCGACCTTTCTCGAAGAGCTCATGCAAGTGACGCTTCAGAGAGAGCATGGACAAAACTCGACTGAGCGCATCGTGGTGCTGTTCAACCAGTACATCCCCCTCTTTACGTCGTTCTACTCGGAATATGCCAAATACTTCGACGACTTTACACCGCTCTTGAACGAGTACAAGACCCAATCCAAGGGATTCTCGACGCTCCTCGACGTACCCACCGCCGTCCCATTTCCCTCTCTGCACCTTCCTTGAGTGTTGTGATGCTTGTAGCAATGTCAGCGAAAAGGCGGTTCGAACCAAACCTTTGAGAGCTTGCTCATCCTGCCGATTCAACGGATTCCCCGGTACAACCTGTTGCTCCAGGTACGAAAGACGTCGCGTCCACGACGGCCGACATGTGGCACGGCCGTAGCGGGTCGTAAAACACACTCGCGAGGACCATCCCGACTTGGCATCGCTGAAGCTCGTACGTGGTTCGATCGCAGCTCCAAAACATTTTGGTGATTCGTGTGTGGTATGGTGGTAGACTGTGCAAGCGATGGGCGAAGCGGCCCAGCGCATGGACGAAACCCTGCGCCAGAAAGAAAAGACGGAGGAAGTCCTGCGGATCCAGGCGCAGTTCGCGGGCCAAGTGTCGCTGTTTGCGCTCAACCGACACTGCGTCCGATCCGGCATGCTGGTCAAGGTTTGGCTTCCATCGATCCCGTGCATGACGATCTTGGAAGGAGATAACACAGTGTTTAGATGTCCACCAAACGCGAAGACAAGGTGATGGTGCACCTTTTCAACGATCTCCTCATGTACAGCGACATCCTGTCCGCCGAGACGTTCCATGCGCGCCGGATCGTGGACTTTCATTCGAAAGCGTGCCGCGTCGATGGGACAGTCCCGTCGTCATACGTGAATCTGTTTGGCGCAGACACGCTTGAGTGTGGCTTCATGGTGCGTCCATCGCAATGGATGCTGCCAATGCAACCATGTTCATGGACACCTCTTTTTCTCGTGTGGTAGATGTCGAGCGCGCAAAAGTCGTTTGTGCTGTTTGCTCCAACCGTTCAGGACAAACAAGCGTGGGTGTCCACGATCGGCCGCCTCATCACGGAGACGCAGGCCAAGGATTCGACGACAGCAGTCGACTCCGCCCCGGCCGCCGTCTGGATCCCTGACAGCGTGTCGGAAGAATGCAGTCAATGCAGAAAGGCATTTCGACTGCTCTTGCGGCGCCACCACTGCAGGTGCGTGGCCCCCTCAACGTTGCAAGCGCATGCGAGGTGGTCAAGGCCGACGGTTGGTCGCGTAGACGGTGCGGCTTTGTCGTGTGCGGACTGTGTTCGGAACACCGTTCCATCCTGTTCGACAACGACATGCGGCCCGTCCGAGTGTGCAATAAATGCAACCGCGTGCTCGACTTGGTCAAACAGAGTGCCCTCACTTGGCTCGGGTGCCTCATCGAGTTTAAGAAGCGGACGCTCCTGCGTCGAGATCGCAAGAACAAGGTACAAGGCGTGTCTGACGGACCATTGGGGCAGTCCGTGATGCGGTTCGACGGTGTTGTAGTGGAGTGAGTACGAGTTTGACATCAAGGGCGGGGTGTTGCGGCAGTATCATGGCGGCGCAGTGATTCAGACGCTTAATTTGGCCGGTGCAATCGTCGTGCGTCGACGGGACCAGTGCGTAGTCCGTGCAACTCGTCATGTCACGGACAACTGTAGACGGTCCCTGTACTGCTTTCAAATCTCGACAACGTTCGCGGCCGAGATCGTGTCGGCACCGTCGTCCATGTCGAGGCTGTCCCCTCTCAAGTCGAGACGGCAAGACAAAATGAGCTGTCGATGGGACAATCAAGAGTGGCTTCTATGCGCTTACTCGCCCGACGGACTGGCAGAATGGACCAAGGCGATCGAAGAGTCGGCTAACAAAGCTCTAAAGCGCACGTCAACTATTCGATCGAAGTCGTTCGACGGCGACGTCAATATCCACTCCGATCCCGAACAGAGTACGTGTGCATTGTTCCTCGTGCCATGTCCGAAGGACAAGGAAGCGAGTAGTGGCTGCGACCACCCAACTCATCTTCTGGTGGACATGCGTCGTCGTTTTCGTAGCAGATCCCATAGACCTAAAGCAGCTCGACTTTTTGGTGTATGACGATCAAAAAGCCGAAGGGTTTCGGCACAAGATTTTGACGGAAATCGTTCGCTCGGTAGAGCACTGTTGCGTGTAATGTCTTCACGTGAACGATGGGGATATGATAGGAGCAGAGCTACGTCGAGTGCTTGGGCACTTGCATTCGCATGTTTGTCCAGCCGTTGATGCTGCGCGAAGTCGAGCGGAAACGCAGCGTCGAGGTCAACAGCAAGCTCAGCTTGCAGAGACGGTTGTCTCAAATGTCGCTGAAAAAGCACGAGCAATTGAAGCAGAGGTTGACGATGTTGGGACTCAACCGACGTAAGGATTTCACCTACAATATCACCCACGACCGAATCCTGATGGCACTGCGGCTACGTAGGTGGGGCAAGCGTCCAAACCGGACTCGTTAGCAGCGTGCTACATGACAACTGCACGAAGAAGACGCTCCTGGACGCGGACATGTCGATCTTTTTCACGAGGCACGTGCAAGACTTCTGGTGCTGTGGCTTCATTCAAGCTGTAGCATGGGGCAGATCTACACGCTGAACCAACAGTTCCTGGACCACCTCACGCATCATTTGAAGGAGATTGAAAATGGCAGCGTGGCCATCCACCTTGTGGTACGACGGGACATGTATCTGCTCTCACACGAAACCTTTGCAGGGAGCAATTTTCAACGCGTACGCGCCACTGTTTCAATTGTATTCGTCGTATGCGTGCCACCACGAGTCGGCGCTGGCTGCCATCGAAGTACAGGACCCACTTGACCATGCACAAATCGATGACGACCTGGTTGTAGTCGGATCGATTCGTGTCGATGCTGGCCGAGATTCAACTCCCGATGAACGCCACGACGCTGCACCAGTTGCGCACGTTCCTCAACATGCCAATCGAGCGCATTCCCAAGTACAGCCTGTATTTGGCCGAGCTCAAACCGTGGACGAGTGAAGCGCACATGGACTACAAGCCGTTGATGTCGGCGATTGCCGCCATCCATCGTGTCGTTCAGATTATTCGAGACACAGTCGAAGCCCGCGAGAGTACGCGAAAGCTCCGCCAAGTGGAGTTTAAGTACGGGTTGCCCCCCGACAAAGACCGCCAGTTCGTCAAGGAAGGGTTGCTGCGAAAAGTGTGCCGCAACTCGGTCAAAGTATACCACATCGTGCTATTCACCAATGGTAAGAGCTCGTCCATTTCAAATGGTATGATGGACAACTTGTCCTGACAGCACTGCTGTACGCACCGACGGACTGGATGGCCACATACCAGCGCAAGCACAAGGTCATCGACTTGAACGGGTGCTCCGTGTCGCCAGTGGACTCCCTCACCGACAGCATTCGCAGCGTTCTTGCGACCAACATGAATCACAACAAGTACGCAACCAATTCCCTCTCCGTATTGCGCATGACGTTATGTCGTTGCAGTGCCTTCAAGTTCCTGTCGAGCCAAAAGTCGTTTTTACTCATTGCCGAGTCGACGGCAGAACAAGATGGGTGGTTGTCCGTCCTGCAGGTACAAGTCCAAAAGGGTCTTCGGGATATCCATCGATCGATCCGTCACATTTTGATGATGTAGGACGTGATCTCGCGAGCGGAATCGACGGCAAGACTTTCCGTATCATCCGTGGACGAGGATGCTGCCAACGACGTGGAGATTATCATCAAATCGGGCTGGCTGCCTGTTCAACGAGGACACAAGTGGAAGCGGATGTGGGTAACGGTGGACTATCAGCATGTGACGTTGGCTTCGTCGTTCCAAGCAAATCCTGAAGTGCAGCTCGTCATTTCAAGCTGCGATGTTGAGATCGTGTCCGACAACGCAAGCACCTTCATGATCCGTGGAGAAGATATGCTCGAGGTGTGTTCGAACGACGTTGGGGACAATGGCCTTTCACGGCGACTCCTAGGATGACATTGGAGCCATGTCGAAAGAATTCACGTTGGAAGCTCATCTGGACCGAGACGAATGGATTCGTGCCATCGACCATTGCGTTCTATGCACTGCGTCTGGTGGAGACGTCATGTCGTGCAGCTCAAGGGTGTCAGAGCCTAGCTCTGGGTACGCGCCAATTTACATGTTTGGCGCGGCCAAGGTGAAGCCCGAGCAAACTACTCGAAGGCATTGCTGACTCGGGGAATGCTAGAGCTGTACGTTGTGCCTCAACAAGTTTGCCTTTCATCGCACCAGGCACCACTGCAAGTACGACGTAACTTGTCCCGTCGTGCGATTGTCACGCTCATCCGACAGGCGTTGCGGAAACCAAGTGTGCGGCAAGTGCTCCAGGACGCGAATGGTGCTGACAACAGGGAGCTCCAAGCGCGACCGTGTTTGCGACAAGTGCGCCAACGTCCAGCGCAATTGCGTCCTTCCTCCCAATTTGTAGTCGCGCAAGTCTCGTCAAACACGAATATGATGCATATTTATATACAGCGAGCCGCCTAGTAGCTGTACGTCGCCGGCCCGGTTGCGATCGCGTTTTGCGCCGCGACACGCACGTAGAACGGCGTTCCAGGCTCGACGTCTTGAACGACGTACGCCCGCATCGAATAACGATAAATCGGAAGGGCTTGGCCCGTAAAGGCTGGGCACAATTCACCAGGACCCACTGTAATCGACGACACTGTGATCGCTTGCACCGTGTACACGCACTTGGTTTGTCCAATCGAAAACACATCGCCGACAAAGAGTAGTGCTGTCAAGTCGGTAGTGACGGCCACGGTGGTGCCCGTGAGGGTCTGTGCACACGAGGCACAGAACGGGTGGAGGGTTGTACCGGGAGGTACGTGCAGAGCGAGAGCTGCGGCTTTCGCCGTCGCGTCGGATGTCGTCTTCCGTCCAACAGGCTTCAAATACAATGCGTTGCATGCGTTGTCGGTGGTAGTTTGGCGGCCGACACCATGAAGGTCGTCCAACCCTGGTCCAAATGTCTTTGTCGTGACGGATATGGTGCCACCAGTAAAGCTGTTGCATCCCGCGACAAGGGTGGCCACCATGGTCGGCACGTTTTCCAATGGTGCCGTCGTCAACGGCGCGTAGAAGGTAAACTCGTACATGTGGCCGTAATTCCACTCGGCCGAATCATCACCGTGCTGGACGACCGTGACGGCACTGTATCGTGCGACGGACCGAACCAGCGTTTGCAGATCTGTCGCCGAGATGCCCCAGTTTACGCATCCCACGACGGTCGTGCCAATTGCCAACTGAAATTGTTGCGTTCCGACCAGGGGAGGCACTCCTTGGACGGAAAGGTACTGAACTTCGGCGTTGTCTCCGCAACTGCTGCGGAACGTCCTCGTGTGGTCCCATTCGACCGTGTAGTCGGTGACTGTGCTGCCACCGTCGCTGACGGGCTCTTCCCACACCACGCCAAACGATGCCGCCGTTTGCCCCATGATTTGCACTGACGCTGGTGCCATGGGACCTCTCGGCACGGGAATATACGTGGTCAGTGCGGGGACGAATGCACCGTAGCCGACGTTGTTATACGCAGCGACGCGCACATTGTACGCAACCGATGGGGTCAGGCCTGATATCAAGTACGAGCGAGGCGCGAGTCCAATTCGGTGGTGGAACCGACCCTTGGTGGTTTCCGACAGGGCTATCGTCACAGTCACTCCGACGTCTGCACCCGAAGCCGTGAGCAATGGTATGTCGCCCATCTCCGAGTTGAATTGTATTCGCACAGCTTGGGGGGTTGTGGCATCACAAACACTGCCTTGGCCATTGCTGAACGATACACTTGCTTGGACAAACGGCAGGCTTGCGATGGCTGACGTGACTTGAGCCAACGTTGCTGTGGATGAAATCGACGTCGTCGTGTAGCCCATGTAGTTGAGCTGGAAGGATCGACCAGGTCCTGCCGTACACAGTACAGTCTGGACCTCGGGGACTGCCCCCGTCGCTGCCGTGGGCGAGATCACTTGGGCGCCGTTGACAGTCTCCCGTTTGCAATTCGTTCGAGCAATGTCCGAACACATCAACAGATTGTTGCTCAAGACGGACAACCGATGACCGACCTGAGTTTGAAGCAACGACGCGTACTGAGTGAACTGATTGCCCGCGTACATGACTTGGGCAAACGTCACTAGCCACGTATAGCCCTAGCAGAATCCAGTCAGACACATGCAATGTACGAGCCGACCGCGGCTGCTTACGTTGGGTCCCAATTCACGGGTAACCTCCACTGCATCGATCGTGCAGAGTGCTTGGAGCGCTTCTTGGAGCTTGATCGCCGAAATGTCAAAAGGAAGCTCGTCCGTCACTTGGTTGTCAAACATCAATTGGAACGTCCCGTCCAAGTAAGGAAAGGCGCCAACTGACGGCGCCGACACGGAAATGACTTCGACGTCATTCATCCCAGTGGAATCCGTCCACTTGACCACTTGATTGCCCTTGGTCGCGCCGGTGTACCATTCGACATTGAATTTCGTGACGTTTTGTCCCCCGGTGTCGACGGGGTCTTGCCACTGCACGAGGAGCTGCGTGTCCGACACCACGTCCACACGAAGGTTCGACACAAGACCAGGAACGTGGTGTGTCGCCTGCACCGACGTCGGCGTAGGAATAGTCAGGACGCCAGATCCAGCGACATTGTGCGCCGCCACACGCGCGTACACGCTTTGGCCGTTGTTAAGAACGTTCAACTTGACTTGATTCATCCGCGTGACTGTTGCCAAGGGAGCCAACGTCGCGCGCAACTTGTAGTCGTTGGAGTTAAACGTGAGCAAATGCACAGGGACGCCTTGCGTGAACGTAACGAACCAGTGGAACCCGTTCTTGGCCACCGTCCGCGAGACGTCCACCTTGCATGACAGTGACAGCTGCTCAATCGCAGCTTTGACATCTTGCGCAGTCGCTGTGACAGGGATATCGCTGGATTTTTCGAGTCGATACGCGTTCACGTACGAGTTTTGAATCTTGTTGACGACTGGCGCGACCGGAGTGGCACCCGTGAACGCCCCACAACCGTTCGATCCCTGGTCGACAACTTGCAATGTGGGCAATTTCCCTCGGACACGAACACCCGTGAACGTAATGGTGTACACAGCCACGGTTGGGTTCAAATACAGCGTGCGGCTGACTTGGACTTGATCGATCGACGGCAACGTTTCCAACTCGGCTTTGAGAGCAGCGCTGTCGGCCAGCGCGGCTTGCGCTGTCACCCCCGATGCCCACAAGAGACAGCCGTACTGGGCATTCACGTTGGCACCACCATTACCGCCGACCAACGTTGTGGCGGTCACATCCGCTCCAAATTGAAGTCGGAAACCACCGACACCTGTGGTAAAATCGCCTGCTCCTGTCGAAATGCGGATCGTTTGGATTTCTTGGGTCGCATATTGCAACGTCTCGTATGAGAGACTGGACGCCAGATGCGGCGAAGCGATGTCGCCGAGTGGTAGGACGGACGCTGTGAGGCCAGCGCAGGCGCACGTCGTACCCACACATGGCGTCCATACCCGTGCGATTTGTCCGGTGTAGGGATCTCCAAGACGGAAGTAGTCCCTGCACCCTAAGCTTGAGATCGTGTTTAGAGTGCTACCAACGTCATTCCATTGTCCTTGTAGCGCATTGCCCGACGCAAGAGCCGCGTCCAAGTTGGTGAATGGACCAAGCGCGGTGTCCAACTTGAAAAGTGGCATTTCTAAGATGGAGTACCCCGTGTACGTTGCGATCGCCCACGGATTCGTCTTGGAGCAGATCGGGATGGCACTTGGCCCCCAACGCACGTAGAGCGGATCCGTCGCCCCGGGACCAAAGTTGGCGAAACACTGGTGCGACACAGAGATCGTCGTCGCTGTGGGAAGTCCCGTGATAACCATCAAACAGTCGCGGACAACAATGCTTGTTCCAACCACAAGAACAAGATGGTTGTTTAGCGCTGGCGTCACAGTCATGATATTGGCCCCAAAGTCGAATTGCGTCACTGTCACTCCCGGCACAGCGTACGACGTGGTTGGGTCCAAACAAACTCGATATTCTTCGTTTGCAATCTTGATAAATTCCCCCCGGGCGACCAGTTTGGTCAAATCCACCGCGGCAACGCCAACAGGGTTCGCTTGAGTGATGAAAAAGCTGTTCGTGAGCAGGTTGAAATACCCCCCGAGGTCCACGTTGAACATGCCATAGTAATTTGACAGCGACAGCGTGAAAAAGCTCGTGGGGTCGATTGGTCCAAGCGCAGCGGCAGTGGTCACGCGCACAAATTTGTTCTGGGGCAAAAGGGGAGGGAGCGCCGTCGCGACCTGGAAAGTTGGGTCGTTGCCATATTCGACCAAATATTTGTCCACGGCAGCTCCACCAGACACATCCACTTCGTCATAGGTTAACTCGACTTGAGTTTGACTGAGCGATCGTAGCCACACATTTTCCAACATGTCAGGAATGCCAATTGGGGTGTACGACGGCGGTGACGGAACACCATACATGCCGTAACCTCGGTCGTTGGCAGCTTTGACGTACACGAAATACGGAGTCCCTGGGGTCAGACCGGTGAGGACGACTGAGTTGGCCGTGAACGGGATGCTCTGACTCCTGTAGTTGGGTGGGCTAACTCCTGTCACGCCAGTTGACGATACAACGTTGGGAGCAGTGCCCACCAACGCCAACGAGTTCACTCGAAGCACATTTGGAGAGCTGAGCGGACCCAATTGACTTAAAAACGTCACTGTCCACACAAAGTTGTTGGTCGATCCAGTACGTGATACGCGTACGCGACCAATGCTGGGCAGGTTTTCGAGGGCAACTTGTAAATCAGTTGGCAGGACGTTTGCCGTCAATCGTTGAGTTCGATGCTGGCGGTACAACACAGCGCCTTGGACGGTGTTTCCAGTGTAGGCTGCAGGGGTGATTGCAAGAGCAGCTTGAGCTTGGTTCAGCCATGCTGTAGCATCTGCCAACGGCAAGCTCGATGCAGAAAAGATGCCATTCGCAGCCACCAAATACGTCAAACCATTGATGGAGACCATATCCCCACGCTGCAAAATTCCCGTCAAGTCGACCGACGTCGTGATGTAGTTCTGGCCGTTGACCGCATTGACCACACCTGGCAACGGCACGTTCGTCGGGCCAAACGCCACGGTAAACTTCCCTCCTGTGATCGTGCCTGTCGATGTCAAAATCTGCTGCGTTTGAATGCCAAAGTACGGCACGGCCACGGCCTTGGTAAACCATTCGACCAAATATCCTTGGATGCTGCTCCCGGGACTTGTGGGCGTGTTCCATGTCACTACCATCGACTTTCCAGTGGTGTCGACACCACCTGACAACGTGATCGTGTCGACAGCGGGCGGCTTTTGCCGCGGCACAGCGCTTGGAGGTGCCGTCGCGACAGGAGGACCGGCGCCAAGTTGATTATTCGAACAAAACACCCGCGAAAAGTACGTCTGCCCCGCAGTCAACGACTCGATCGAGTACTCCGCTCCGTTTGCATTCGTTCCATACAACGTCATCGAGCCCAGCGGCGTCCCGGACGGCCCATTATTAAATGCTGACGTGGAGTCCCATTCGACCGTGCAACTAATGATGGGTGCGCCACCCGTGAACGCCGCGGGTTGGAAGGATACCAAGAGTGACGTTGGTCCCGTGACATAAAGCACAGGCGGGGAAGCGAGGTTGTCGAAACTGGCTGGCGGAGATGGAAGACCATACGGCACCATGAAACTGGTCGGCGCCGAAAGCCGCAACAGTCCGTTGCCCCGAGCTGTGTACGCGGACACGCGAACGTAGTACGAGGTGCCGGCCACGAGCCCCGAGATGCGGCTCTGCATCGGATACACCGTGGATGCTGTCACAGCGACGGTATTGCACACGTTGGCGTTGCAATACGAATTGCCGTTGAGATTCCCATTCGTTTTGGCGAATGCAATCGTTCCAACACCGTTGAGCGCAGTCAAGGCATTCGATGCTAGGGTGAACATCGGGACAACTCCCACGTCCGAAACAAACGTGACGCTCCACGTCTGTTCGTTGTTGCCCGAGAGACCAGTGGTGGTGACGACGACTTGGCCGATGTTGGGCATGTTTTGCAGGATCTGGGTCACTACCCCCACGGACGCATCGGCTGGAATTGCCGAACTCACGGCCACTGATTTGACTTTGCACAGCGTGCACGCGGTGGTGTCGAGTTGGACTTGAAAGCTGCCAGTCAAAGTTCCGCCCGAAGACGCGGTCGTCATGGTTTGGACCGTCGACGTAAACGTGCTCCAGTCTGCAGTGCTCCATTCAACCACGTATTGCGTGATGGGCGCGCCGCCGTCACCATTCACATCTGTCGACAGCACCGTGTTTGGTGGCATCCACGTCACAACTAGCGACGTCGTGCGATCCACTGCCAAGGCCGACGAGTCCAGCGCAGCCACTTGCACTTGTGTGGGGGGATCCGACGTCACGCTGGGGGTAATGGTTTGAAATGCCGCGACGGTGCCCATCCCGAGTGAGTTGTGTGCGGTCGCACGAATGAAGTACTGCGAGCCCATCATGAGCGCTGGGACTGTCGTAGCAATCCAATCGTTCTCACCGAGGCCGTACGTTTGACCTGTAAAGTCCAAACACGTGTAACCTGGCTGCACGGCAACCTGTGTGGCACTGTTGATGGTGGCCACTTCGACGACGCAATTGAGCGACCCCGCCGCGATCGTATACCTTCTTCCAACAAACAAACCTGCCGTGGTTGTCGAGACTGTGAGCATGCTTGTCTGCAGTGTCGTCACACACGTGGCACAGATCGGCGTCAACGTGTAGCGGGACGTCGGCCCAGTGGCTTGTAGCGTGACGCTTCCCTTGTTGGTCGAATCAAACGTTGACGTGGTGTCCCATTCAACAAGGAACCTGTCGACTGCTTCAAGGCCATGCCAGTACGAGGAATCGCGGACGAGGACGTCGAGCGTGTTTTGAGTGAAACCATTCGCGTTGCCGCTGCCAGATACCAACTGCATTGGCAAGAGCAGGGTCGGAGCGGCCGGCAGCTGCCTTGTCACAATGACGTTCGCCCCAGGCGAAGCCACACACTGGACGACGGTGTTGTCGCAAGTGGGAGTTGCCGCAACTGCAATACCAACGCCAATCACGTTGACCGCGCGCATTTGAACTTTGTACGCAGTGTTTGGCGCCGCGGTGACTTCGACAGAAAAGGGCGTGGTCAACGTGTCTACTGGCACTTGTACAAGTCCACTACCTGCGCCATGCAGGTCGGTCATGAACACTGTTTGACCTGTGAAGCCCAAGCAACCATGGTTGGGCTGAACTGGTACTGTTCCTGTGGCTCCATTCCACGTCGGGACGGCCGCCACCACCATGATACACGGAACGGGGCGTTCCAGGCGGAACATGTCTCCCACCTGAAGTGTCGTGACTTGGGCATTGATCGTCAGCACATTCGACGCCAGCGCTGTCACGCACGCGCCACACACGTCAGACGTGGCAAAACTGTCCACAGAGTACTCGATAAAGTATGCCAAAACAGGTGAACCATTCGTAGTCGTCGGAGGGCTCCAAGTCAGCCGCAGCACCGAACGATCCGTTGGTTTGGCAAACACGAGCACGTTTGTTGGAGGGGGAGGCCGCGCGACAGGGACAATGGATTTGTCTGCAGGGCACCCGCCGGGGCAAAGCGTGGGCATTGCAACTTCAGGTACACCAGTCCCGACATCATTTTGAGCCGACACGCGAACGAAATACGACCCGCCAGGGACCAAAGTTCCTCCTTCAATCGCAGTTCCCGACCAAACAGTTCCAGTGAGCGCTGTGCAGCCACCAGAGCCATCCACGGAAGCTACTTGCAGCTGAGGCACATTGCCCGTGACAAGGGCGCCGGTGAACGTTATGCGGTACATGGTCGCACCGAACGCAGGCCCAGGTTCTTTTGTAACAACAACCGCATCGATGTTCGTCAGTGATGTGAGGGCGGTTTCCAGCGCTGCGCTTGTTAGCGTCGATGATGCCAAGCACGCCGTTGTCGGCTGCGCGTGGATGGAAAACGTGCCAGTTGTCAGCGTACATGAAAACCCAGGCAGCACCTTGACAACATTGGCTTGAGACACGGCGACCGCCGCCACCGTGAATGCACACGCAGCGCCAGCCTTGTCGACGATAAACTTGACGTTTGTGCCTAGTTGAGAACGCAGGTCCGGGCCGTTGTACGTAATTTGATTCAGAACAGGGTCCAGAGTCACGGTGCAAGCAGCGCAAAGGGACAAGGGGTAAGTCGACGTATGGACCAACTGGAATGTCCCAGCCGTCGCGGCAACGACTAACGTTTGGACTTCAATGCCAATGGGAAAGTGGCACGCGGTCGTTGCGCAGGATGTCACAGCTCCAGCACCATCGTACGTACTAACAGGATACGACTGAAATGTTGCGAATTCTGACTGCGTACTGACATCCACGATGTACGCCTTGATCGATGCGCCGCCGTCACCTTGCGCAAAACCCAAGGCATTCAGTGTTGGCTCCTTCCACGACAAATCCAACTGCGTCGCAATGTTGAGCGGACTCACAGTCACAGCAACATTCGTGGGTTTGTATGGACTTTGCGCCGTTGGAACGATTGGGCTACCGGTCGCGACGACTGCTGAGCTGTAGCCCTTGGCGGACGGGGCAATTTGTCCGTTGTAAGCAGACACGCGAACGTAGTACGTGGCACCTGTTGTGAGACCAGGGATCAAAAAGCTCGTGGTCGACCCGTCCACAACCGCACTAAACGCATGAGCATTGGTGAAAGTGGTGCCGACTTGAACGGGAGACATGATCTGATAGTCCAAATCCCATTCGATCAAATACTTCGTGATGCCAGTGACGTATTGCGGAGGCCGCCACTGCACGCCCAAGGTCGTACTGGACACCACCGTCACTGTGACACTGAGTGGAACATCAGGTGCCGCGGCGCGTGGGGTCATTGAGAGCGGCAACGGGTCGCTCCCAGCCACAACGTCGGCAATGTTGAAGTCTGTAGCAGCAACGACTCCCGCTGACACCATGACAGACAAGGCGCCGAGAGAACTTGGCGCGATATTGTCCACGGACGATGTGGCAAATGTTATGAACCACTCGATGCGGAAACCGTCCGTGTCGACACCCGTGGCATCGACAGTCGCGAGCAACGGCCCAGTGGAGTGATCGCGCCGGGTCACAAACACCGCGCCAACGTGCACAAGCGACTGCAGCGCCGCTTGGATCTGGTCGGCACGGGCGTTGATCGGTACAGCAGAAGTTGCCGTGGCATAATTGGCAAACGTAAACGTGAACGTTTGGATCGCTGCCGCGAGGATGCCGTTGATATTGGCGTGGCTCACGACCACCCGCGTGACGCGATTGTTGGCGTAGTATGGAACTGCCGTCGTCGGGTCACTGAAGCCCCCAGCGCTGTACGACATGACACGCACGTAGTAAGAGTTGGCTGCCAAGAGGCCCGAAATTGCGTAAGTGTATCGAGGTTTTTGAGACACGGCTTGAATTGTGGCCGATCCAGAAGTGGTCGAAGTCATTCCAAACGACGGCGACACGTCCCATTGCAGCTTGTAGTTTGCGATTGTCGCGTCAGGAGGGGCGTCCCACGCAACGGCAAGTTGAGTGCTGGATAATATTGATGCCTCAGCGTTGAGCACTGGCCACGGGGCGACGAGTTGTGGAGCGACGTTGAACGCATTCAACTGAAACGCACTCGTACTGAAACGTGTCTGGGTTTGGACTCGAACGAAGTACGGAGTCCCAGTGCGGAGTTGGGGGATTATGTACTGGACGGGAATGCCTCCCTGAACCACCTGTCGAATGGACACACACGGCGTCGTTCCGGTCAATGAGCCACCACACGCAAGCCGTCGGGGGATTCGACCAGCCACAGTCGTAGCCAGTAGCAACGGCACGTTTCCATCCGACCTGGAAAACGAGATGCGCCACTTCCGACCATACGTTTGCCGAGCCAAAATCGACGACTGCGTCTCGTCGGTGGTCGTCACTGTGACTGCCGAGACCGTTGACATGCCATGCAACGCTTTGGCCACAACGTCGGCGGAAGCGTCAAAGGGAATGTCGACCGAACTTTCACCTGAAAAAACCAAGTTGAACGTTCCCCCTAGATCTGCAGCACCTGCATGGGCAAACACTTCTTGCACTTCAGCTTGAGACTCCACAACGATGCTGCCTTTGGTGAGGGGGCTGAATGGCGGATTCGTTCCGGCAGTGATCTCGGCAACGGTGGCAGATACTGCGGGACCTACCAAACTAGACGATTGCACCGATAGAAGCGGCAAATTTCCAGGGTTTGCGTTGAACGTGACTGTCCAAGCGTACCCAAACGAGACAAGAGCTCCACGGGTGACGCTAACACCAGCCACACTCGGCAGTGCATTGAGTGCATCAGCCACCATATCGGCCGTGGCGTCCCATGGTATATTTGTTGTGCGGTACTTTCGAAAAGCCAACGTGAAGGACCCAGACACCGCTCCGGTCGCATTCACAACAACGGATTGCACTTCGTACACCCCTGGAGTTGTGTCCCATTCCACAGTGTACCCTTGAATAATGGATCCACCGTCAAACAACGGGGGCGCCCACGACACAGCCAAGGTCGACGTCGAGTTTGCTTCCACAACCAAGTTTTGCGGCGGCCCGGGTGGCCATTGAGGGGCTTCGATTGGCGGCGTGCTGTACTGAGCACTGCCAAACGCGTTTTGAAACCCATTCCATGCCGACACGCGCACAAAGTAGAACGCACCAACAAGCAATGACGGGATCTTGTACTCTACCCGTGGCTGCAACGCGTCAGGTGACACCGTGACAACTTGCGCACCGTACAACGAGCTGCTCATGGCTGGCAGTCGTCCTGGCACTTCCAGTACATTTACGGACACGGCGGCCGTTGGATTGGACGAGTACAGGCCAGTGCTGCCGACAACGATGAGCGGAACACTTCCGAGTCGGGTCAAAAACATAATGTTCCAAGTAATGCCCAAACCGCTAGCAAAACGAGTGACCCAAACGGTGCCTGTGTTCCCCAAGGCTTCGAGCGATGACTTGACAGCCAACGACGTCGCGTCGTACGGAAGTGGAAGGGTCGTTTGGCCATCGAACGTCAGCGTGAATGTGCCTTGGAGGTTTCCAGCATTCGTGGCCACAATCACGCTCTGCTCTTCAAAACCGTTGTATCCTGCAACGTTGGTCGAGATCGAGATGGCCGCACCCGTCCCCGTCAAAGTCGCTCCAACTCCTGTGGTTTTTGTCACGTCAAATGTTGCGTAGTTTTCAGTGGTCAAGATCGACGCCACGAGAACCGGAATGTCGCCATTGTGCGCAAGGTTCTCCCGATTTGTCAGGAAGGTCACGAGCCACTCGAATCCGTTGCCGACTGCATTGCGTTGGACGCGTACCGACCCAATTGTGTCGAGACTTTCAAGCGTTTGCTGCATACGTGAGGCAGTCATATCGTAGGCGAGCCAGGGGGTGACCGCACCCCCAAAGCCAAGACGGAAGGTCCCGCCCAAATCAAATGCTGACGCAGAGACAAGAATTCGCTGAACCGCCTGTCGAACGTAGAGCAAGTCGGACGTGACGAGACCCGGCGTCGCAGCGATCGCGCTTTGATCCATGCAGTCCCATTCAATCTTGTACTTTGTGATCGGTGCCCCACCGTTGTCGTGCTGCGTAGAGAACGAAACGACCAGCGTTGCGTTGTCGCCAGGACTCAACTGCACCAACGACGGCGGCGTTGCAAACGTTTGAGGAATCGTCGACAGCGGCGACGGGACGCCGGCGTCGCTAGAGTACCCAAATGTATTGTACGCGTAAATGCGTACGTAGTATGGCGTGCCCTTGACCAAACTCCCAACGATGGACTGGCAAGGCGTCAACACGCAATCCACGCCAGGGACCACGACCGACACAATGTCGGACCCGAGGGATCCGCCATCCAGTCCTGCATTGAACGTTGGCTTGGTGTCCCATTCGATGCGGTACTTGGAAATGGCATTCCCGCCATCGCTTTGAGGGTGCGACCAGTACACCGTCAATGTCGACGCTGACCCAGTGACAACCTTGACTTGCAGGGGCCTGGACGGAGGTTGCTGCGGCGGAGCGGTCGGTTGAGACAGTGTTGGAGCGTTGTATCCTCGGTTGTTATAGCACGACACACGCGCGACGTAGGGGATCCCTGGTCGTAAATTTGAAATATGGTAGGAGAACGGTCCTGTGGCGTTGATGTCGGCCGGGACTTCGACACTCTGAAGCGTTGGTGGCGCCACGCCTGGCACTGTTGTGCCAAGCACGGCAGTGAGGCTGGCACTGGTCGCACCACGGTACGGAGACGCCAAAGTCACTTGGTTTGTTGCGACAGATGCAATTTTGTACACAACGCCCGCGATTTGCAAGTACATGCCGGAAACGGCACTCGTCTGGATGCCGACAGACGTGACCGTGGTGGAATCTTGTGTCACTCCTGCCGTGATGGAGGAGGCTCCAACGTGTGCAGGGTCGAGATTGGCTCCGACATCGAATGCCAAGTTCGGTGACGACAAGTCGTTGGCACCGACGGAAAACACAATTCCGTTGGGAGTTTCCGTGACAAACGAAATGCTCCACTGGTAGCCTCCGGACGTTAGTCCAGAACGCACGACCTGGACGCTTCGCAAACACGTCAAGCTGGCTAAAGCTTCAGACAAATCCGCTGCCGAGATGTCGACGGCGAGAAAATCCGTTGTGCATTGGCCATACGTGAGCTTGAACGATCCTGTGACAGCTTGGGCGTTGAGAGTGTCAAAGATCTTGAGCACCTGGACTTCTTGCGTCCCAGGTCCGGCTGCCTCGTACCACTCGAGCAAATACTTCGTAACAGGGTTACCCTGCGGGTTAACTGTGGGCAGCCATGACAGCATAAGTGATGTGGACGCGTCCAAGACAGAGTGGAAGCCATTCGCTTCGAGAGCGCTCAACGTCACCCCCCCAGCGACGTCGATCACGTCGGCATGCAATCGAGGAGTCTCCGTGAGCGGCGTTGCGATCGGGCTACTCAGTCCCATGATGTTTTCTGCTCGAACGCGGACGTAGTAGAGCACGCCAGGAGTCAACCCCTGCATGGTGTACTTCATCTTGGTGGATGCTGGAACTTGGGCCGCAAAATACGCTGGCGTGTTGGAGTATTGCTGAATTGACCCGTTGAACGATGGGATTGTGTCCCATTCCACCATGTAGTTTGTGACGACGGCGCCGTTGTTCGTGGCTGGCGCCGCCCAGTACAATCGCAATGCTGTGGCTTTGCCAGCAACCAAATTTAACACAACCGAGGTTGGAGTACTCGGGACTGCCATGGGCTTCAGTTGAGTGACCACGGATGGCACGCCATAACCTGCGCTGGTATGGGCAGTCACGCGGACGGAATACCCTCCATTTACTCCACAATCGCCACGTTTTGTTGGAGGTGTGGCCAAAGCAGACTGAGTGAGGCCAGATATATCGTATGTGTATGGAGCGCCAGGTTCAATCATCAGCGAGACATCGGTTTTCGATCCTGCAACCACCGCCGTGCCAAGGACACTGTCCCCCGCGGCGCATGTGATGACATTGCTTGCAATTGTGCTGGGGGAACCGTTCACTGTAGTTGCGCCGTTTGCGCAAATACCAATGACCGTCGTGCCAGTCAAAAGGGCGCCGTCAACATTCAATATCGGCACTGGGGCAACTTTGGTCGTGAACAGAATGAGGTAGTCTCTCGTCGTTCCAGTGGTTGTCATGGTGACAGTGCAGTCTCCGGTGTCGGCCAATGCTTCGATAGCCTTTTCCAAGTCGGAGTAGACAATGTTATACGCCAGGGGGCCAGTAGTTCCCGCTCCCATCGAAAGCGTGAACGATCCACCTGTTACGGACGTGGCAATCTTCAGCGTTTGTTGCGCAGGTGCTCCGTACAGCAAAGGCTCCCACCACTCGACACGGTACGAGTCGACAATCGCCCCTCCATCGTCAGCGGGTGGGAGAAAGCTCAGGCGAAGCGACTGGTAGTCCAGTATAGACAGCGTCGGTGCCAACGGAGCTGTAGGATGCACACCAAAAGGAGAAATGGCAAAGGGGCTCTTTTGGATCGCCCCGTCAGGGTAAAACAATCGTTGCGTGGGGACAACAGACAGATCTTGCGATGCACTTGTCCACAGCAGCACGCACGTGGCCGCATCAGTATTTTCCCGGTATTCGATAGTGATGTCATACAAGCGACCTCCCACCAACAAGATCGGTGTTGCCGAGTATTGCACTGGCGTTGCCGTCGTCACGTCGTACTTGTCCAAGACAAGCGTGTGGTCAATCCACAGCCGCGCACCGTCGTCAACGTTTAGGACAAACGTGTACTCTTCCGAGAACGCTGGCTGAACGTACCCTTGCCACCGAACACTGATATAGTCTTTGCCCGTTGGAGTGATAAACTCATTCCATTTGAAATTGACGACTGCATCGATACGCGTCATTGCGGGGTCTCCCATCAACCACCGGTTGTTGTAATACGACCCAACCAACCCGTTAGGAAACGCGTGAACAACGTCCAACTGGTACGTTCCGGTTCGTGGGGTCAAATAAGCACCGACGTATTGTCCAGGACTCGAGTACGAGGCAAACCCTGTTACCGTGGCCGCTCCAGAGATTCGTGGCACGAAGTAATCTCCAAGCAATCCGGACTGCGAGCTGACGCCACCACCGACAGCAACCGGGCACGTTTCCGTGACTGTGATTGCAACTTGAGACCCCGTCAGCAGCTGGCCTTCGGCATATAACATGTCGAAATCCCCGTCCACGGACAAAAGCGTGACGGTCCACGAAAACGCATTGTTCGGTCCGGCGACCGGGGCCGCGACGTCGACTGCGTAAATGTCTGGCAATTGTTGCAAAGCAGTTTTCAGCGATGACGACGTGACCCCAAATGGCAAGTCGGCTGTCCGAGCGTTGTGAAACGCTACGTAGAACGTGCCCCCGATAGACGATTGAGCCGACGTAGCAATGACTTGAGTCTGACGGGCTTGACACGCGGTAACTGTGGCCATTGCTGTGCCCGTGCCGCCGGTGACGGTGAGTTGGGAAGCATCCGCGGTAAGGGATGCAAGGTCACCCACGTTCGAGTCAAACGTAACAATGTACATGAATCCAACCACAGTCTGTTTGTACACGTTGGTAGCTGCGTTCGTGGATCCCAGGTACGGAGATGAGAGCAAGATGGTGGTAGTGGAGATGCTCACGATCGTAAAGACAGGGCCCGACGTGGAGCCGAGACGGATCCAGTCGCCAACTTGGTACGACGCAGTCAAGTCGGGCGTCGTCAGCGTGTCCGAAAGGTACGTCGCGCTCACAGTATTGACCAACGTTTGAGCCGAATTTGTCGATACCATGACGTCGCCAATCGTGTCGAGTTTATCCAAGGCCGACTGCACCACGTTGATGCCTGCGTTCCATGGCAACGCAGGCGTTGTGGCGCCCCCAAATCCAATGGTGAACGTGCCACCCAATGTGCCAAGCCCATTGTCTCCTTGAATGTACGTTTCAATGATCTGCACTTCGGGGCGTGGCGTGCGAACGTTGATGAGGTTCCCATGCACATCTCTCGGCTCGATCAAAAACGTTGACAACGAATTGTACGCTCCGGTGGACAGCCCTTGCTTCCCCACAGAGCTGAGAGACCCGGGCCAGTATTGCACCGCTGAGTCGACTGCTGTTGTTTGGTTTGCCACAAGGGTTCCGGGGTCCACTGCCACGACAAAGGGAGACGACCCTGCAACACTTGTGATGCCATTGGAAGACACGATGCCATCTGAAAACACCAAAGCTCGAGGGCTGAGACCTCCCGTCAAACCGACGCCAGCAACTGACATGACAGGAAGGTTTCCCACCATTCTTGTTGATTGGATGTACTGGCCTTGCAAGTATTTCGCCGAGGACCAGAATTGGGTCTGTGCCGTGCCAGCAAGGGACCCGAGAAACGTCACGACCCACTCGAATCCAAACGCAGTCGTCGATGCCGAGACGGAGACGCGGATGGAAGAGTCCGTTAGAAGTTGCTGCAGCGCGGTCTGAACCGCTCCAGGGTTGGCGTTGTACGGAATAAGGCCCGTGGTCAAACCATTCCACGTCACAGTAAAGCTGCCACCCGTCAATGCAGTACCTCCACCAGACTCCACTCGAATGACTTGGACTTCATTCACCATTGCTTGCCCCATGTTTGACGATGTCTTGATGTGCGATTTCGTTCCGTCCTGGATTGTGGCAACGACGCAGGCTGTGCTAAACACCAAATCGTTGTTCACGATCAACTGGGGAACGTCCCCAACGTCCGACACGAACGTAATTCGGTGGACAAACCCATTGTTCACCGACGTCCTTGACACAGCAACGGGTCTGCCGCGGATGGCCAACAACGCGCCTGCAACTTCATCTGCGGTCGAGTCCCATGCCAAGGGAATCGTCGTGTTCGTGGGTGGGAAGGTCAGCGTGAACGTTCCCGCTTGTTGTGTGCTCGAAGCAAAGTCCAGCGTGAGCGATTGAATTTCAGGAATCACGGCCATCGCTATCACCAGTGTGTTCGGCCCAGACATGTACGGGGTGTAAGTGACATTGTACAGCCCGTTGCCAGCGTAGACAACTTGGCCTTGTACGATTGCCGCATCGGAATACGCAGTTCCGGAAGGAATGAGTCGCACATCAAAATAATCCCTCGAATCCGCATCTTCCTTGTTGTTTCCGTGGGTGTCCTTGGCTTGGATTGAAAAGGACGACATGTTGCCAGCGATCGCACGCACCAACCCTTGTCCAAATGCAGTTGTGACGGCTGGGTTGGTCGCGGCAGGTCGAATGGACAACGTTGAGGGGAAGCCACTCAATCGTTGTCGAGGAACACCAGCCCGAAGTCGTGCAACGGACACAACTGCGGAATTGCCAGTCAGCGACTTGGTGAACTGAGGAACGAGCAAGTCCAGAGGGCCTTCGTCGGGGCTGCGGTCAAACGTAATCGTCCAAGTACAACCAAGAGTCGGGTCGTTACCGCTACAAACTACAGGGGCAACAGTCGTACTGCCGACCGGAATGTTTGAGCACCCTTCCAACGCAGCTTTTATTGCGGCAGCATTCGCGTTAAATGCAATCGAAGGAGTTGTCGCCGTCGCTTGTTGGTTGTTCGACAAGCCCTTAAACGTCAACGTGAATGAGCCGCCAAGTGCCGTGGACGAGCTGGTTGTCACGGATTGAACCTCTCGTACTTTGGGCATCGCGACCTCCAATGCGTACGTCCCCTTGACTTGCGGCACAAAGTTGACCAAATATTTGCCCGTGTTAGCGCCTGCCTTGAACACACGGACAAACTGGGCATCCGCCCCAGCATAGACGCTTGCAAGAGGCACTTGCAAGTTGTCCAAGACTCCGAGCACCGTGTCCACAGTGTGAATCTCTTGGCCCACGACGATGGTATCGCCACGGACGAGCGGATTGTCCGACGGAACGTTTCGGAAGTCGCTGCTGGTGGCAGTCAACACACTCGACCCTCGTGTTACTGTGGCGGTGCCCAAATACCGCCAATCTAGGGGCAAAACCAACGACAGCGCGAAGGATTGCGTGGCAAACGAACTACACCCGTGCGGCGACTGTACCGTGACCGTGGCAGTGTTGGACGCTGTGTTGAACGCTGTGGTGGACATTACGGTGAAGTAGCAATCCGTCAACTGCAACGGCGTTGTCGTGCCTGGGTTCGCATGAATTACTCGGAACCTCATCGAAGGAAGCAAGTGGCTCGAAACATCCGCATTCAATGTGATGACATCCGCGGTCAACGTTGTGACGCAACTAGCACACAACAGCGATGGCTGGATAGTAATTGGCGTGGACGACGTGATTTCGTTGACCCGTCCGATGCCAGCCCAGCCGGCAGTGCCAACGAGTGACACGTCCAGCTGATCGAGGCCAAAGTTGGTTCGCACGTTGTTCTCACGATCACGCGACGTGACGACAAATGTCACCGGTGCAAGGGCGGGGAATGTTGAATTCGCCACGTACGAGGCTGAGCTCGTGATGGCCATCATCTCGCCAGGATACACATTCACACTGAAGGGGCTGCGGTCGATGTGTCGATGAAAGAACAATTGCGATGTTGGTATCGGCACGAGAGGCTGCGTTGGAGTCCTCCAACTCAAGCCGAATTTTGGAAGCGCGCCGGCGCGGTACTTTATCGAGAATTTGTAAAATACACCCGCCACAAGTCGAGTCGTTCCGTCCGTGGTAGAACTGGTATTGCCGATGTGCTGGATGAGCACAGCTCCATCGAGTTTTAATGTGACATCGCCATCCGCCGACACAACAAACGTGTAGTCGTCCGTGGCAGGGACTGCGACTTCACCAACCCACGATACACTGAACCACTTGGACGGAAACGACGGGTTGACTAGATTGGGCGGCTGGGATTCCCCCCATGTGAAGTCGAGTGGTCCTTCAATCCGAGTGCCATCACAGTGCTGCGTGTTGGACAATCTGTCGTTGACGCAGTAAATTTCTGGCCTGGTGTAGTCCGGGTTGGCAAAGTAGGTGGCGAGTAAACCGCCTGAAAGGCGATGACGAATCGACAACGAGTGGTTGCCAAATACTTTGGGAACATACGACGCGGTGTAAGTGCCATCCGTGTTGGGCGTTGCCTCAGACACCGTGACAGGAAACGTTTGACCTGCCAATGCCAGGGACGCAATAAACCCTGCTGAGCCCAACTCAACGCTATTCGAGAGCGGATTGAGAAATGCGTCACGAGCTTGAATAACGAGGGACTCTGGGATGCCTTGGGTGGCCACCGAGTTGGAGTTGTGGGTGGTGTGTGGCCCACTGGATCGACCAGGGGCGACAAGAATCCGTGCTGGGGCCATGCATGCCTTGCCACCAATCGCAACCGAAAAAGTGTACAGCCCAGACACGGTCGGCGTAAACCAGACTTGGTACTGACCCATGGACACACTCGTCAACGCGTCCAACCCGCGTGTCGACTCGACGATCGACACCGACGTGATTCCAGCTCGAAGGTTTTTCGCCTGGAACGTGTTTGGATTGCCCAAGCTGTTGAACGTGATGACAATGTTGGCAGGAGTTGTCGCGGCACACACCGTGGCCTGTGTACTCGACACAGTAACTCCACCCAGAGCAACTATGGATGGCAGTGAATTCAACAATGCTTCCAGCTGGCTGATGGTTGTCGCTGCGTCCACATTGATCGAATCCGATTCGTACACCAGGTCGAATGTGGCGGTAGCCCCAGTGCACACGAGCGTCTGCTGCTCGACATTTGCGATCGTCTTAGTTGAGCTGGAACTAGCAACGCCGGTTTGAGTGCGCAGGATTGAAATTTCGTTGGTGGAGGCTCCCCACATCAACAGATGGACAGGTGCGGGAGTGAAAAACGTAATGGCTACCGGGAACGGGGAGAAAGGATGGCACACAGTCGTTGCACTTGGCGACGACACAAGGACTCCTCCCGGCACGAGTGGGGACAGAATTGTTTTGAACTGTGCCAACGTCAAAGATGCTGCCACCGTGATGGTAGTGCCCCCGTACGTCAACGAAAACGCGCTTGTTCCAACGCAGGTGAGGGTTTGGATGTCTTGTACTCCAGGATTCACGTAGTTTTGCTGCACAGTCACGCTGACAGCAGCCAAATCCAATACGTCCGATCTGTTGTTGCCAACAGTACCAGCCACCAGCTCCACGAGATCCATCGATGGCTGGAGTTGGCCGCTGTTGCTTGCGACCAACGATGAGCTGTCTACAGTCAGCAAAGCCATATTTCCCGAGTTTTGAGTGAATGTGATCGCCCACAACGATGTGAATTGAGGAATGTTGTTGCCTCCTTCTGTCGTCATGTCCAAGACATCATTGGAGACTACAACACCGTCAAGGGACACAAGATTGTTCAAAGCGTTTGCGACGGCGGTCGCAGATGCATCGAATGGCAATGCGGCGGTGGTTTCTCCCGCGTACGACATCGTAAACGTTCCCCATACTGGGGCAATGCCACCCAAGGCACCACCAACGTCCTTTTCAGACGTCAAGGTCATCGTTGCGCCGACCGCTGGAGAGTACGTCAATGCTGGTAAATTGCCTTGTGCCACTGTGAATTGGATAAACAAACGAATCCCACCGGCAGTACATAGTGCCGTCGTTGCTGTTTCAGTCGTCACAGTGACGGCTGAACCGACCAGCGTTTGAACCTGGGTCGCAAATGCGCCAACAGTGCTTGTTGCAAGAACGGTGATTTTGTTGGTGGGTGATCCGTACGACACATCGAACGACCCGGCGGTTGCTGGCGTCGCAGCCACACAAGTAAATGTTTGAATTTCTTGCCGGAACGACGTCACGCCAAGTGTGATCTGGCTCACAATCGCATTTGCGTTGGCCACGAGGAAAGGCAAGGGTCCTGGTAGGCCAGTGAACGTGACAAGGAATGGTTGGCCATTTGTGACAGCAGTGCCAGTCGCCGCAGTCACAGTCACTCCTCCCGCACCGATGGTCACAATATTTCCCAACGCAGTCGCCAGCGCAGTGTACGTCGTGCCAGTGGTGACAGTGATTGCCGCAGACCCTCGAAAGCTCAGCGTGAAGGACGACGCTTGAGGAAGTACCTGCTGGACAGTGTTCACGTTGGCCACGATAGCTGCACGAGTGCGTAGCACTTGAACTTCGTTGCGCCTGGCATCCTTGGCTTGAACGAGGAATGAAAACGGTTGGCCAGCAGTGGCGGGCAACGTCTCGAGGGTGTTGATTTGTGTGTAGTCGGGTGGAAGCGGTCGGGCATACCAGTTGCCACCGGCAGCGATCGAACTGAATCCGTCGACCACGGCATCTCGAACCGTCATTGTGAACGGACTGCCCAGAATGTGAATGCCATTCGAAGTAATGTTCATCGTGTAGACACCCGCCACCGTCATCGTGTAGCTCACTGGGTAGATCCCGCCGGATGCTGGTGTGAACACGGTGAGTGGGAACGCATACAAGCTGGCCGTGTTGGGGGGATATTCGACAGCCAGCTTGGCAATGGACCAGCTGTCGAGTCGAGACAGGAACGTGATGCTCCACACGTAATTGCCAGACCCGTTCAGAGTGCGAGACACTTGAACACGGTTGGACGGGTCCAGCAACTCGAGCGCATATTTCATCCCAACAGCGTTGATGTTTTGAGGCAGTAAGGCCGTGAGTCGTGGGGTTGACGTCGGCACGTATAAAGCGACGGCTGCACCACTGAAGGCGGCGCAACCATGATTCGCATTCACAGTGATCGTGGTCGAAGTGACTGACGTTGGTGTCAAGACACACGAGTTCACGGTGAACTTGGTGTTGACTGCAAGAAGACCAACAAGGTTGACGTTGACAGTGAGGACGTTCCCAGCCAAATTTTGGGCACAAGCTGCACAGAGCACGGTGGTAAACGACCCATACGTCAATTTGAACGATCCAACTTGTGCACTGTTTGGCGATGTCAAGACCTGGACAGCCGACGAAGTGTACACCGTGTCCAACGGAGATGCAATCGTGACCAAGAAGGCATCGGATCGGCCATCTCCTGTGGAAGGCGACCGAAGCGTTGTGGCGCCAACTCGTAGATTTCCATACGAATCCAATGCATAAATCGAGAACGAATTGGGAATGTTCGATGTGGACAGACTCAAACCTTGAGGTCCCGAATCGACTGCGTACGAGCTGGGGGGGTGCAGGACATTGTGGACAACTGTCAGACTTGACGAGCTGCCGATAGCACTGCACACTTGACCAGGGCACATCAGGATCGGTGAATTCTGGTAGTAAGTCAGCATGGTGTACACTCCTGCTTTGGGCACGGACAATTGGACGTTGTACAGCCCCATGGATTGGTACTCGAGCACGCTGCTTCGGTATCGCACGGTTGGGTCGGCCACGAGCACGATTCGAGTCTCAAACACGTCACCCCCGACTTCGCGTCGGTTGGCGTACGTATCCTTGGCTTGGATTGTAAAATTTGACGCTTGGCCAGCGATCATTTCGACGAGGCTGTCCATGTTTGGAGGACTTGCTCCGGTGGCTGTACTTGTTTGGGGCACGGTTTTGCCGGATGTCACGACCACTGTAAACGGACTGCACTTCAAAGCGACCCCCAATCCACAATAAATGTGCGTGCCCCCGATTTGCACAGACAGTTGGTACGTGCCACTGACGGTGGCTTTGTACGACACCAAGTATTGGCCTTGCCCCAAATATTCTGGGGTGCGGAATGGAGTGAGTTTTGCAGTTGTGCCCACGGTGCCAACGAGCTGCACGTCAAACACGTCGCCATCCCCGGTCTTGTTGTTTCCGCGCTGATCCTTGGATTGGATGACAAACGTAGCAACGTTGCCTGCCGTGGACCGTCGCAGGCCGTCGCCGGTGGCGGTCGTGTGCGGAAAGTCTGTCGCACCAGGGATGACATTCATTTGAAATGGACTGCCCACAATGTGACTTGGGCGATAAAACGCCGTCGACGGAATCACTTGGATCGGGACAAACGTACTGCTCCATTGAAGGCTCAAGTACGCGTTTCCAGTCGATTTGTGAAACTCTACACGGACGTCATGGTACCGATTCGCCACCAAGTTGAGCCTCACAGTCGTGGAGCTCGGGGCATCCGCCTCCCACGAGTCCACGACAAGGATGTGGTCCACCCACAAACGAACGCCGTGTGATGCGTCCAGGTAGAGAACATACTCGTCCGTGAAACTTGGCCGAATCTTCCCCCACCATCGGATGCTGACATAGTCTTGGCCGAACGTTGTGATTGGGGCTTGGCCCCACTGGAATTGTAGACGAGGGTCAATTTGATTTTGAACGGGAGTGTCTTGGAGCCAAAAGTTGTCGAAGTAGAGCGCATTGAGACCTCCAGGGAGAAGCTGTGTGACCGCCAACGCATACGAGCCAGGTAGGGCTGGGACGTAGTTTCCAGTGTAGCTCGGCGTGCCTCGCAGTTTCTTTTCGACAGTGAGGACAGGATTGTTGCCAGTCAGTGCCTTGAGCAAACCGGATTGCACTTCCGCCACGGTCACACTTGAGGAGCTCCCGAGCAACTTCTGGCTGCTTGCCACGAGTAAGGCGTTCGGACCCAGCTCAGTCCGGAACGTCACAAGCCACTGGAACTGTCCACCTGGGCTCAGTAAATTGCTACGTGTGACGTCGACGCGCCCCACGGAAGTCAGCGCTTCCAAAGCAGCTTTGACGTCTTTCGCACTGGCGTCATACGAAATGGGGGCAGATTCTTGGCCAAGAAAACTCAACGTGAACGTGCCATAGAGTGGTGTTGGATTGCCGCCCCCTGTCGTGACGGACTGCACTTGGTACTGATGTGGAAATGCTTGAAGCAGCGGCAAGTTCCCTACGTTCCGTGTGAACGATATCGTCCACTTGAACCCCACATTTATGTTGGCACGGGCCACGTCGACTTGGCTAATGCTTGGTAGTTTTTCCAGTTCCGTCTTCAGCTGCAGTGCCGACACATCGTACGGCAAGTTCAACGTCGTTTGGTCGATAAAGTTCAAGACAAACGATCCCGCCAGGGGGGACTGCCCTTTCACGACTTCATTCACAAACACGTTGGCGGACGTTCCCGTGAGTGTCTTGGCCGTGAGTTGGAGTGACGGAACGTCACCAACGAGGGTCGTGAACGTGATGAACCACGTTGTAAGCCCGGTCGAGCCTCCGTAGTTGACGCTTTGCGACGTCACAGTGACCGTGCCAAGGTTTGGCAGGGATTGCAATGCAGTTTGCATTTGGGTTGTCGTGGCAGATACGGCGACAGTCACCGGAGGTGCGCCCGCCCACGACACGGCAAACGTCCCTCCAATTGTGGTTACTCCGCCCGTTGCATCCAACCACGTCGAGATACTTTGGACTTCTTGGACAAAAGCTGTGTCTCCAGCCACCGTCACAGTCTGGATTTCCGTCGCCCCCTTGGCCACCTCGGTGAACGTCAACACGCCAGCTTGTGGAGTTGTAAATGTCGCGTCGGAGCTGACGAGCATCATCGAAGGAATGTCTCCCAGCACTGTCACAAACGTCACAGTGTACGTCCACGACGAAGCACTGTTGGTGACTCGGGTGACGAGAACAGTCCCTGCGTTGGTCAAGCCTTCGACGCATCCTTTAAACGAGAACGCAGCATTGACATCCGTGGCCGTCGAAAGCGTAGCAGCGTTCAAGGTGACCGTCGACGTTGAAACGACCCCACTCAATCGCGCCGTGGACATGTCTAGCTTTACCGTGAACAGCCCCGTCGGTGCTGTGATTGTGATGCTTTGGATTTCGTACGTAGCGGGGTTGTACGTGGCGACGCCGCCGTCGGCCACCCACGCGTGGGTCCCGTCCAGCACATTGGCGGGGCTCGACCACAATTCCGTGAAGAATGTGTCGCTCCCGACAAACCCCGATGCAGCGTCCAAATCGGTCACGACGTTCCCAGACGCTTTCTTGGGCTCAATTGTAAACTGGTTGGCACGGCCTTGAATGAACTCGGACACTGTGACGGATGCACTGCTGCTCACAAGCATCGGAGCATTGCCCACGTAATCTCGGAACGTAATGTACCACATCGAGTCAGCAACACCATTGACAGGCATTTTCGTAACGTGGACTGTGCCCATGTTCGTGGCTTGCAGCAGTGTAATCAAAACGTCCGCGCTTGTTGTCACGGAAATGGGACCCGTTGCAGCCAGAGTGCCGAACTTCAGTGTGAACGTTCCGGCGCCGAGACCATTCGTGGTCACTGTTTGGACTTCGTACACGACGCCGGCAATGCCAACACTCAGCGCAGTACCGGAAGCAGTTGTTGTCGCAGGACTTGCTCCCCCACGAGCGTCAATCGATGGAGTGGTTGGACTGGCAATTCCCGCCCCTGCCGCGTTAATCGCGACGACTGCATACGAATACCACGTATCAGTTGTCAAGTTGGCCGCTTGGTAGCTCAGCACGTCCGGTGCGTTGGTGCCGTCGTAGATGGCTTGCCCCGGAGTGCCTTCCTGAATGACTGTGACCACTCCAGTGGCGCCACCACCCGTCAGCCGACCCGACGTGACCTCGATAAATGGAACGTTGCCAAGCTCTGTCTGGAACGTCACCAACCAAGTGCCTGCGCCGTTGGACCCAGCAGTGTACGAGCCAGCGACATGCGTAATGCTGGGTAAGTTCTCCAAGTGACGCTTCAATTCCACCCAAGGGGTATTGAAAGCCAAATTCGGAGTTCTGTATCCACGGAATGACAAGGTGAAGTCGCCGCCCGCGACAGTGATACCGGCCGTGACCCGAGCCGTGGAATACGAATACGCAACAGATGCAACTGCATTGGCGAGTTGCTCGGGCACGACAATAAGCATCGGAACAGGTCCTGCAGTCCCCGTATACGACACCGTCCACGTGATGCCACCCGTGACCGCAACTTGACTCACCGCAACTGTAAGCCCCGTCGTGGCGATTTGAGTGGTCAGCAGCGTGTTCGAAATCGCCACGTCCAACAACGGTGTATCCTTGCCGTTCATGTTGAGCTTGAATTTGCCCGTCGCCCCAGTGATGGTAAACGTTTGGACTTCGGTAGCGGGAGGCAGAACGTTGATGGCGATCTGCTGCACTTCATTGAGCACTGGTGTGGGAGACGACAGCAACGCTGAGTTCACGCCACTGAATTGCCATAGCAGGTATCCTGTCAACGGCGAACCGCTGCATGACGTTTGGCTCGACGTGCACAGCGCAGGCGGAGCCCACGTCAGAGAAATGGATGTTGGTGACACATCCGCGACCACGGGAGCAGCTGGAGCATTCGGCGAATATGCCATCGTGACCGTCAAGATCGGGCTGTTGGCAGAGTACCCCACGGAGTTCAGCGCCCGCACGTAAAACCGATACATGTTTCCTTCCATGAGCGACCCCACCGACGTTGTAAACCCGTATGGAAATGTCCCAGTCAGCGTTTGCACGACAAAGCCAGCCCCGGCGTCCATGTAGACCTGGTAATCTGTAATGGGCGATCCGCCGTTGTCCGCAGGTGCTTTCCAGTTGATGAAGATCGTGCCATCTCCTTGAACAAGGGGCAGCCCAATGTTCGTCTTGGAGTCGCGCGTGGGTGCAGCAGGGGCTGTAGGAATCACAGGTGCACGGACCGTGTACGTAGCTGCATCGCTAAAGCTTCCAAAACAAGCTGCCGATGGATTTGCCGGCTGGCAGTACGTGATCGCACGAACTTTGACCGAGTATTGCTGTCCTGTGCTGATTTCGTTGTCGTTCGTTGTCACGAGCGTGTACGTTGTGGCGAGACTGTTGGCCCCGTCGTACACTAGCCGGTAGTTGTCGTTCCAATCCGACAGCCACAGCTCATACCCGGTCACAGGCGATCCGCCATTTACAAGCGGCAAGGACCACGATACTTGCATCGACGTGGCGGTGCTCGAAACGAGGACCACAGGGTCTGGTTTTCCTGGTGCTGTGGCTTGAGGAGCGAGTGATGGAGGGGTCGTGTACACTCGCACCCCATGGCCGAGCGCGTTTCGAAAGCTGGCGCGGGCGAAATACGAACGTCCCGTCGACAAACCTTGCAGACTTGTCACGAGAGGTACCCCACCCGACAAGTCGGTCAGGTCACGGACGTTGGCTGGGCCAGACCCAGGCGTGACTTCCGTCACGGTCACGACCGCGTTATTCGCAACACCGCCCGTCAGCGTGCCGACAAACTGGGGCACGAGGGGGCTGAGGTTGCCAGTGTTGCAAACGTTCGTGACTTGATCGGCCAAGACGCGACAACCCACAAACGAAACGAGCCACGTAAAGCCATCGACGTTCTGTGTGCGCGACACGCTGACGCGTCCAATAGAGTTGATCGATTCCAAAGCACTTTTGAGGGCGGATGCAGACAGGTATGGACTCAGCGCACTCGTGCACAGCGACGAGTAGCAAAGGGAAAACGCTCCACCCACCGACGCCGACCCCGTCGTGACGCGACTTGGGGTGACAGTTGCGGAAGTACTTGTGCCAGTGAGGAACGACGTATTGGTGGGCGTCATGAGCAACAGGGAACCGGCGCCGTAGGGGAAATTGCCTGGGTTGGAGGAAAACGTCACCGTCCAGACGTAGCCCATTTGGAGCGTTGGGCCCGTGCGAACCACAGTCACCGTGCCCAAGTTTGGCAGGCTCTCCAACCGCTGCTTCATTGTTGTGTCGGATGCGTCGAACGGGATCCAGTCCGTGACGCGACCCATGACGTTGAGCGTGAATTGACCATACACTTGATTTCCTCGCACGGACGGGGCGATGGCGCCCAACGTGGCGCCGTCGGCATACACCTGGATAGTGGCGCCGTTGCCAGTGAGGAGGTTGTTGGCCAAACGAAGAGTTGGAACGTCGCCACTGTTTTGAAACGTGATGCGCCACAGTCGTTCCCCCGCAGCAATGTTTGTGGCAGGTAGACTCGACGTTCCGTCCGTCACGGCAATTGTCAACCCAGCTTCGAGAGCTTGCAATGCTGTTTGCACCGCTGCCGCACTTGCGGTTGCCTGGATTGGGGCTGTTACTGTGTCGGACCCTCGGTTGTACACCAAAGAAAAGGTTCCGCCCGGTGGAGCTTGGCCAACGGTCGTTTTTGTAATGTCGATGCGACGATTCCCCGTCAAGAGTGTTGTGTTGGCTGTAAGAAGTGGCAAATCTCCAGCGTACCCCACAACGGACGTAAACGTGATAGCAAATCCGCCAACACATCCAGACACAGGGCATGGGGCGCATACCTGCGTGGCCCCACCCACAAACGCGACAGACACTGTGACTCCCACCAACTCCTGCAAAGTGGCTTTGATCACAGCCACAGAAGTCTCGCTTGCCAAGATCGGAGCTGTCGTGGCACCAAGAAATGCCAATGTAAACGATCCCCCAGACGCATCGCAGTTCACGCGCTGGACTTCGGTTGCAGCTGGTCCAACGTATGTGCTGACGAGGCGAACGAGTTGAACTTCACTCACAATGGCGGCTGCAGTCGTGATCGTCTGGACTTCATTCACCACCGGCACTGTGAGCACGACGCTCTGTACTTCGTCCACAATTTGTTGGGTGTCCCACTCAACTCGGTACGCGTCGACTGGGAGGCCGCCGTCTGACGGAGGAAGGCCCAGCGATACTTGGAGCGACGTTTGGTCCAACACAGACAACGTGACGTTCTGCGGGCCACGAGGAGGCTCTATGGCAACGATAAGAGGACGGTTCATGCAGTGACCGCGATTGCTTCAACGTACGAGCAGCAGGGATGGCAAAATTTGGCGTCGCCATTTGCGGCACACTGCGGCCGATGGCGTTGAGGGCCGTCACACGAACGTAGTACGGGATGTTCGTATCCAGTTTCGGCAGAGTTGCCGACAGCGAGCTCAAGTCTGCGATGAATGTGCTACCAAATGGCACTCCTAGGTTCCGCCGTGTGTGAGAACTGCATGCACTGGACAACAACAGTACCGTTCGCAACATCTCGCGAATTGAACGGCGGGGGAATGCCCGGTATCGTCTCCGTGATGGTCACGGTCGGCACAGTGCCTGTCAGCGCTGCAAAGTCTGCTGTGATCGGAGGTAAGTTGCCCAGATTGTTGACAAATGAAATCGCCCAAGAGTACCCGCCATTCGGGTCAACATTGGACCGCGCAACGCTCACGCCGTCAACAGTCGACAGCAGCTCGAGCGCATTTTTCATGTCCGCTGCCGCGATGTTGTACGGTAGATACCCCGTGGATTGACCCCGAAATTGCAGCGAAAAGAATCCCCCCAACGGCACGGATGTCCCAGTCGTGAGGAGGGCAGCCGTGACGGTCGTGCTTGCGGCGGTGGCAGAATTCCCAAATGCACCGCCCATGGCCACTTGTAGCAACGCCAAATTTCCAGCGTTGTTGTCGAACGTGACACTCCACGTGCACGTTTGCTTGAGTCCCGCAACGGCCGTGACAGTGACCGACGCCACATTGGCGAGCTTTTCCAATTCAGACTTGATGATTTGAACCGTTCCGTCTTGGACGGTCGTTATTGTGACGGTATCGTCGCCGATCGTGATGGCACTGGCAGGACCAATTGCACCCGACACTGCGGTCATTTGGTTCAAGTTGCCCGCATTGTTGGTGAACGTAACATCCCACTGACACGTTTGGGTCGCTACGGTGGCGATGTTCGAGACGGTCACGGGGGCCACAACTCCTGGCAATTTTTCCAGCTCCGCCTTGATCGAGGTTGCGCCGACGGCACAATTGCCAGCGCTGGGGTTGGCAAAGATACGATTTGTAGTTTGCGTCACTCCGTTCGAGGTAAACACGAGCTGAAAAAACATTTGAGAGGATGCGATGTTGTCTCCGCCCATGTTGGTGGTGTCGACCGTGGTCGTCTTGATGCGTTGGATCTCCGTCAGCGTTGCCATGCACGTCCCGTCACCCATGGGGTTGGCTGGAATGTTTCCCGTCGTGGTAGTGACCCCGTTGTTTGTGAATTGGAGTTGAAACATGCTCGACTGGGGTACATTCGTCAAGGACGTTGATGTTGTCAACGTTTGTACGGCTTGTGTCGTTCCAGGACGGGTGCGCACGACTGTAATCGCTTTGGACACGACGCCGTCGCTGCGAGACTCGGTAAGAGTGCTGGTTGTGTAGCCGAGCGCTGGCACCGGTCCTTTCAACGTCAGAAACGAAATTGTCCAGGTGTACCCGAGCTGGAAATCCGGGCCGGATCGAATCACTTTGACGCTACCGATTCCAGGCAGCAGCTCCAATGCGGTCTTCACAGCAGTCTCCGTTGTACTGGATGCCAACTGAGACGTCGCGACCGAGTTGTACGACAGAGTAAAGAACCCGCCCAGCTGGTTGCCTTGCGTTCCGGTCGTTACCACAGCGTTGGCCCCGGTCGCCACCAACGTGTGGGCAATTCCCATGAGGGGCACGTCGCCCGCATTCATGTTGGATAGAAACGTGATGCTCCACACATACCCACCTTGAAAGTCAGGGCCTGTTCGCGACACAGCCAGTGCGCCGACGGTGGGCAGTGCTTGAAGAGCCGACTGCACAGCTGAGTTACTGGCGTCGCGAGCAATGCTGGCTGTAGTACTGCCACCAACAGTCAACGTGAAGTACCCATCACTGATGACGTTGCCAGGGGTAGTTGTCGTGATAGCAACTGCAGCCCCAGCGCCGATCAAAGTCGAGCTTTGCAGAGTCAGCTGAGGTACATTGCCCATCGACGCGTCAAACGTGATTGCCCACGAGTAACCTCCTTGGGCATCAGGTCCCGTTCTAGAGACCGCAAATACGCCGGTGGGTCCAATGTTGGCCATAGCATTCAGGATTTCGCGCATGCAAGACCGATCACCAGAAGCCCCCGCCGTGAATCCAATGACTCCGGACAATCGAACGCTTCCCCCAGTAGCTGTTGTGTCAAGCTGAAGGGTGAAACCTCCACCCAGCGTTTGCCCCGGAGCGGCAGATGTCGTGACGACTTGAACTTCGCGAACCATGGTCGCAGACGTAGTCACGATTTGGACTTCATTTATGTCGGCTGCCGACGTCATGACAGTTTGAACTTCGTTGGGGCCCGTGTACGTCGATGTTGTGACTGTTTGCACTTCTTGAACCCCAGGATTCGGGTCCCAGTCCACCTAGACAAGACCATGAATGCCATGCTCGTGCGGGTCGTGGTACTTCGTAGGCCGATATAGTGGAGCCGCCATCGCTTAGAGGAGGGGCAAACGACACGAAAAGATCGTTTTGATCCACAACCGACAGCTGTACATTCGTTGGAGACGTGGGAACTACATCATGTCAACGAGGTGAGCCCGCGGAGGCATCTGGCGAACCCACCAGTTTGTGGCGCGGCGATTGCAAGCCATGGGATGCCGATGGCAGCGACGATGACGAGCCACATGGAGCACTTCCCGTGTGCAAAGTACGCCGTCATTCGGGGCACAGTTGGCGACGTGACGCTTGGCACGGACGGCTTCAATCTCAGGTAGGGGCGACCACGGAAACGACGGCTCCCACAAACGGTCGCGCGATCTTAGATAGCTGCGACCACCCGATTTGTCCAAAACGCGATGGAAGGTTTCCATTCAACCAATCAGGTTTCATTCCACTCCGTATACTGAAACCAAGTCAAATATATTCGCAGGCACCACGAAATGCGAAAACGCCAATGTGTTACTAAAAAATATTGAAAAACTGTTGACACACAATCAGGCCATGTCATGTCCCCTCGTCAAGGAAGTTGGTAAGATGGAATCGATCACATGTGGGGAGGCTGGGTGGTGTGTTCAGCACGCTAGAGGCTCGTGCGGGTGGCGTTGGCGTTTGGTCGAGTCACTCAAATGCGGGGCTGTGACTGGGTCGCCCACTGGATTTCCCAAGTTGAAGTTTGCTGAATAATCGTCTGCGGTTGGTCGGAACGATGTTTGATCTACGAAGGACAACGAACAGACGATGAAACCTTTCTACTCTTCCACAGCACTTGGGGCGATGGGATCCACGGAAGACACACTGCCCATCCTCACAAAGCCCGGCGCCGCGCGCACGCCTCAACGCCGCAAGAATGCGATGTACCGTATCGCGGCTGTGGTGTCGTTGCTTGCCGTCGTGGTCGTCACTGTGTACATCACATGTGCTTCTCCATCGTCGGGACGAGTCGTGCTCCATGGCAACCTTCCCGTGCTCACCAAGAACCCCATCATTGGCATCCATTCACATCAGTCGTCTACCTACCACGACGAAATCATTGCAGCGTCGTACGTCAAGTGGGTCGAAAGTGCTGGTGGTCGCGCCGTTCGCATTCCGTACAATGCGTCGCAGACCGAGCTCCGTAAGCTGCTGCGCAGCGTCAATGGAGTGCTCTTTCCTGGCGGGGACGGCGACCCGAACGAAGCCGCTGAGTTCATTTACCAGTACGCGATTGAGTTGAACGACAACGGGACGTACTTCCCCGTGTGGGGAACGTGCTTGGGCTTCGAGTGGCTCGTGCAGCTTCAGTCCAAGAACAACTCGATCTTGGACACTGTCGACGCCGCCAACATCAGCTCGACATTGGCATTCCCGCCACCCGACCGCAATGCCATTCCGAGTCGCATTTTCAGCTTCAGCCCGGTGTTTGACGTGCTGAAAACCGCGCCGCTCACAGACAACTTCCACGACTTTGGCATCTTTGACCATCACTTTGCCGCCACGGACTTGCTCTCGTCATTCTACAACCCCGTCGCGACATCGGTGGACCGCCAAGGACGCACGTACATTTCAGTGATCGAAGCGTACAAATATCCTTTCTACGGCACGCAATTCCACCCGGAGAAGAACGCGTTCGAGTTTGGCGAGTACCCTGACGGGAACTTGTGGAAGTGGATCGACCACACGTATGAAGCGATCTTGACCTCGCAAGCATTCGGCCACTTCTTTATGCAAGAAGCGAGGCGCAACAATCATTCTTTTGCCGACGCTGAAGTCAAGCGGTCGTCCCTGCTGTACAACGTCCCGACCTCCAACAGGTCGTACCCTGTCTACGTTGAGGTGCTCGTGTTTCCATGAGCCCCCGACGTGCATAAAGTTCCCGATCGAGAGGACGGGTCGCTTGTTACTTCGTGCTAAACACAAACACTTCTTCGTACATCGGGTACGATCGATTGGACCGAGGCGAGTTGTACAAGAGCGCAGCTTGCTCTTCAGCCGGTGTGGGGAATCCATGGTCGTTCTTCCGCGCTTCGCTGACGAAGAAGTGGGCAAACGCTTGCGATGTCATGATGGCAGCATAGCTGTGGTCGATCGATTCGTAGCTCGTGCCGTCCGCCGACAGGCCAAACTCATACGGGTTTTTCTCTGGGTGAAATTGAACCCCGTAGAATGGCACGTCCACGGCTTCGATCGCAGCGACATAAGTCGCTCCTTGTCGATCTTGTGATGTGGCGAGAACCTGCAAAAAGCATCAGGCACGGACTCAAACTGTCGATCGCGTAGATGATGAAAGCATGAACGAGCCACACACCCGCACCTTGTAAAACGACGTGAGCAACTCGGTCGCAGCAAAATGATCCGCTAGGATGCCAAAATGGTGAAAGTTGTCCGTGATGGGCTCCGTCGTCAAGGAGTTGAAAACTGGACTGAAGCTGAACAAGCGACTCTGACGCGGATGCACCAAGCTCAAAGTTGAGCTCAAGTTCTGCGCGTCGACTTTGTCCAGGATGTGGAGGTTGGCTGTTTGCAGCTGCAACATCCATTCAAATCCCAAGCACGTGCCCCACAGTGGAAAGTGCGTGCCATTGCGATTCAACTCGAGCGCTCGAGCATACACGAACGCCGCGGCAGGGCTTGGATCGGGGTCGCCACCTGGAAAAAGGACGCCGTTCACGCTGGAGAGAAGTCGTGTGAGCTCGTCTTCGGGCGCATTCCACGGTATGCGCACCGCGCGGCCACCTGCGCTCTCGATCCATTTGATGTACGATGCAGCGATAAACTCGTCGCCAAATTCTGAATCTTGGTGCGAGTGAACTCCAATGATCGGATTCCTCGTTTGTTTGGGGACTGCTCTCAACGCTTGCACCGCTTCCATTTCGTGCGATGGTCGAGAGAGTACAAGACCAAGCGACACCACCATCGTTGCAACGACTAAAATGGTGACGAGTCTCGATCCATGTTGAGGCGCTGTGCGCAGCATGGGCGCGCGTTGTTCGAGTGAGCTGGCTGCCATGGATCCACAAATCGAGCCAAGGACCGACTGGCCGGCAGGTCAGCCCTCCCCAAATTTCGAATCCTTCGAATTTTCCTCCACCGACGGGGAGAGAGTGGCAAGTGTGTGTATCTCGGCGTGGGAGCAAGTTGAAGGAGATCGCATGCGATCGGCCGCTAATCCCATTTAAGTGGTTAAGGCTCGACTGGAAAAACGAGCGTCGACTCAAAGTACGGGTACGATCGACTGGACAAGGTCGGGTTCAGCAGAAGAGCGTCGCGCTCCACGGCAGGATCGGCAAACGTATGGCCGTTGCGACGGGCTTCCCCGATGAAAAAGTGGGCAAACGTTTGAGAAGTCACAATTGCTTCCTCGGAGTGGTCGACAAGATTCATGGTTCCGCCCGTCTTGTCATCGCCAAGCTCGTATGGGTTCTTTTCGGGGTGGAATTGCACGGCGTAGATGGGGTAGTTCTTGGCCTCCATCGCCGCCACGTACGCTCGGCCTTGTCTGTCATCGGACGTGGCGAGCACCTGCATGATGGTTAGTCCATATTGTATAGAGTCGAGGAAGTTGCTCACGTTGTAGAACGACGTGAGCTTGGAGGTCGCATCGAAGTGGGCCTTCAAGATCCCGCTAAAGTGGAAGTTCGCCGTGATCGCCTTCTTCTCGAGCACGTCAAAGATGTGGCTGTACCCAAACAATCGACTCGATCCCTTGTAGTTGTGCTGAAACTCGAGCGTCGAGCTGATATTGTCGGCGTCGACGCTATCCAACACCGACATATTTCCAGCCGTGAGTTGCACCAGCCATTCAAAGCCAAGGCACGTGCCCCAAACAGGAAAGTGGTCGCCTTTGTCGTTCAGTTCGATCGCTTTGTTGTAGATGTACTCGGCTGCTTCGTTCGGGTCGCCCGATCCACCGGGAAACAACACGCCATTCACACTCTTCAGCAACTTGTCCAATTCGGCGGTGGACGCGTTGTACGGGATGCGCACGCCACGGCCACCGGCGCTTTCGACCCACTTCAAGTACGATGCCACGATGAAGTCGTCGCCGTGTTCGGCGTCACGATGGGCATGGATGCCGATGATGGGGTTGCGGGTCAGGATGGGCAAAGACTCGCGAAGCGAAGCCACCTTGGTGACGGCGCTCGTGGGGCGAAACAAAGTCGACGGGACATACACAGCCAAGGCAAATACAACGAGCACGCCGACAGCAAGCAATTGCGTGGTACGTCGGCGCTGGGGTTCTGCCGGCTTGAAGAGGATAGGCACGCGGTCGTCCGGCCGGTACGTCATCGCGGCGGCCAGAGTCGAAATACATGTCGAGGTCGGAAAGTGGATACGATACATGAGTCTTTTCGTGGAAAAAAGATACTTTCCTCTTGGCCAATTTGTTCCACTTCAACGTGATGACAAGGTGCGTCCGAATCCATGCGTGGAGGTGCGCTTCCGGGGCCTCATTAGCGCCTTGCGTATAGGGACATGAGTTGGTCTCGACACCAGCGTGCCATGGAACGGGGCAAAGGCCAGGGACAGCGCGGGGGATCCGTGCGTTTGTTTCGATTTCAGTGATGTTGAGAAAAACTCCCCAGCGTTGTACACCCCATTATTAATTTCATATTTGTATGCATCAAGTGCACCCGTGATCGCGAGTGTAAAAAACGTTGTGGATGATTTATACCCACCTAAATCGCCAATGATTGGCCAATGACATGGAGAAAGCATGCAGTTGGGGCCTTAACCTGGAAGGGGATGGCCAATCGAACGGACCTGTAAAGAAAACATCCAATGTTTGCACAGCCGAGGAGGCCCCTAATGTCCCTGTGCCATATGCAGGGGTGATCAGGGCAAGCTAGCAAAAGGTTGTATTGGTGGAAGTTAGGTCATCGTGTGTGAGGGGTGAAGGATCCCCATCGCTTTAGAGCGATACACTAGGGAGAGTAAATTTGGAAATCTGGTCCGCTTTTCGTTCGCAAGGTCGATTCTCGAATTCACGAAAAGCAAAAGTACTTCGCGAGGTACTTTTGGTCTTTCAAAAGCAAAAGCAAGCTGAACTTGGTCACTGAACATCTAATCACGTTACTCAAAACTACTGGCACACAAGCTGCTGCCCACTTGTGCGTTGGAACGATGGAGCTCGAGAGCGACGACCGTGCGAAGCGAGGCATGTCGGGCGCCGAGCGCCTTGCCATGCTCGAATTCTTGCGCATTCCGGGCAACTTTGTGTTGATGACTGGCCAGGCCTCCAAAGGAAAGTCGATGAAAGGCGGGCAGAGGCTCACAAAGGCCCACGGTCACGCCCTAATGGCCGATTATGTGAACATGGTCGTTCGTGATAGCACGCGAACGTGGAAAACGCAGGACGCAAAGTCCCGGTAATTGAATTCATCAACACACATTCATGTAGATACGATGCGTACGTCTCGTCATAAAAAGCGCTTCGTTGGTGCGGTCCGAACAACAGCGGGCGAGGTCTCACTCAAAAGGACTACAAACGAAGTAAAACATAAATTG